ATACCCTGTCACCTGATAGTGAGTAGGTGTCATGGGGGCCTTCTGATGGTGGCGTGCAGGTTGCGTTTTGTCCTGTGGAATTATACATAACTACCCTCTCATGCTAGAATCCTACTCTTTCTCGCCTCTCTTTTCGCTCCTCTCCCAAACTACCACGGCCTCTATCGTCCCACCAATGAAACTATTATACATACAGTATATATGCTCTAATGTCATTAAGTAATCGTGCAGTGTCCAGAGTAGTATGTAATGCATACATAACGTGTTCCCGAAAACAATCGGGTCTCGTTCCGTATAACTCCACGTCTTCAATGGAGGAGTGCACCTGGAACAAAGAGAGCGGATGGGGACGGGGCGTATCCGGTATGGTAAACATGGGATGGGACCCATCCTGAAGAGGAGTCGTGAGAATGGTTTTCTTGACCAGCCTGGTACGTTGTGTTGTGGTCGTCCGTGGGTGTGTGTGAGTTTGTCATTGGTGATGATGGGTGCAGAGTTTACAGTGTGGGCGAGGATGGCTATACGTGGAGACTCATTACACTGATCGTACGCAACGGCCTTTCCTGTATGATAGACATAGTGAGAACAAATAGACCCTTATCGTCAGATGAAGTACATATTGGAGTATACCCGTGTCCTGTAATGTCGCGTGTAATGTATCATTTGACTCTGAACTATAATATTACAGTAATGAGTTCAGAGAAATGGTATATAGCGTGGTGTGCTAGAGTTCTCAGTGTCAGACCTGTTGCTGCTCTGGTACTCAGCCGAGGTCCTCGGGTAGAGGTGAGTGGAGAGTGGAGGAGTCTCCTCCATCCCCTCTGTTCTGCGAGTTATACCCTGACCATAGGCCACATCTGAGAGTGGATAGGGAGGAGAGGGGAGGGACCGAGCATAGCGGCGAGTCCCATGTAAACATACCACTCTGGGCATAACACACACAAAAACACCACTTTTTGGAGCGATCTCCATTATCTACACCAGGCAGTCGCATTACTAGACGCGGGACATAAATAAAACATAGCTTTTTAAATTCGGAAACACGACAAAAAGAAAAGCACCGACAGTCCAGTGTGGTCACTACGCTAAGAATCACAGAAACAATCTCCCCACTACTCGGGACTTTCTGATCCTAGAGATCGTTTCCTTCCGACTAGTGTCGACTGGAACTCAGAGCTAAGAACCCATCATCACCATTACCTACTGAGAAATTGAGATACAATGAGATAAGTGGAAATTGAGCAGCATTAATTAGGTCGGAGGAGAGACGGTGTGGGCGTGTGTGGACAAACGAAAAGCGAGGTGTACAGTATATCCTGTGACTGAGGACCAGAAAGTGGACGCCGTAAGACGGAGGAAATAGAGGAGAATTGGCCAGATTATGAGGCAGACCTGCGCGTCGCCAGGAAGTGCGTCTGTATCTGAGCTAGTAGGAGGTCACATGACAGTCCAACGTGAGACTCGTGTGACCCAGGCTAGTGGACTGACCACTGAGAGTCTGAGGTCTCCATCCAGGTCGGTCCCAGAGGTCCGTGCACGGTCGGTCAGGCAACCAGAGCTATGATAACAGCACTTAAACATGAAATAAAAAACACTCCGGCTGTGTGTCATCGGGCCAGACGTGGGAGCGAAGCAGAAGAAGAGGAGCGGGATGTCAAGAAAGTTGACAAGCAGGACAGGGTAGAGAAGCGAGGGTGGTTGAGAAATGGTGGGGGTAGAAGGAGGCCAGAGTGTGTAGGATGGCAAACCACGTAGAAAGAGGACGGTGGTATGGTATTGAGCCAAGAGGTGCACGAGGCTCTCCTCTCACTGATAGGAGGAACATCCACTGAACATCCCGAGAGGTGTCAAACCAGTACCACCACTCCAGCATCAAATGGCCTACAACATCTCGTACAGACAACACTATCACACAGTAAATCGTATCATCTAGAGAGCTTCAAGCGAGCAGAACCTTTCTCTACAATTAGAGAGTTCTGGTTGAGTAGACACTGATGTAAGTTGTCAGAGGAGTTTGTCTACAACTAAATGATCAGGAGTCCAGTGCAACAAGAACTGGGCTACAATTTAGACAAAAGTGCCCTTTCTTTAATGACAGAGAACCATCTCAGGTATTTGAATAGAAAAGTTGTAATAGCTAGCTCACACGTCGTCTGCAGTTGATGAAGCGTGCAGTGCAGTAGGTAGCGGCCATTATAAAGAACAGCAGTGGAGGTCCAGCAGAATGTACTGGGAGAGAACCAGCGTCCCGGTTTCTCTGAAAGTGGGATATTAGTGCAAGTAGTAGCCTGTTTTGACAAAGACGGTGTATGTATAAGTACAGGTTCTGTGTTGATGTGCTGGAAAAGTAAATGTGGAATTTCGACAACGTACACATTGAAAATCACCCCCAACAGTGTGTTTATTACTGCTGACAGAGAGGATGAGGAAGAGAGAGAAAGAGGAAAGAGTAGGAGAAGAGGAAGAACAAAGAGGAGAGAGAGAACGTGAAAGAAAGGTTGGAGGAGAAATTGAAGAAGGGAGAGAGGGGAAGGAGGAGATAAGGAAGGAGGAGAGAGGGGAAAGAGAGGGAGGCTTACCACAGACAAGCATCATGCCAGTATGAAAGCAGCAGTGGGTGATTTGACCAGCTCCCAGACGGTGAGGTAACAGAGGGGAACCAGGAGTAGCCCCATCAGAGCACACACCTGTCAACAACCATAGAACGGTTGAAGAGAGAAGGAGGTGGATGAGGAGGTGGATGAGGAGGAGGGGGGGCTTGGAATGAAGTCCAACTCACCACTCTCATCCCAATGTAGGGCGTGTCGTCGTATTTCTGCCCGGGCTCTTTGAATTCAAACGAACCGTTGTAGCCAGTCAGGACTCCCGCTATGGCAATTACGAGCTACATGGACACACAAACAGTTCACGATGTTTACGCAGTGGGTCTTCGTTCATCGAAGACACGAAACAGGAAACATGCCGAGGGTAGCCAAAAGCAATACAAGACATTCATCAGTCATTGTCAGGACCTTTCCAAGGGGAGGGTGGACATCAAAGAAGAACTGGCCTTGAATGTACCAGCTGGCATGCTTCCCAAAGTGAGTCTCGTCCCACCTAAAGACAAAGAGATTCGAGCGGTAGATGCATGCAGTATTATGGACAGAGAAAAGAGCCAGGATGTTCTTTGACGCGCTGAGCGTGTTTGGGGGAACTCACGCGACGTGCCGAGGCTCCGTGATGGAGTAGAACCTGGTGAGGGCGGAGGCTAGCGTGACGACAGCTAGGCCGGTCCAGTACCACCGCTCGCTGCAGTCCAGCGGAGAGCGGAACACGCGGCGCTGTAGGACGGCCCTCGATCGAACGGGAGGTTCCTCGGGAGAATGGAGGACATGCCGCGACACTGGCTGAGAGCCTTCCAATCTTCTCCTTAGCTCCATGTCTACTAGAACTCTCGGCCAAAAGGAGGAGGGTTAAGGTCATTGGGTCGTACTCGTACACGTGTGGGTGTAAAAGTAGGCGGGGCTTGTATTGGTGGATGTGTGCGCAAGGCGCAGAGACGGAAAAATGGCTGCAAACATGAAGGTCAGTACTATCTGCTCCGCGCCGCATGGTTTGTTGTGCAAACGTTCTTGCACTCTCCGCAGCCCGTGCTGTATTCTTACTTCAGGAGCACTTGCTCGTGGAGAGTCCGAATTGGTGCGTTACAGCGTGCCACAGTCATAGCTATGACGACTCGTGTCTCTTTCCACTCAGCTCTTGCTCTGAAGGGGATAGAGTACGAGTACAGAGCAGTTCACCTGCTCAAAGACGGTGGAGAGCAGGTTTATACTACTGTAGAATAACACTCAAGAACAACTGAAACACCTCCATCCAACAGCTTGCTGACTCGTACAAAGCCATCAATCCGCAGTGTGAGGTCCCCACCCTGCTCATCGATGGACACACTCTCACTCAGTCTGTGAGTATGTGCAGCAAAGACCACCACCCCATTAGAGCAATTTATAGTATATACTGCTGCTGTGTGTATATAGATGGCCATTGTGGAGTATCTAGACGAGACGCAAGGCCCTCCGTACCTACTACCACGAGATGATCCCCACAGGAGACAGCAAGTAATCTACATAATACGCTCTCTCATTGCATCCCTGTTTATATTGATGCTGTAGGTTCGAGCAGTGTCTCAATGTGTAGCCTGTGGCATCCAGCCTATTCAGGTATAATAAACACCATAAATGTGATGCTCGCTAGTGGTGCGCAATAAAAAGCGAGTCTGTCTTTTGTGTGCAGAATCTTCGAGTGCTCAAGTTTGTTGGAGACGAGAAGAAGGCTGAGTGGGGCAAGCACTGGATAGAACTAGGCTTCAACAGTGGGTCCAGTAGAGCTGTATGACATGTACTGTAAGGTATGTATACTGCTGCACAGGTTTGGAGAAATTGCTTGAAACAACGGCCGGGAAATACAGTGTGGGAGACGAGGTATACGTATATATTTTATCTTGTTAAAGCCACCTCTCCCGGTTTTTCTGCAATTGAAGGTGACAATGGCTGACCTGATGGTGCTTCCACAAGTCTACAATGCTAATAGGTACGTCTCTATAATTATATACCCATGTTAAGGCATCAAGTATAGAAAGGGTCTGAAACTGCTGCTTGATGCACTCTCAGGTTCAAAGTGGACATGTCGGCCTACCCGACCATCACGCGTATCGAGGCAGCCTTGTCAGAGCTGGAGGCATTCAAGAAGGCTCACCCCACCCAGCAGCCAGACTGTCCCCCTGAACTCAAGTGACAGGCAGACCATTATGGGCAATTTTTTTGGGTGCATTGCTGCTTTAACTTTGCAAGATAATAATTGTTTCTCAACACACACTTTTAATATAGTACAGAGAGTGGAAATAATGGTTGGAAGAGAACGGTGCACCTATGAGGTGGACTGCAAAACTTTAATGTGGGAGTCATCACTGAAATGCCTCTCGTGGTATCTTTCCCTGGCCCTGTGGTAAAAAAACAAAGGTTTTCAAAGAAGGTGACATGGTTCAGAAGTGAAGTTTTCTAGGTGCTGGTCCTATCTCTACACTGGGGCTCATAGAGCTACAACAGCAGACAAATTATAAAGCAAAAAGAGAGTAGGGTTTTCGTTGTCCCTATCTCTACGTTGATATATAGACTGATAGAGTTCTATTAGAGGAGCTCACATGGAGGAGGGTGAAGGCAGTAACAGCCTTATTGAACTCCCACTCATTCTCCGCCAGACATCTGTATAATAGTCACAATAGCTTTAGGTGAGGAGATGAAGAGAAGGAGAGTTGAGACTTACTTTTTGCTCCACTCTAGATTCATACTTGTGGTCTGGGATATCCTCATAATGGCCTGATCCTGAAATAGCAATAGTTGGAAACTGTTGTGAATTGTGGAGATTTGAGCATTCAGGGGAGAAAAATGTCCGACCAACAAAATTAATGAATGCGTGAAAAACTGTCTCATCACAAGTGTTGACTCTGTACCAAACAACAACGTCAAGCTTCCCAAAACCCAAAGTTATATATAAAACATGACCAGTAAAACTGACCTGTGGATTAGGGAAGGAAGCAGGGGTGGGGGCGCTGGTTAGGGGAAAGGAGGAGGTTGTGGCGGCGGTGGCAGAAGCAGATGGGATCGTGGGGGGAGACGACTGGGCCAGTCCAGAGGAGCCATACTGTGGTGGAGGAGGAGGCTGGTAGAGGGAAGACCCCTGCTGACTCGGCAGAGAGGATGTCTGGATGGGGTTCTCTGGCAGAGGCAGCAGTGCAGACTGGGGCTGAGGGAGAGAGGAGGCCTGTTGGAGACTGGCCAGCTCTTCACGAGCAATCTGAGAGGAGACAGAGAAATGGGTGACACCACCAGCAAATATCAAATGTGAATGCATAAGTACACCACATTTTCGAAGAAACTACAATACTGCAAAGGCCCATAAGATCCAATCTTTAAGTGATGCTTTTCACAATGTAGCAGTAAAGGAACCATAAGGAGTACTACTATATCTTCAGAACTTGGAAAAACCAACATTTTCTGCACAACAATAATATCAATATGATGCACAGACCTTTCTCTGCTCGCAGAAGCGGGTCTCAGTGTCATCTGGTCATTGGTGACTGCGATCCTGATGAGGTGCGATGGTGGGGGCATACACACTAACGAGATCACACTGGTGGGCATGGCTTACTGCCAGCCAGCAACCACCCGCTCACCACGTGGGTGGACATCTCTGGCCCATTGTGGGGCTCTCAAACAATAGATCATGGCTGACATTTTTACTGCCAAATTTGCCAACTTTGTGGAATTATCAATATTGGCCCTCTTTTTGGGCATGTGTAATAATTATAATGCCACTTTTTTTGGGCATGTGTAATAATACAAAAACAGCCAATTGTTGTTAATGGCTGGGCAGTGAGGGAGCTCACCCTCCTTAGAGCCAATGTTGGGAAACATGGCATGCATATCATATGCACACAGCACTTTCACAACTGCTCCCAAACACACAACTCACTAGCAAGGCCAACACCACTCAACGACTCCAGATCAAACAAGAGCCACACTTTGGCCACCACACATCCTATATACGCATCACTCCGCCACCAGACACCAAACTATTGCAACAAAGCCGCCATTCAATCACTGTCAACGTACGCATCACTCCGCCATCAGAGACCAACTTATTGAAACAAAGCCGCCATTCAATCACTGTCAACGTACGCATCACTCCACATCAGAGAAAACGAAAGCAACAAAGCCGCCAATCAATCACTGTCAGCAGAGTGTCACAATCAACACAACAGGAGCCAAGTCTCTGCTGAGACCAGAACAAGGCTGTGTGAGATGGCGTCCAGTAGAGGGTGAAACCTCGTATTCGTAAACTCAAATGTAGAAGGGTAGCTCCAGGTGTGGGCAATGATGACGTGTCGGAAAAGATTTTTGCTCCAGTGACTTTGCAAATTGTGAATTTTTCATCGCAGAATTTTTTTACTGAAACGAAAGGGCAGATGAAGACGTGTCGGAAAAGATGTTTGAACTTTGCTCCAGTGACAAGTGTGAATTGTAAGAAAAAGTAGCAGGAGTGGACGGAAGAAATTTTCATCGCAGCATTATTGACTGATGCAAAAGGAACACTGACAGATACATAAAGTGTCTTTAGTTCTTTATCAAGTTGCCGCTAAAATCTTGTCGGAAGCAGGACTAATGTAGAATGTTACGTTCTCTCTTTTTTAAGAGCACAGCAGGGATGTAGGGTATTTTTCAACATTTGAGCAAGTTTGCCTGCCATCATCATTCAATGTCCTCGACAAGGTAAGGGGCTTCTTATGGTGCTGACTGGTATATATAGCCCACTCGTAGTTTGTCTCATTTGAACACAGACATTTTTCATTATCTCGACTCAATTAAACAACATAATTACATCACCTCACTCGAAACCACCACCACAGAACCAAACAAGCAACAACAACAACACGCAACAACAACAACACTCAACAACAACAACAACAACACTCAACAACACTGAAGGAAACAGTGTGTGCATAACTCACCCAGATCCAATAGCCGTCAGAACAAATGTTCGAGTGAAGGCATACACAGGGAAATTATCCATCCTTGAACTACCACCCACTATATAATAGAGGGTTTGAGAGATAGTACCGCTGCTATAATACAGTGTCCCTATCTTACATTCACTGAAGAAACCGTATATTGTGAAAGCCGTGCTGGTTTGCTGCAGTAAAACAAACAGGGCTCATGAGAGAGACGGTGGGCGACACATGAAGATGAGTCTCACAGTGGCTCTCATCACGTCCACGTTGAAAGAGGAGAGGTGGTTCTTGGTGGGCGGGAGGTCGCGAAGACACTGGACTATGTCGATCCGACCGTGCTTCACCAGAGACTGCCTCTTACCTTTAGCACACACACACACACACGCAACCAGCACTCGCTTCACACTGCATGCATGCACCACTCACTGGGATCTTTGGCCCGAGCCAGGTTGTGACTGAGTGGTATGTACACATCCATCGAGGCATCTCTGCAGGAAATAGGCGAAACAATATCATGGGTTATAAATATACGCCACTGAAGAGACCCCTACTTTCTTGTGAGAGAGCCAGTCACAGACAAACTGAAGACAGCCTTTAAAAATCAGAAGTGACAAGAGGTGGTTAGAAGGGTAAAAAAAGAATCGTTTGTATCAACGTACATCTTCAGAGTAAGCTTCAAACAACTTCTCTCTCTTGTTGTCTGCGTCATACAGAGAGTAGTACCTGCAGCAAAGACAGAGTACACCTACCAGCTACATGCAGAGTCAGAGACTCACTGTTTCACGAACTCCACCACTAGTCTCTGGACCTCATCATTGACCACAAACCCTTTCTGCAGTGGAGGACATTACGTGCGCACACACACACAGAGTGTTGTAGAGAGTCACTCAGAGCTGGGAGGAGTAGTGAAGGTATGGGCATTACCTGAGTTGGAGGTAGCTGGCCTGCCAACACAGGGAGATCAAACTTGACAGGACTGGGCAGATACTCACCATTCTGAGATACATTAGTACGAAAGAAAGGAGGGACAAGAATAAACGTGAGAAAAATACGAAGAGCCTATATACAGTCTTCAAACATGCGGGGCTAAAATTTACAATGTAAGCCTAAATCCCCTATTGATTTTCCCTCATTCATCCCGTTAAAGATTCTGAGGTGTTTGTGAATGCTGATCTCAGTATAGGCTACGTTATTGGGAAGCGAGCAATTTGCCTTACCACGGTCTGTATGTTTGGAAAGATCTTGCGGAGGGTGTTGGCCAGCGACATGATGTCCATCCCGGCCTGAGTGAAGAGATTTCCCTCCAGAACCAGTGTGGTGACAGATATCATCTGACCCAGCCTCTCCAGCTCCTGGACAGAGTGAAACTGGAGGAGGGGAGAGCAGTGGAGAGAGAGAGAAAGGTAGGGAAAGAGGTGCATGGAGGAATTGCCATTCACTGCAAAGGTCCTCTGCTGCCATGTATTAAGCTCCCCTTAAGGGAATGTGGCCACATAAGGATTAGTAAACAAAGAAAGCCTAGTGCAAAATGCAATCCGATTTCAGCTATTTAGCTCTTATATACAATTTCCAACTAAGGGACAATACCAATAATGCTGAAGAGTAATAAAGTGATCAGAGAATAAATGAAAATGATGTTGCATACTGTGAATAGACTATTGCAGACCTCATTGTCTGAAAGATTAAGGATCTGGAGGTTGGGACAGACTGTGGGAAGAGAGGAGTAGGCATCCAGTCGCTGTAGCTGGTTACGGCTCAGGTCCAGCGCAAGAAGCTGCACGCAAGAAAACGAGTGAAGGGGCTAGACACGCATTAACTGGCGTGTAGAGAGAGAGAGAGACACACCTCGGGGCAGTTGGCTTTAACCAGCTCAAGAACTGAAGACACAAACTCTCTGCTGTACATGCTCCCTCTCACGCCATTCTCCTTCAAATCTACACACACACACAAACACAGAAACACCTTCTCCACCCACACTCTGCGACTCCCGAGAACACGTCTTGTTGGTATGTAACTCACGCGAGTCGTGGTACATGTTGGACAGATCCAGAGATTTCGTGTCCACATCATACCGCTGTCCAAGACATGCCTATCAGAAGAGTGACAGAGAAAAATAATTGTGTTTCTTTGGGTGTCCGTATGCCTTACAAGGAGTACTGCTGTGGTGTCCTGTTTCATAGGTATGTCCCCGTCGAAATTAGCCGCTCTCCCACCTCCTCCGCGTCCCCCTCGCTCCCACGGTCTCCCTCTTTCCCACGACCCCTCCCTGTTGGCTCCGCCCACCTCGCTCCGACAGCTCTCCCATCATTTCGTCTCCGTCTCGGTCCCTCTCGAATCCACCTCGGTGACCTCCCCCACCTCCTCCACGACCAGCTGCAGGTGTGACAGGGTTAAAATTATGACCAGCATCAAGTGTGTGAATTGGGTTAAAACTAGGTAGACTCACGTCTTGGGGGAGGACTGGGGAAGACCCTGATAATTAGAGAGTCGTTATCGACGTCAACTCTACTGAGACGTTTCAACTGAGAGGCTGTCCGAGGATTGTCCAGAAAGAACATTAGCTTGTCCTGGATCACATGGATCTGCAGTAATGCAACACCACACATTACTGTGCTGTATACATACAACATGCCTTTATTGCAGGGTGTGAACCAGTTGAGTATTTTATTGCAGGGTGTCTAAGTATAAAGTATTATATTGCAGGGTGTCTAAGTATAGAACCAGTTGAGTATTATATTGCAGGGTGTCTAAGTATAGAACCAGGTTGAGTATTATATTGCAGGGTGTCTAAGTATAGAACAGGGTGAGTATTTTATTGCAGGGTGTCTAAGTATAGAACCAGTTGAGTATTATATTGCAGGGTGTCTAAGTATAGAACCAGTTGAGTATTTTATTGCAGGGTGTCTAAGTATAGAGTTATATTCAGGGTGTCTAAGTATAAAGTATTATATTGCAGGGTGTCTAAGTATAGAACCAGTTGAGTATTATATTGCAGGGTGTCTAAGTATAAAGTATTATATTGCAGGGTGTCTAAGTATAAAGTATTATATTGCAGGGTGTCTAAGTATAAAGTATTATATTGCAGGGTGTCTAAGTATAGAGTATTATATTGCAGGGTGTCTAAGTATAAAGTATTATATTGCAGGGTGTCTAAGTATAAACCAGTGTATTATATTGCAGGGTGTCTAAGTATAAAGTATTATATTGCAGGGTGTCTAAGTATAAAGTATTATATTGCAGGGTGTCTAAGTATAAAGTATTATATTGCAGGTGTCTAGTAAAAGTATTATATTGCAGGGTGTCTAAGTATAAAGTATTATATTGCAGGGTGTCTAAGTATAAAGTATTATATTGCAGGGTGTCTAAGTATAGAGTATTATATTGCAGGGTGTCTAAGTATAGAACAGTATTATATTGCAGGGTGTCTAAGTATAGAACAGTTGAGTTATTATATTGCAGGGTGTCTAAGTATAGAACCGTTAGTATTATATTGCAGGGTGTCTAAGTATAGAACAGTTGAGTATTATATTGCAGGGTGTCTAAGTATAAAGTATTATATTGCAGGGTGTCTAAGTATAAAGCATTATATTGCAGGGTGTCTAAGTATAGAACAGTTGAGTATTATATTGCAGGGTGTCTAAGTATAGAACCAGTTGAGTATTATATTGCAGGGTGTCTAAGTATAGAACAGTTGAGTATTTTATTGCAGGGTGTCTAAGTATAGAACCAGTGGAGTATTATATTGCAGGGTGTCTAAGTATAAAGTATTATATTGCAGGGTGTCTAAGTATAGAACCAGTTGAGTATATATTGCAGGGTGTCTAAGTATAGAACCAGTTGAGTATTATATTGCAGGGTGTCTAAGTATAGAACCAGTTGAGTATTATATTGCAGGGTGTCTAAGTATAGAACCAGTTGAGTATTTTATTGCAGGGTAAGTATGACACAGAGTGACTGAAAGAGGTGGTGTTAAAGTAAAGAATTGTGTGTCTTGCCCACATTTGTTGGTTGAAGGGGGGCGTCAATGCCTGACTGAAGCGTCCTGATGAGTTGTTCTTGGTCCTGGTTTCCCCCACGAGGAATGGTGACCTTGTGCCACTGACTTCTTGATCCTCCCCCTTCTCCTCTTCTTCCCCAGTTTAGTCTCCCAAATACCCCTCCCCCGCCTCTCTCCCCTCCTCCGCCACCTCTCTCCCCTCCTCCCTCGTTTCCCCTCTCTCCGAGACGAGAGAATATTCCACTTCGACCGTAACCTGGCGACGTCTTCTTCAGTCCACCCTTCTCGCTCCTGCACAATGTCTCTGAGGTAAACTGGTAATTCTAGACACATACAAAGAGTAGTTTACCATCTTTTTCCTTCCATTCTCAAGTCGACTTCATCATCTTCATCGTCTGGCCTTCGACTTGAGCCACCGCGGCCCTGCCAACCTCTCCCTCTCCCCCCTCTTCCTCTTCCCTCCTCTCCCCCTCCCCCTGTACCCCCGACCACTCCCTCCTCTCTCACTGCCACCATGCCTTTCCCTACCCCTCCAGTTCCTGTCCCCACCCCCTTCATTATCTGCACAGGTGGGTCAATAGTTCTATTTAACGAGCACCTGAATGCCTCCCCCTCAAACGTTATATATATAGCACGCCAACTAAAAGCTTACTATGGTTATAGTACATCGGGTACTACTGTATGTACTAAAGCATGAAGCGTCACGCGCCAAGGTTTCCTCGCTAACTGTTGACTGTTGACTGCAAATGGAGAAGTTGCGTTGTGTACACTTACACGATTCCCTGTCCTCTCCGCCTCCGAACGGACCGTCTTTCGCAAATATTCCGTGAGACATCTCAGAGATCATCTGGCGATTGAGCTAGCTAGAGAGAAGAAAACGAACAGCTCGCCTCTGTCCTGCGCACGCGCAAACCTATTTTTTGCAGGCGTTGCAGTGACGTCATTTAACAACGGTGCAATTTTACCGACGCCCTAAACAAAGAGAGAGAAGCTATCCCTTGACTTTGCTCCTGCGCGCGAACGAAGACACGTCCTTCACATCAGAAACACAGGGAAGATATCTGCCTGTGCGTACAGGTCCAGTGAGAGCAGAGAGCGGTCTATCGGGCGGCCATGAGCAGCATTGGAGACAGTAGCAGAGGCCATTCTCAGAAATCTTTCAAGCAGCGGAGAAGTTTCGGTGCGTCGTGTTTGCTATTGGCTCCCAGTACGGTAGCTTTGAGTGCGGCGAGTGTACGGGTCGCTGCCTGGTATATAGGTGTGATACCATGTTTGGAGTTCATCAATTGACGTATGACAATGGACAACAAAACCACGTTTGGTTATTACAACCCCCCCTAGTGTGTTTACTCCTTTCAATCGTTCAAGAGACCCACAGTTAATTTTTTGCAGATGTGTGTAACATGTAGCCTAAACTGTGTGCCTGCTAGTGTCTTTGGGAACGAGTTATTCGACAGTATATACATAAAATGGTGTAATTTGGATATTTGTGTATTCTGGATTCTCTTTCGTCGCTACTCCTTCAGCCAGTCGTAAAGATGAGGTGGCCAGCATCAGATCAAAATTCCCTCAAAAAGTGCCAGTAAGTTGCTCCCCTCTCTATCTAAAATGTGATGCAATGTCACATGCAGAAATGAGTGCATCCCTATTCAGTTAAACTCTGTAGATCTCACCTGAGCCTGTGAATACTAACAAAGTGTGTGACATGTGGCCAGCTCAGCATGATACATAATCAGTGGTCACATGATTATCATCAGGCTTTGGGTGTAAATCTCTAGGGAAGCAAGCAAAAACGAGTTGCCATATTGTTACCGATACATGTACTACTACGTGGCTGTGTCTGTAGGTGATAGTGGAGAGATACAACAAGGAAAAGGACCTTCCGCTGTTGGACAAGACCAAGTTCCTGGTACCGGAGGAGCTGACAATGAGTCAATTTGTCACCATCATCAGGTCACTACCAATCCAACCAGTCATGAAACACACATTCACTTCATGCATGTCTAATGGACTGTTGGCAAAGCAGACACACACACACACGCTTGCCCTCTTGCATTCTCTGTCTAACACATCCTGTTTCTCTCCCTCCAGAAACCGGATGGGGTTGTCTTCGACACAAGCGTTCTACCTCCTGGTGAACAACAAGAGTCTTGCCAGTATGTCAATGACCATGAGCCAGATCTACGATCAGGAACTGGACGAAGACGGCTTTCTCTACATGGTCTATGCATCACACGAGTTCTTTGGCTGACACACCGACATTACGTACACCATGTCTATATATCTGTCCATTTTAGAACGATTATCTGTTAATTTTTATCTTATTTTTGTGTTCACACCAAAAATGCATGTAGTGGCACACACATTTTACTTTAATGAAGAAGGAGAATTGCGCATGCGTGTTAGATAAGCGCACTCTATGTACTACTTGTAAGCGCAATGATAATAATGGCGTGGCGAAAACATGCCAACGGTTTCTCTCGACCTCAAGCTGGAGCTGAAGATGAGTCGCCAGATGAGACTTCCTACTTGAGAGCTGACAACAACGGTCACAGCAGAGATGCTGACGAGTGTGTTTCGGCATCACCAATGCTGCACCATCATCCAGCACCTCTACTGGCGCAGGAGTGGCTCATACAGAGACACGAGCTGGTCTTTTCCGAGTCGGACATTCTGCTGGGATACGGTGGGTGTGCGTGCATCGTTCGAGGCACGTACAGACGGAGCCAGCCAGTGGCGGTCAAACTACTGCCTCCTGACATGCTCACAGACACGGCTGCTAAGCTGTTACAGAGAGAAGCCTACATCTTGAGTCTGGTCAGTCGACCGCGCCATCCGAACATAGTCGGGTTTGTGGGAACTTGGTCTGGACCTCATGGGGTCGCCGGATCTCCCCTCCTGGTAACAGAGTTGCTGGATATGGACCTGAGAGAGCTGTGTACTCGGTCTCACCTCACCAAGTGTGCCATGCTGGGAATCTTCCTGGACGTTTCGTACGGACTGTGCTATCTCCACGAACAGATGCAACCGATAATACACCGAGACATAAACCCTTCCAATCTCCTCGTGAAGCGACTCGGGAGCAGCCAGTGGCGAGCAAAGATTGGAGATTTCGGAAGTGCAAATCACACATCACAGGGGAGTGTAGGATCTCTTGGAGGAGGTACAGAGTTGTACTCGGCTCCAGAGACTCTCCCATCCACACAGAGCGAGCCTCCGGCAGAGGGGATAACTGTAAAGGCCGACATCTACAGCTACGGAGTCACGGTGCTAGAAGTGGTGACAGGCACACTTCCAGAGATTGATTCCTACGAGAGGTGCGTGAAGAGACTCCGCTCTGAGTGGCCCGACATCCACACACTCGTGGAGCAGTGCACACAGGCAAGACCTCGAAACAGACCAACCGCCTCTCAGGTGGTGGACTTGCTAGAACAAACCTCCACCAAAGACTGATGGGTTTTTTCACAGCGACTTTAAAACTGAGTGCAAAATGGACAAGCTATAAAAATCGAGCTAGTTTGATGAATGCGTGGTCTGTCCTTCGCCAAAGTGTTGACTTGTGAGCCAGTCAAAGTCTGGGATTCTGAACCCAGCTGGTAGGGTCCCCGACGTCATCAGTCTCCATAGCTACTACTGAACCCACGGTGATCTCCTCCTGTGACTGTCTCTCTCCTGAGCCCCACTGTCAGAATCTTCACCCTCCACCGAGTCCCTCTCTTCCTCCTCTCCATCTACATCCATGTATATATAATATACAGACAATCAACATCAAGTGGCCTGACTCAGTATGTATTGTGTATGAACCTGACTCAAGGTCCTCCATTTCACCTCTACTGTAGAGGAAACATAAAGTTAGCTGATAAACAGGCCTGTTTTATGCTGGCAAAACACATCACCTGCTCCCAGGTCTCTTTGAAGGCAGCAGGGAGCCAAGGAAGAGTGGAGCGAGGGAAGTCAGGGGAGGGAGGGCATGAGGTGCAGTATCCCACACCTATATGGGACGTGATATGTGGAACGACTGCGTTTAGGACTGTAATAGTGGTGAAAGCCCCTCACCTTCAACTTGCCTCTGAGCCTTACACTATGGTTCACACTTGAAGCTGTATTTGGTTCTACTGCACCTAAAACACAGACAACTGCATAATCAACACCCGATTGCTCTCCTAGTGCGTCTCTCTCGCTGACCGACCCTTTGTGGCTTTGCCAAAGACCTCAAAGAAGGCCTGTCTGGACTGCTCTTCCCTCCCTTTCTGCATCACCACCTCACCCTCCTAAACACCATTCCATGTTTGAACCAAAACCACCAAGTATTGAATGTACCTTAGCTGTGTTAATGACAGGGTGGTCCTCCCCTTCATTGGACACTTGGTAGAGCACCTAAAGCCCAATGCATTACGAAGAAGGTGGATTAGCAGTGAATGGGCAGCATATAATATATAGACCTGTGAGGACGTCTGGAAATAGAGTTTTGAAGTTCTCTCCTCTCCTCCACCTCCTCTGCTCTCTCTTGCAGGAGACGTGGCGTGTGCATAAGCTGCAGAGGTGACTGGCTCGCTGCACACAGACTCCCATACATTCACAGGTGCTGGAGAACTGGGGTCAAACACATACACTACACAGTGTACGCATCACAAGAGATGGAGGCAAGAAGTGAGCCTAGTAGGATTTGGTTGGTTGGGTGTTCTTACGGTGAGTGGTGCCTTGTTTTGAGGGAACAAAAGCAGCGGCCATTGGTGCGACAGGGTCAGCTACCAGCACGGCCACATCCACTGCCACACTCCACAAAACTAAACATCACAGTTACTTGGGTGCTGAACCTTGTAGTTAATATTTTCCCCATACCTGAGCATCTGAGGAGGTCCCATACAATTAGGTGGCGATCAGTGGTGGATATGAGGTAGTGTGACGACGTTTTACTTCCAAATGTATGCTGGCTGCATTCACATTATGAAACGTGCATCCAAGACAGTCAATGCTCTCTACTCACGAGAATGTTTCTGGAGGGAAAGGACTGCTGAAAACCTTGCGTAGTTCACAGGTGTAAGGATCCCATAGAGTGAGACACTGAATGAGACAGAATGCCAAGGAACACAGTAAACTGTTTTTTTGGTATATAGATGAATCAAGAGGTCTAACTTTCTTAAAGTTGGTGGCCAGAAGAGATCCATCGCGAGAGAAGCAGGCACCTCTGCAGGGCAGACACTGGTAGTAGGCAACGGAGCGACACGCCCACGAGGCATCGCCTCCCCTCTCCTCTGCTCCTCCCAACAGGACCCAGGTCTTGACATTCCCGTCCTCACTGGTGCTCACAGCGGCAAGTGGAGGGGCAGACCCCGTTGATTTTCCGGCTAACGAGGTGGATGATGATAGAGAGTTTCGTGGCGGTGGTGGTGGTGGTTGGAAGGAGAGAGAGGTGACTTTTCCATTATGAGGTGGCTCCACACACGTGTTCAGTTCAAACCTTACCAGACACACAAAGAGAGGAGAGAGATTGAGTAAGGCAATAGATGAAGTGAAAAGACGGAGAAACCTACTATCATAGAAACTTGCATAATGTTAAATATTTTGATGGCCTGTTAAAATTTGTCGCACTCTAAAACTTACTCCTGAGAGGAAGCAGTGAACTGCCAGAACTTTAGCCTTAGCTCGGGAGTTGTCTTCCCATCATCCCTCCACTCAATCTACACCACAATAATACATTGTCTTATAGCTCAAACTCTACAGCAGTCACTCACAGTAGCCAGCCAGTGTCCGTCAGAGGAGAATGCAGCGTGTTCTACAGTCATGAGGACCAGAGGTTCATCTCTCCGTGACACATAGTTCAACCCAGTCACGTCCAACTGAAGAAAAACCCAAACGTAATGGGAAATTCTCGCATCATTACTTCACAGTTCACAGTAAAATGCTGTAAATTTGAAGGCTACTGATGAACGAAATATTTTGCCAGTAAGATTTTCTCACAACATTATTCTGACACAAAGTTTCGACATGCAGTGTGAAATGTATATACCTGGCAGGTGACCTGGTCTAGATCAGGTCTGTACCACTGAAGAGAGCCAGAGTTGCTGTTGGTCACGAAGCTCAGGGAGCGAGGGTCCCACACGAGTCCCGTCCTCATTCCGTTCTCCCCCGGGGTCTGGGTATGAGACCTGCGCAGCCCGCCCACCGTCCACTCCACGTTGTTGTTCAGTCCAGACACCACCTGAATGACTGGGTTGGTGGACGCCATCTCTCATTGACTGAAACTCAATAATTGAGAGAGAAAACTGTTACTGTTGTTTTGTAGGGACACGGCAAAGTTCTGGTCGGCTGGGGCACATGACACTCTGGTGATCGGAGCTCCAAGTCTCGGTCGGAAGTGTTTTTTCGTTCAACGCCAACTGCCACACAACCAGGACACACTCCTCTCCTCCTGACAGCAGGAAGGTCCCTGGTGAGGGAAAGAGAGGAAGAGGGGGGGGGAGATGATATCTGAAGGGGACAAGGAAGAGATTGTGATAACTGGCACACATCTGACTAGATAAAAGTGTGAACCCATCCTTAGACGTAGAGAGGCTAGGAGCATAAAAACAGCGAGAATAGCTTAAGTAAATGAAAGTATCAAACCATCGGTGGTGAAGCAGAGGTCAGCCACAGCGTGTGCGTGCCAGTGGAGGACAGTCTTGACCGGCTGCTGTCTCCGCCCGGTCCAGCCATACCACACCTCCACCTCCCCTCTCTCGTTACCCGTAGCCACACACAGCTCACTCGGGTGACCAGCTATCGCTCCAAGGACAAACGATGTCGGGAAACTGTCGCGCAGTACATGTAAAAAAAACGGGAATATAATTATATAGGTTTTAGTTTTAACTGAAGACGTGTATTGCTCACCTTCGCTGTAGATTTTTGGAAATGCTGCACACGACAAGACTCTTTCCAGCATAGGACAATACAAACTCTCCCTGTACATGATATATAGAGACAGTGTGCTCTATTGGAAACCAGTGCAGGGTAGAGAGGAACACTTGCATTGAAAGAGAAACACATGTCGGAAGGGCTGGAGCCCAAGTGCAGGTATTCTGTGGCCTGAGAGAGCTGGACGGCAGGGGGTGTGGCCTGGTCTCGGTGAACTATGACCTCACTAGGTAGACCAATGATCACTTTATCCGCTGAAAAAGCAGCACAAACGCTATAATATACAAACAGGGGTATTTTACAGTGTGTTTCTAACCTGTCTCAGTGGATCCTAGTTCTATTCCTTCACTGGAGTCTACCTCCATAGTACCTATGCAACACACACACACACACACGTCAGTTAAGACTTACGACTTACTGAACACAAGCGTCACCTTTTTCTATTTGAAAAAACATCCGAGGTTCCTTCTTCCCAGGACGAATGGCAAAGTGAAACAACGGCACACCAAATTCGATTTCCTTACAATGTGTATATACAACCAATAAGAGTTTGTATAATAACAGAGTATACTATTACCCTAAGGAATGACCCATCAAGATAGTCCCATATCATGACTTTTCCGTCCAGAGAGGCAGTCAAAAGCTGCAATGTGAGATTAATGTCACACTTCTCCAGTGGAGACATATCACTATATGTGCAGTATGTATGTGCCTACCCAGACTTCAACTCAGATTTTATCCTCGAAGCTGATGCCTCAGTACAAGGTCTGGAAGCTGTACTCAGTATGTACCTGGAGTGAGTTGTGAGGGTTGAGACAGCACGAGGTGATGGCTGCCTTGTGGCGACTGAGGACGTGCACCAGCTGGTGGGATATGGTACTGTACACATTGACAGCACAGCCGGCGCACACAAACATCCACCTGAAAGTTTACGTGATGGGGGAAGAGCAGAGAGGGAAAGGAAGGAAGAAAACATTGGAAAATAGGGGTTTTGAAGGGGCGAGACGTTGAGAATACCTCCCATCTTTGGAGTAGCTGGCTCTAACTGAGCTCTGGTCCACTCCGCCCTGCACTCTCACCCTCTCACATTCGCCCTCCATCAACGGTCGTCGGACTACACGTGGGTGAGAGGAGCGCGCTTATTTGGCGCTTAAAATACGCGCGTGTGGTGTGTGGTTCCTTGTTCCTGCTTCGTCGTGTGTCTTGTTTCTGGACAGTTTTGCACAGGTATGTAGTTGTAACAATGCGATACACTGATGGTTGTGCATGCGAAGTATAACAATTCTGCTGGCTTCGCGACTGAGCAGCAACAGAAGAAGGGCCCGCGTAAAATCCGCTGCGCTCTAATTACCGCGCGCTATTTTTCGAGGGGGCGTAGGCCGACACATGCCTTTTCTCGACAAAAACACCTGCCAAGCGGGACAGTAAGGGCGTACCTTGCATCCTACGTGCACTCCCTTTACTCTGTCGTCTGCGCGAGCGCCAGAATCGTGCGAGAACGCCCCTGTTGCCCATCACCCGCAGCCCCTCCCTCCCCACAAAAAGGGGTGGCGGTGGCAGCTGCTTTGATTGATTCAGTGATCCAGGGCACGCGGCAGGGAGTGTCTGGGAGTTTCCCTGCAGGTTCCACTATTCTGGCAGGAGGTGAATAGAGAGAGGCCCTGGCTAATAGTGACCCACTCTATTTGTGCTTGATTCACCAGCTATGAATGGAGCGCGCTGTTGTTCGCATGCTCACAATGGGAAACGATTCACATCCCTTCCAAACTCTGCCAGCATGGCGTCCCTCGGCTCCCTCTTTATGAGCAGAAGCTGATTTGCGGTATCCACAATGCGGTAATTGGCACGGAGTGTTTTTTGCAGCCGTTGCCAAGACCACACTCCCGGTCTCGTCTTCCGAAATGGGGCAAAAACAATTAATTATCCACTCGCGTTGAATCGACCAGATCCCTTCAAGGTGAAATGACAGACACCGTTTAACAGGTGTCCGGCCAAATCGAATAACCTCTTCTCGGAAATCTCTAGCGTCCATGTACACATTAGCATGTACACTTGGCGACCAGCCTTTCGTATGCAGGAGCATCTTGTATCCCGGGTTACTGGCCTCGAGCCATTTGAATTTCAACCCCTTCACAGTTTGCGGTGACAAACAGCATTCTCTACACTAATGTTTACTCCTATCTAAGCCCTCCAAATGAGGACACCTATGGTCTTTAGCCTGAAAGTGTGTGCGTGCTTGCCATTGTATGTATATACACAAACCGTAATTTCTGTACAATAAATCTGGGAATATGGCTAATGTTTACACGCCACCCTCCTAATGAATCTTCAAAATACTGTGTGTGTGTGTGTGTGTGCGTGTCTCGAGCATGCATCTCAGAGTGCAAGACTAATTATAATAGGGAGTGTACTATCTTTTGTTGAGCCCTTTTCCTGAGGCGGATTGAAATAAGGAGCTTGTCTAATGTGATGAATTGTGGTGTAACAAAGATTCCCCATAATACAATTTAAGTGCACCTTTTAAGCACAGTCGTGTGTACGCGAGTCGTGCCTAACCCAGGATGTTGGGGCACCTCGGTAATTCTTTTTCAGCTGTGTCTGCTACGTTACGTAGCTACATAGAAGGTTATTGTCTTTGCAACTCAGCAGCTGTGGAATTCTCGTCATTACATGATCACAGGAGTTCCCCTGTCGATTAGTCTCTCCTCCGAGTGCCCTGACCTCCTGTACTTCAGTCGCGCCTGAAACACCTGCAGCATTATTGTCCCCCTAGTATATACCAACACGTATGTTGGGAGCCCTGGAAACCCAACTTTCCTTTCGTCGTGCCTCCTCCGCTGGCAAACAGAATCAGGCCTGGAATCCCAGGAATGCTTTTCCATCTCTGCAAGCCCGATTCCCGTCATGTTATTGTGTTCACATCGGCATGCAATTGATGTTCTCCAAGAGGTCCAAATATGGGGGCATGTCGTGGGATTAGCACTGTGTTATCATTATTCTCCCACCTTCCGGGCATTAGACCAGTGGTTGTAGTGTGCGTGTGTGTATGTGGGAGTGTATCAGCTCAAAGGCATCTTCATATCTTGGCCGTCTGTCGACATACCGACATGGAGACACCAAACACACGATAGGCAAACACAATCAAATCGATTTGCCGAATTCCTCGCATGCATTACAGCTGGGCGTTCTTCCAGGCACGACCGACTGTGGAGACCATCTCTCTTTGATAGCTCGTCAATTAGGGCAGGACATTCCCGAGTGTAAACATATTCAGTTAGGGACTGGGAGGAGAGTCCCCCAGGAGTGGAATGGACTGTGTTGCAATGGGCAGAAGGCTTTGAAGCACTGACCTGTCCGTCGCATTTCCCACCCTGTCCAGCTTAGGTTCACTCTCTGATTCATTTCTTCCCTCCGTGAGAACTGGAACTGGCTTCAATGAGGCTTCAATGAGGCTTCTTGGCTTCCAAGCTTTGGTTAACTGTTGGTGTCCTAACTCCCAGAATTTCAGCTGTTGTCAGGCAACACCAACATGGACCTGCTGTGCTCACACTAATCTACTACATCCTCTTTTTGAGGAATTGCATTTGTATGTGGAATTTTTCCATGGATTCCTACAAGGGTCCCACAAAATGGCAGGATGTGTTGCTCTTTCACTGTGTCCATACGTATGTACACACAGCAATAAACAGACTGTGTGCCGAAGTAGATATATGGTTTGTAGGATGACATGTACAAACTCTCTAATTGGTTTAGGCCGCACTGCTAGCATTATTCACAGCTTTTAGGGCAGGCACGGTCAGGAGGGAAAACCAGGTGTTTGCCACTAATAGTCCGAAAACACAACCGCAAGTGGAGAGAGAGGGAGAGGAACAGTGTGATAAGACACTGGTTTTAGAGTAGCGGTCGTTATCTCTAGTTCTCTGATAGCTGGCGTAAACACTACGACGGTTGAGAGAAAGGGGGTGGAATGCACCTCGCATACCGAGATTGGAACCCTATTTTCAATACATCGCAGAACCTTCAACCCTCTCTCTGACTCATACACCCACAGCTACTGATTATACATACCCACAATTGCTCTAGATGCTCGTTAGTAGCCCAGGGAGATAGGCTGTGAGCATTATCTCCTGTCGAAAGTCCAAATGGTCCATTTTCGCTATGTCTGGGACTGTCTGCTGCACCCCCTATCACCCCTGCACCTCGGCATGCCAGGGTGACCACAAGTTGAAAATATGATCCCTACACCTCAAATCTACCAGTGGATATGTGCTGCCATCGGAGATTGTAGTAAGAGACATGGCAACTGTTTGGTATCGATGGGCACATCCCACTGATCTACATGGATGGGTACAAGGCGTGTGGTGGCTTTGGAGACTAAAACCTTCATCTCCTTTAATGTACGATCCTACCTGCGGCCTACGTACAGTACGTATATAGCTCTTTGAATCTGGGCGATCATGGCTCAGTGCTAGTACTGGAATTGTGTCCTGATTTGCAACCATGTGTAGTACTGTGCTGATTTAGGTCGTGTTTCACGTGTTTAGACGTGCAGGACGCGCTGGCGTAAACAGCACCCAAATTAGAGTTCATGCCGTGCCCTAATAGAGCCCACAGGGGGGAGACTGGGGGAAGCTGGCTGGCGCATACGCTGCGGCTGCTGACTCGGGCAGACAGTCTGCTCAGTCCTCTGTCTCCACTGCCCGCGGTGCAACCGAACCGCCAAATCAATTTGGTGCATTGGTTAGTTGATTAGCTGAAAAGTCCCAGTAGCTTTGAGCAGCTCTAATGGTTTGGCTCTGAGGTGGGCAGTTGGAGGATGTGCAATAATTATACATACAGTTTTGGAGGGCAACACTGCAGCTGCGTGATTGATGACTCTGGACAAAAGATATTTTATTGCTCGATTCTGTTTTGGCAACTGTGGTGCTGATTTTATGGCAGTGTTCAGATTCCAAACGCCCTTAGTAGGCAGGGCAGCTCCATGACTGGAGGGAGACCTGAGTCTGATTGTACGTAGCTCAACCTGGCATTTCAGATCGTGCACCCTCAACTCTGGATTTGGGAAGCTATGGTCGGGCTCTTGCGAGTGATGAGGTGAAGGGAGGGTGTGCTTTTGGGCCTCTGGAGTACATCGTACGTAGCCCTACATTAGTCGGAATTCAATCAGCTCTCTTTGAAATTAATTTCTTGCACCAAACCTGGGTTTGCCACATTCTGTGTACGTGTCATGTGTACACTTTGCCCGCATTAACACACGTGTTTCCATGAAAGTAGTTCAGTTGTTCGTGCAGTGAGTATAGAATGTATATGTACATGCACGTACTACACAAATACACAGTAGTTGCAGTCGTATGCACACACACACACACACACTCACACACACACACACGTGGGGCCTGTTTTAGTGACATGTCCCAAGCCCTGCGCCTCCTGAAAGCCAATGCATGTCGGGTTTAATGACCGAAAACAAAGACTGCATACTGATGACATTGGAAATGCTGGTGTATTTGGCTCCCTGCGGTTGCACCACTTGGCAAGAGTGTGTGGTAAACTCAAAGACACAGTCTCGAAAACTAAGTGCTTTCCGTATTGCGTAAGAAGGCCAGACACTTACTTACAATGGACCCGTCCTCTGATCTTGGTGACTGCGGGCCAAATGAGATCGTTGCCAGTCAGCTGTGTGCCCCCGCTGGACTAGTTGGAGTGCTGGGTGCTTTCTTTGTTAGTTAGGGAGACCCATTAACGGATTCCGCAGACTCTCATTAGAGGGATTTCTGCATTTGCAGAATGCATTTTCTGTACCTGACTGCACACATGCACGCACACGTCTGACAGACCGCGAAATGTTTTTGATCTGGTGTGGACACCTGGTGAAATGTTAACGTTGTAATGCCCGAATAGAGACGACACAGCAATCAAATTCTTTTGAATTATTGGCTTTGGACGTAAACAGGCTGTCTTGCGGGATGGCGCTATGAGAGAGAGGATCTGCGGCCAAGAGTTGGTTTTTCCTGGTATCGTGTTGCCCTCCGTTGCTAAATTGCCTATTATAATGACCCACTTCCCTTGGGCTATATATATGGGCCTCCTAGAATCAAACTCGAGGCAAGTTCCCACACAAATGAGCTCCTTTTTGAAAGTTGGCGGAAGCAACGCATTATCAAAGCATTATCATCACCGTTGGTGAGTGAACCAGCCCACACTTATTAATTTCTGTAGCAGAACTAACATTTTTTACAGCCTCTTTTGGTGAAAGTAGGCAAGATGATATTCCAGTCAGTGTGGGTGTGTTGAGGGTGGTGGTCTTCCAAAGGAAACACTCTGGACGTCATGGGAAGACTAATTCTCCACCCACAGCTTTTGAAACACTCTGTGTACAACTGTAGTGTCTCATATTTGTCCTTTTTGGGGATTTTGCTCGACACCCCAAATCCCGTATCTAGCCTACGCACATGCTTTGCTTCGTATTGTGTTGTTTTGAGCCCTGCCAGCTGAGCTGCCCTGGAAAGTTCTCTTTTTGATTTGTTTGGCTCACACTTGCTCTGCACTCATAACTCACTTGGTGATTCATACATACTGACAGTACTGTGGAGGGTCCCTGGTGAAGGAATTAAGAAATCCCTGGTGAAGGAATTAAGAAATCCCTGGTGAAGGAATTAAGACCTATTACACCATCTCCAATCGGTCAACCATTTCCCACTAGGTAGCACCTGTTCCCCTAATCCTATGGCTGCGGGTCTGAGGATAATTGTCGTTAGTTGTATCCCCCCCTCTTTCGGAAGGTCTGTTGAAATCTGACCCCTCACCTTTTCCCTCTTGTATGATGTCTACTGTACAGTCAGTGTGAGTGTGGTACGTTTCCGAGGTGGGGCATGACCGCTCGGTACATGCACACTACTAGGAGTCCAGGGTTTGAATTATAAAGCAATTATTCTGGAGATTCTCGAGATTCTTTCCTTCCTGGGTCGAGTAGGTATTCACGTCTGGTCTCTGTGTGTCTTGCAAGCTGCGGTTGTCGTGGTGGCGGCGGCACCTGTAATAATTCACACAGGCTCTTTCATCATCGTCTCATCCCTTTTATCCCTCGGCGTATGGAGTAACAGAATAATTGTCGGTTCTAGTGTAACGCATGTTTTCATTAGCGGTTTGGATTAGGCAGAGTATCATCCGTCGCCCGGCGCTAACACATCACGATGTAAACATTCGCACATTGAGTGAAGCAAACACATACCTCACGTACAGGATGTCAAGTCACGACTGCACTAGGGAGGGGCCCGATGCTCTAATTGCCGTAATTCTCTCTCCTCTCTCTCTCAGACACTTGTACGTAGTATCCACCGAAACACCTGCAATTTTTGTGGGAATCGCAAAATTTGATTCTGCCGTAGTAGTGGCTGCACACAATAACGTGCTGTGCAGAATTTTGACTTTTGCAAGTTGTTTTGTGCATGAAAGGCAAAAAGTGCCAAATGTAATTCCCTCCAAATTTCTTGACACACATGCTCTATATAACCCTCTCTGCCACTTAATTCCGTCTCCTTTCGACTGTGCAGGTGAGTGGGCGGAAACATGGAGCTCCTGGCTCTCACGGGAGCCGCCGTTCAACCACTGCTGCTGGACAGTGGTTCTGACACTGAACCACCTGTGCAGAACGTGGAGGATGGTGAGCTACGGGGATCCACACATTATACAACTAAAATGAGAGTGTTTTTTTTTAACTTTGCCAGCCCTGGAACTAAGCACCCATCCAATAGAAGTCACTTCACTCCCTGAATTTTTCTAGAACATTCCACCAAGTCTGTCTGTTTCTACTAACTTTGTTCTGCCCTTCGTATCGGGCGATATCATGGGTGGAGCACACTTGCATGCAGCTACATGTAATCGCAGGTGTTTGATGGATACACATTCCCCATTCAGTCCCATGTGTTGCTCCCACTCTCATTCAGCGCCGACTTGAATATTCAGTTCTGCGGCGCACTCGCCCCCCGCATACGTATGCATGCACACCGACACTTGCTTCCAGTCCAGTGGCAAGTGAAGTAGGTTAGCATTCAAGTCTGTCAGTACGTAGGCCTCGGCCAGTATAATATGACCATAGATTTCGAGCCTTCTACGTGCTCATGAAGGAAAGCGGTTAGCCCCTCACTTGTAAGTTGGAGCGTACAGCTGAATATAGCTCTGGATCGTGATCGGTCTCACGTAGAAGGAAAGTATAAAAGACAGTGCATAGTAACCGTGCAGGAAATTGCAGGGAATTCTCCTTTTGAAGTAAGACAGTGGCCTAGTGGATTCGTTGGAAGAGGCGGGGGGAGGGCCTCAACAGATGTGAGTTTGGGCTGGCAGCCAGTATTTCCCATCATTTTCAAGGCGAGCTAATTCCCCGCGTCGTCAACCCTCCTCCTCCAGGAACACCTCCAGTGATCGTGTAGATGTGTGGTGGTATGTGTGTGACTTACTGTGGTGGATCTTTGAGAGTGTACATTTCTATTGCCGACAAAAGAACAGACTATTTCTTACCCGTTTGTACTGGTATAAAATTACCGTGCACGTAGTGATGTGTCGGTGGCGTTGATTATCGAAAAGCTGTACTGTTTGTTGGCCTTAATTGTTTACCGCATCCTGATCCGTGTGAGCAATTATTTTCCTTTTCATGTCTGATGATGAGACGTATTTTGTGTCTGCGTGGTCAGATGTCGCAATCGGCTGGCAAGCAGTGCAACTTCAAAGGTGTAAACTAGCAAGTGATGTTGTCTGAATTAAAGGGACCGCCTCCCTATAAACTTTCTTTGTGGCAAATTAACTAACACTAGAGTACGCCGCTCCCTCTGAGGTACGGTGGGAGAATTCCACTTACCTGATTTCGAGGCTGTGCTGAAGTTAGTAAACTCGTAAAGGGCCCTCTACTCTGGATAACTGGCAAACGACAAGGTTTACCTGTTGATGGTGCACCGATGCTCCTTTCACATATCCAAGCTCTTTCTACCGTATCCCACTGGTGTAGGGTTTGCTCTCCCACAGGTTGGTGTCCTCATATATACGTAGCAGCCGTGAGCTCTGTTTGCCTCGGGTACGACAAATGCACAGCCTGGGATCTGCGTTGTCGTATTTCAACCCTTCGCCGTCACGTGAGGCCCGCCCGCCGCTGGTTGTGGTGGTGCTAGGTGTTGTGTGCCCACTGGCGATATCGAAATAGACCCTACCGACAATTTGCGTACAATCGCGAATAATTCCACTGCATATTAGACGTGACAACAAACACACAAACACGTGATATTCACCCAACATTCTACTGCATAGCACGGTTCACACATATCGGGGCATACCTCTGTGTTCTGTGTATATGTAATATGCAAAGAATGTCTGCACCTTATTGTGGTCATGTTTACTCTGATGTGCATTCAGCCCACAAAGGCTCCAATTTATCCCAACGTGTCTCCAGGCAACACATACATACATACATATACACGCGGAGTCCGATTGTGTGACATGTTCCAAATCCTCTGAGGCATGGCTCAATAGAGTCAACGCTCTCTGGAATGCCGTGATTGGCTGATGAGTGGCCCACGAGGGCTCTACACTAGATTCACGTCTTGGTTTGCTAACAAGGTCTGCCTATTCATGCCGGTGGTGGCTCCAATTCACTCCATTTCCAACACACACGTCGCTTTGCACACTCGTTTGGCAATTTGTTAATTCAGCCACTGGCGTCCAATGTCTCTCGGCACCATTATCTGCCCTGGACATCATCCCACAGAAAAGCTTACTGGGAAATCATTACTATGTGCCCATAGAATAAGGACCAATAAAAGGGAATACATGTGTGTAACTGCAAATTGTTTTACAATTTCTGCATGCTGTGTATTCACCGTATGAATGAGATTGCATCAGTTCCGATGTTTACGTGTTTGTCACTGCAGAACCACAAGGTTCCTGGGACCCAAGTCACTCCGTCTTTTCACCGCTAACTGGCAGGAGCTCCCCTCATCATGTGACCAATACAGACTACACCCAGACTACACCCACCGACCATACACTGACTCCGCCCACTGACCACACCCCATCGCCTCTGACTATCACAGCTAGGGACCTGTGTCCTGCGAGAGGGAGAGGGAGAGAGAACGGGGAGAGCTTGATTTCTTGGGAATCACTATCTCCCCTGACGCTTCCTGCCTTCCAGAGTCGGAGTACCCCACAACACCCTACCGCGCCTACTCCACCGATTCTTACTCCAGTTACTCCACACCATACTCCCGGCACCCCGCATGCAACAGGTCACGTGAGGATCAAAATATCGGCGAAAAAGCTCCGAGAAGTCGTTTCACCACTCCTCACTCCACCTCCGAGACTACCTCAGAAAACAGTGGAAGAGAGCGTTTCTCTTCGTTCTCTTCCGTCTTGCGAGAGTCCTGGGAGCTCTGAGTGCTCAACACCGAGAGCTCTGGTACCACTGCAGCACCTCTCCGTCCCTCCCTCCCCCTCCCTCGCTGCTCCCAGCCCCTCCGGTGTGCCACTACAAGCCAGGGTCGAGAATCAGCCACCCAATGCCAACGGTAAATGTCTACTGTAGTAGTAGTAATACATCTGTAGCCTAGAGTTAAATGCAGCCCTGTGGTCTTGTATGGGATGGAATATTAGACTAATAGTACATGACTATTTTGACTTTGAGATTGTGACTTTGATCGTCTGAATGAGATCCTCTATCCCATCCCCTACATGTTCACTGTATATACATCAATCAATATGGAAAGTGTTTCTTTGGATGGGCAAGGGACCCTTTGTTTGGTTTCACATACACTTACCATACCCCACATATGGACGTGTATAATATTTCTCGATGTGGCTTCGATGCCACGATGCCAATATAGAAAAAAAGCACCGTTCGTTGTTTCACAAATACCGGTCTCCCAAGCCATACTTCTGTGCCAGCGTTTGCCGGAGATTGCCCCCGTTTCCCAGAATTTTCTCCAGCAGTTTTTGCTTTCACTCTGCGGGCATGTGTATTTTTGAAACCGACCTTTCCTTTGGTGGTGGTTGTGGGGTCTCCTTCCCCTGGTGTATATCATTGTTTCCTAACAGGTCCCGTGGTGGCTTCTCCTGTTGTGTATACAATGGCGCTCTGTTGCTGGAAGAATCGAAACGATGAGGGAATAAATTGCCTCAATCTGCCCACCGCATGCGACGCGGTTGTGGTTACTCGATGTCTGTTTTTGTTACCGAGTCAGTCCCGCTGATAGCAGCGTGCAGCTGGGGCCGCCGGAGTACACAGGGACCCGGCAACATGTGGTAGCTAGGGGTGCGCGGCGACAGAAGAGGGAGTCCACACTCATGTTTGTACACGCGATACGCGGAATAGTAATCGCTGGATTTCTACCCGCAATGTGAGAATGACAGCAGAGGCCTTAAATGTATTGGGAAATTGGTGCGTTGCTTGTCTTCAGATGTGGTGTGCTGAACTCTATTTCGCCACCACAATAATAAAGCAACTCTATATATTATGTGTGTATTGCATATATACACTATTATGATTGTGATATGAGCCCTGAAAAACAAGAGCAGAGTATTGCAACACATAGAGACTTTGGGGACTCTTCACATACACATCCATATTATAATAGTTCCATGTGTGTGTCCATTAATTATCGATTCTTACACTGTCAATACAGTAGACGATTAAGCTGCCAAACACGTACTCTTTGCTCCCTGTGTGTCTGTGCATGCACCGGCCGCCTGTTCTCGTGTAGCCCCTGGTGTTGTGTTCTTGCAGTGGGAATGGTTCCACTCTAATTCTCGGCTCAAAGTGGTAAAACCGTTAGTCCCAAGCGTTTTCCAATTATCGAGGAATCTACAAGCAGAAGCTGGAGATGTGTGTGCGCCGGGGTGGGGCCGAGGTGTGTCTCCGTGTATGTCGTTTGTTTTTACTCGATTGTTGCTGGGCGTTTCTTTCTCGGTAAGCTCTGTGTCGACTCAATGGGCCCATGCCTCTTAATTTGATTATCTGGTAGGGGCACCAATGCATAGATGTATAGGTGTATGTATGGGGACATTTCACGAGATGTATGTAGTCTTGTTGGGTCATGCCCCTATGGTGTGCGCGTCCCTGTCTGCGGTATGCAAAAGGTAGAGTTAACGTGTCGCACGTGTGTGACCTCGACCGAGGAAACAATGGTGCCGACTGAAGGCGAGCAATTCCCCTGAAATATGTTAGTGGTTAGTCTATAATTATAATGTCCCGATCCATAGGGGACGTGATACTAGCTACTCGGCCTTTATGGTCATTGTCGAATGTATGCATGCACGCTGTCCAGAGCTCCGCATCTTTTTTCTCTTGGCATCACATGGTTTTTTCTACACGATAATCCCACACATAATAATTCCCCTTGTAGTGTGGTGTAGGTGTATGCTGGCGCCGACTCGGCACCTGGTTATATATAATTCTGTCAACTAGTCCAGTAAATTGAAAATAAAAGACTCGCAGCTTGTCTGAACGTACAAATTAATCACCCTCACCTGCAACTTTTACCTTGAGGTGCATGACGTGAGTTCTGTGACACTCTCGACCGTGAAAAAGTGAACAACCACGCCAAATATTTATGAGTCTCTCTGCATCTGTACGTACGTACGTATGTGACAGAGTGTTGGGTGATACTTGTGAATGAAGAAAACCATGGCGGGGAATGGAGAGCCAAGTACGTCTCTTTGTTGACGGACAGAGTTTGTTTCACGCTCTGTGGAAGTATTGCGGGTGTTTTTTCTCTCTCTCTCGTGGCGAGTCACGAACAGGACACCTCGTGTGTTTGAACGCGGCACTGTCAAGTGTTATTACGTACGTATGTCAGTACAGGCTCCCACTTGGCAGGCATTTGCTGGCCTGTTATACATATAAACATAACATCTATGTCAAGGGGCCATGGCTTGGAACATTTACGTGCATGTAACTGTCATTTTCAGTTCATCAGGCAGTGCACGAGCACGCACTACACGTGTATAATTTGATATCTCAGCCGGTCTAAATGAATATGTAAAACTTTAGGGCGTTGTCATCCCTCATTTGCCATACAGTTGCATACTTCTTTATCCTATTTTGGATGTGTCCAATGCTATTTTCATGTGTATTAAATTGTCCTTTGATGACAGCGTATTGCATAATCATGCCATTCTTTCAACGTCAGTTGTTTCAAAGCATTTGCTTCAAACAAGTCTCTAATTGGCAATTACCAATTTTTAATTACTTAATTTGTATATGCATAATTGGTTGACTCCTTCTCATTCTTTTTCCTTGTCCTCCCTCTCCCCCTTCTCCTCCCTCTCCTCCCTCTCCTCCCTCTCCCCCTTCTCCCCTCTCCTCTGCCTCACCCTTCACCAATTTAGAAGCAAGAGCAACCGATAAGGTAAACACTAGTAGTGGTACATGTCATGCAGTGTAACATATGGCAAAGGAAAAATGTGCCCTTTACTTCCGTATCTCAGCCGCCATGTGGGAATCAAGTCTGTCTTTTTTCTGATGCTGTCCATCCAACAGAGCTCAGACTATATAGCCAATGTGTTCCTGTACACTTTGCATAGTTACGTACGTGTGCGTGTGTACGTACGTGTTTGATATTGCGCAATGTTATTTCTTCTCCTCGTGTGAGCACTTGTAGGACGGCGCCATTGTTTAGGAGGTTGTAGAGTGCTGACATGAATGTTGGGGAAAAGGCCTCAGGTGTTGAGAGGAATCACGTCTCCTCAACTGAATGGCAGTTTGCATTCCTGGGTTGCCCAGTGGTGGGGAATGATTCATCGATATCTTGATATGAATTCTAATCGACTGACCCGTAACTAGATAGTCTGTGGAGTATATATATACAACATACGTACCTGTTTTGGATCGTATTTATTCTCATTTCATTATCTCAGAAACTTTATACTTTTGTGTTGATATTAACACACTGTGACTTTCTTTTGTCAGTGTAAGGGTTTGGTTCAGGGTACAATGAGATCCAGTCACCACTGCTCCCAAGTCGACACTTCATTAGGTACGTATGTAAACATGCACATACGTTGTGGATAAGCTATCTATCCGTGATAATATATAGCGCTTACATTCAAGCTCATAAACCATGCATGCAGGTGGAGTTAAATACATTATGCAATAGTGTGTCTCTGTGGTTTATAAAATCAAACGCTGTTCTTTGTTTGTTTTAGGTGCATTAAAGAGTTGTAGGCTCTCTTACGGGATGTTTTACAGCGTTCAGAGTAAACTGGTCTTTGTTTTTGTTGCGGCACCTGGCTTGTGTTTCTTTACCCATTTTTGGTCATTGTAAAGTGGTCAAAAGGCAATTATTTAGCTATTCCGAGTGATTATTTTACTCACCTTCTGTTGTCATATCACTAACCACAAATCCAATGGGACTAACTGCTTAATTTGCGTCTCGTTGCACGACGTGAATTGCGCAATAAAGATGCAGATTCCATCGGCAAGAGAAGCGGCCATTTGTCGGGGAAAGTGAATTGTTGTGGCCTCACAGCGGTGTGAAATATTCCGCGAATTCCAGTGCCAAGTTAGCAGCTGCTTTCCCCGAAGGGTAGAAATGCCGAGTTTTTTCGCTTTTAACTATCAGCATTCCTCGTGTGTTTGTGGTCGCGATTCAGGTGTCCGTCTGGAGACCTGCATTCCTTTCCCGTCCTCCTCTTGGAGGGGAGAGTTTTGTTTACAGAGCCTCTCCCACATGCATACGTATTAGATTCGCGTGTGCAAGTAATGTCATATCAGGTGTCCTGGCTTTTTTTGGATTCGTGGAATATTTCCCTTGAGGATAGGTGAGTGTTTACGTACTGTTACGTACTGTTACGTACGTCTGATGCCGTGTAAATAGCCGAGACAATGGACACGTCGTTAATCAAGAAAATTTTATACTCTAAAGTGAGATGTCACACCCAATTAATCGCGACGTTTTATGTCTGATATTGGATACTCTTTTGTGGTAGAGAAAGACAAGTCACGTTTGTTTGAATATTTCTCATATTTTACCATATGGGAAATCAGAGAAATTATCAAAATTTCCAGTTCTCCGTATTAGGAGGTGCAAGCATACGTAGTTGACGCCAAATATTTTCCTGTCTTTGTTGCTTTTGGATATCGATCGTGTGTACATAGTCCTGTGTACATTTGTGTGTGTAGGTGTCATTGTGCGTGTACATATGGACAATGAAAGGCTCTGATTCAGCCCTTGAAAAATTCAGCCACTCCCTTATTGTGTGCAATCACTGGCTATTGTGCATCCCGGGAGCTATTGTCCCGCGTCAATTGCGACGCCAGCAAAGAGCCCTTCTTCTTCTGATGTGCCTACACTCGGAGATAAATGCAGAATATGTCTGTGAATTCCTCGCAATTTTTCCACCCTAATGTCTCCCACTGTCATGTGTGCCACTGTGAACAGGAATTTCATACCCAAATTTGTCCATCGCTTATACATGGTAATCCACGTGGAAAGATGTGGCGACGTTATTGCTGAGTTTGTGACTAATGTTCTCCGCTTTATTTTTCTGGGCTTTTTCTGGGCTTTTTCTGGGCTACTACGTCTGTTCAACACTTTTTTACCATGCTCCATACGTACGTATGATTAGGACAATCGGACAGCTTTTGTAATGGAGTCCTTTGTTTGTGTGTTTGCCTTGCTACTTGCTGTGGTGTGGTGCGTATCCACCTCAGGTTTGACCCAAAACAAACCAGCAGCTTTTGTTTGGTGTCTGGTCGTGAATTAATGTTGGCAGTGGAAAAACGTAGCGTCGTCTGTTGTGGCTTTCAGCAGACACCCGAGAGGCCCAACAAATCCTCCTCTCACTCTCACCCTCCTCTCTCCTCTCTCTCTCTCTCTCTCTCTCTGTTGCCAAATACGTAGCATCCCAGGATTGCAATAACTGGATCGGTTGGCTATCAATTTCAAACAGACACTCTGTTCTATATAGTATTACAACACACCCCTCTAAACAAAACCGCTGCTCTCACCGGGTTACGCGGCGCGGGCACTTGGAGGAGTGTTTAGGCTCGAGTTCTCCGTTTTGATATCCAACTCCATTTCTGGAATAATTCTCGTCCCGTAAGTGAAACACGAGTGTCATTTAGCAAGGGATTTAGTGTCAGCAACACAAACACTCCCACCGGCTAGTAAAATAAAGCCACAAGATTAGTATTACAGCGTGGAACACCGGCCCTCCATAGTCGACGTATTACGGCGGTGTACTGTGGTATTTCATTGTTATGTCATTGATTGCCGTGACAGACTGTGCAACAATGCTTGTACCACTTTGGGGAGTGCTTTGTGTAGTTACTCGAGTTTCACTTGGTTGCAATGGTTCGGTTACAAATACAGCAATTTCTCTCCTATGAGGGCTGTGGCGACCGCGTACCGTATATACTTCTTGGTGTGAAGTTTCCAGGAATACTGAAGTCATCGCTTTCCCACTAAAAACGCTTGTGGATTGTTAGGCACGTGCAAATAGTCCTTTTACTGTGCTTTTGAAGTGGAAGTGGCTGGTAAAAGGAGGGGATTAGTAAGGATATACAAGCTTTGGAAAAGAAAAACAACCGTCATAATTCTAGCGGGAGTGCGTTGTTTAACATTATGTAACTAGCATCAACACAGCCACGTGGATGAGTACGTACCACATGCATGTGTGCTAAAGGGAGTGGCAAAGGGGATCAAATTGTTGGTCCGTTATAAGTGTCTGCCAGGGACTCCCACTTGCATGCCCACTAAAGAAGCAATCACTTTCTCCCCTCCCCCTCCTCCTTTTTCACTGCAGTCCACTGAGTCCATGCTGTCTGTTATTCCCTGGAGGATCTGTGAACCAACCGTATATATACTCTTGGGGGAGCTTACATTGCTTGGCCAACGATCCATGTGTAGGACGGATATCAGTTGACACGTTTTTCAAAACTCTTGTGATATGCTGACGCGAGGTGCGTCTTGATTTGTTTGCAAAGCCACAGGTACTCCCCTAGCGCCCGATGCTGTACCTACCTACAACTTACGTAGAGTGCTAATGGGTCCTACACGTCGCCAATTAAGACATGGTCACGTTTCATGTGTAGGTAGCGTAAAGGAGACGCGGGGATGTGTCTGGCTGTCGTTGCATGTTGGTACATAATCATGTGTAGGAAATGTCGTCTCTCTCTCTCTCTCTCTCGTCACACCAACTGCGTTTTGACTGGATTCAGTTATAATACCACTTGTAGTCTGGATATTCTTTGCCGGAATTCGAAAACAACCACTCTGTTTTCGCAATTGGCTTCGCGCGCCGGCCCCGAAAATCCTCATATACGTAGGAGTGCATGTCGGCTGGGCGAGTGGGCAAGATTTTCAGTGGAAGCTGTTTATAAACACAGCTCTCTCTGTGTTGTCTCACAACCCGTGTTTACCCACACACGGACGAGTGGACATCCACCAGTGACCCTTTGTTTGGCGAGTGACATGTCTACGGGGCAAATAAACCCAGAGATATTTACTCTGCCACCTTCTGAAGTTATTAGGAATGGAAGCAGCGGAGAGCCCCCTCTATGCAGGATGTTGTGAAACATTACTGTCGCCTCCGCACACAGGACACCTTTTCCTCCTTGGCAGTGCAGACGTGTGCACAAATATAGCTCTGCATAACATGATGGTCGGGAAATTTATGGCGTATTGGCATTGAATATTATGTCAATGGGAGTGTATGCATAATGACAGCTGGCTGGCCCGCGAGTGCATATTGGTGCACGATCCCATTGGCTTGCAATTCACGCTTTTAAGAAGATGTGCCTTATGGAGTCAGTGACTTTGCCTGGCCCACGGGTGCAATTGGCTGTCGTGCTACAGCTTCTGGCCATTTGCATGCACACACACACCGAGTGAAAAGCGATTATGCACCTGATTGCAGGGAGTGAAATAAAGCAGGAGAGAGGTTTTGACTGCAGCGATGAGAAACATGTGTGGTGGGTGCTGACATGAAAGCATTCAGAGGGATAGTCGGACTCTGCGAAGCTGATGCCGTGTTGGCAAATATACTAGGTCTTCCCAAGTTTGATGTCAATCAGGTTCCCGGTGTCCAGTTTGAGAAATTCCAGGCATGTAAACAGTACACTGCATCGATTTGCCAGCCTTTCGGAGTTCAGACGAACCGACGAGAGGTTTGAATTTCACCTCCCGTATTATAAGGTTACACAGAGGGGGTTGCTCTTTTCCCGTGTTTGTCAATTCTCTCGACCACTGTTTGTTGTGTTTTTGCGTGACACTATGAAGTAGGTTCGAATGTGGGTGTGTATGTGTGTGGGTGTGTGGACTATACTAAGTGTACTGCCGTCCCCACAGAGAACAGTGTCTTTGTGAGCCAAATTGAATCCCCACAGCCCACGTCTACCGCAAAGGAAAAGCTGCTTCAGCAGTGAGTTCTTCCGACATACAAATCTATGCACACGTCTGCACGCTTGCTGTTATGTCATCAATAATATAAGAGTGTGAGTACATTTAGAGATGAGACGAATGGACGGAGTACCTGACTGGATTCATTATCATACAAATTGTATAATTGTGTGTGCAAATGAACGGATAAGTGAATGTTTGTGTGTAGTACGTGCGTACCTGCATGCCTACACAGTCGGATTAGCTCCTTTGTGATGTGTTTGCTGTTTACGGTGTGTGTTGTTTGGTTTACGTACAGACAGGCCCGGGAGAAGAAGAGGTCGCAGTTCAAGGTGATTCGGCCACAGGTTATCGGACAACAAGAGGCAACATCGAAGACAAATATGGGGGAGAGGGATGGTAAAACGAGGCATGAACCGGGCAGAGCTTCCCCCGGGCTGCCTCAAAAGGCCAGGAGAGTGGGAGGAGAGAGGAACGGAGGGAGTTGTGGGATTCCATTACCAGAGCCAGTCGCCTCAAATGAGCAGGAGAGACCTGGTGCAGGCATGACTCGACTTCCTGTCTCCTCGATTCCTCTCTGCCCTCCTCCTCGTCATCCGATTCCTTCTCAATTAGACTCTGAACCCTCGAGCAGTGTTTTCCCTGAGAATGCGGCCCACAGGAGGGATTCTGTCTCGCCTCCAAGGAAAACATTAGGGAGACCTGGCAGATCACGTCCTCCTCCGGTTGGCGGCCGTGGGACAAACAGGACAGTCTGGCACCGACAAACCCGCCACAAACGGCCTCCTCATGTTTCCTCCCGTCGAAATCATGCGCCTGGTGTCTCCCCTGTTTCTACTGATGGCGATGGACCTCGTGTTATCTCTAGGCCGACATACAGGGCTTCTCCCTCGAAATCATCACCACAACAACCACCACCCACACCCACCTCACTTCCCCCATCCTCATTCCCTCCCCTCCCTCCCCATCTCCCTGGAAACCCTCTTCCGCCTTCCGTCTCCAACTATCTGCCACTGGACTTCCAGGAGACAGTTTGCCTGGTGGCCAGCTGCGCTGCCGCGGCAACTGCTGCTGCCCTAACAACACATAGAGTAAGTATACCCACATTTTTACCCCTTGCCCCTGAAATCTTCTCCCAAAGTGCATATTCAAAGTTATTTCAGCTCGTATGTATAATATAGTGCCCACACTGGTAAAGATATACAAATTAGCATACTCCATTGATTAGTCTCGAGTTAACTAAAGGCTCTCTGGTAATTGAACAAATCACTCATCACTGCTTGTGGTTTTGTGAAATTAGTCTGAATCTAGCCTAAGACAGGAAACCCGGGCGGTCCTGAGGGAAAACCTGAGCTAATTCTGCGCTAATCTGGTGAAAAGATGCAGTCGTGGGAGTGGTATGCAGTGTGGAGTCTATGGTTTACCGAGAGTGGTTGGAGATTCTCGGAGATTTAAAATGACTTCTGCCGCACTGTTCCGTATGCTGTACGTATGTACTAGCCACTGAATGCCGTGGCCACCAGATGTGCAAGTGGCTCTGACCACTTGTTCTTTAAGTGTGTGTGTGTGCTTTTTTTCCTCGGCCAGGCACCTGCACTATCTGAACCCAATTACCGATCCATGCCTCTGTGGTCAAGTTTTGGGCGTAAAATTCACAAATATGTACGCACCTGCAATAGCCGTCTACTTGTAGACGTACATGTACTGTGTGTGTGTGTGTGTGTGTGTGTGCAGCTTGGAACGCAGCATTGCAAAATTCTCCCCCAGACGATGCAATCGAAAGCAAAGCTACGTACATGCGTGCGTACGTTTGTAGTTAGCTAGCTAGTACACTCTTGATTCCTGGTTCCAGAGAGATGATAATATTGTGTGATGGGTACTTGGTGAGCGTCCAAGTGTGCTCATTACAGGGTTAATTTATACGAATTTTCCTCGTCGTGAAGCTCTCCCAAAGTGTTTTTAGTGCATGTTGTTGCAGGGAGAAAACCCACACTGTTTGGTGTCTCCAGTCAGGGCACCATTTTTGGCCAGCAATCTTGCATCCATACGTTGTCCAGGGCACATGTAGGCAACAATTAAATTTTAGTGCTCCTCGCATTGTGTGCGCATGTAGTGCATAGATGTGTGTATTTGGTCCCTAATGCATGTACATCAGTCAACGTACTGCGTCTATAGCTACTTAATCCCTAGTGTGATAATGTGACTGTTTGCACAAAATCATGTGCTATCGTTTAGTGTACTTTCAAGATAATGCGATTATTCATGACGCAGCCTTTCGTTAGATCAGTCTCACAAGTAGTAAATCATTATGTTCATGCGATGTAAACATGAAAGCATAACCTAATGGACGAGCACTTATTAATACTAGCCCTGCATGTCTTTGTAGTGTGAAATCCATTAGCAAGCGGCATCGTGTGTTTGCTGTGACTGTAAAAGTACAACGGCCTAGAATGAGGCACAGCTGTGTTTACCAGTTCAGCATCGAATATTGCAGCTCTGTTTACCGGATGAGCCAATTAGTGGCTCTCCCTTTCATTTTCATTGTCTCTATGTGAATAAGCCCATGAATATCGTTACGAGGGATCGTTAGAGGGGTTCAGCAGCGGATGTTGATTCAAGCACAGAGCTTTGTTTACCGCATAAGCTAGTTAACTTTGATGCTTTTCATTTTCATTCTCTTTAGGTTCAAAATAATTGAGCCATGAATTTAGTTACTAGGTTCTTGCTAATAGAGGTGTTACGTGGGTAGGTCTGTGTTTTTGTGGGGAGGACAGAGAGTTGAATTTTCCAGTTTCCATTTCTGTTTCATGACGTTAGTGCTCGTGATGATTGTGTGAATATTTACTGCTTCCTGTAATGCCAACCTGTTTGGTTGAGTTTGGAACTCTGTACGTACGTATATACCAGGGTTTGTTGTGCCCGTAACAACTATTTCGCAAGGTGCAATAAGCAGTATCTGGATTTCTGATAGGTTTCTGATCAAATTGTTTGCGCGAGCGAGAGGCTTGCGTTTTGGTATTGGGACTGGTCTCGGTGTCTCGTGTCCATCACACCCACTAGCAGGCGATCGGAATGTACACAAATCCGCAGGCGAAGCTATTTTACCTCTTTACCAAACGCGTCTGTTATGGCTGGAGGGTATCCTCCCAATTGTTCTGAGGTATGGATGGCCTTGCTATAGGTTTTCTCAGTACTGCAGCGAAAGCGGATCAAATATCTCCCATTTTTGTGTGAACACCCACAACAACAGACTTGCATTGTACGTGATGTTTAGGTGTCTGGATGCCTTACATTGGGCTCTGGGAAATGTATAACGTTTACATGTGTGGATGTGTTTGTATGAGTCTGTGATTGTCTCAATAGAATTCTGGGGACGAAGCCAGTGTCATGAAAGACAGGCTCTGTGGGAATTGTCCTAGCCACCATCTCGCCTCAAGGCAGCCGCCATCCAAACTCGGTGAGCCGTTACAGATGTACAGCAGCAATCCTTTTCTCTCCTTTTCTCTCACCATGTGTAAATACGTACTGAAACTGCTACTATTGCATGCGTGTAATCACGGGGGGAACAATTCTTCCCCCCCCCCCCTGCTACCCTCTCTCTTTATACTTTGGGCCATTTTTAAATTTTTTGCGACCAGATTTTGCCCCTGGTCCTCCCTGGTCCACTGAGAGGAAGAGGGGCAGAGGGAGGAGCGAGGTGGACGGATTCCCTCAGGACAGACGGCCGACGGGAGTCAAAGAACCGCCGGTGGAAAAGAAAACTGAAGCGTTTACAGTGGCCCCTCAGGAATCACAGTGGTGTGGGGGTTTTGGTCTGCCAGATAAACAGCCGTCACCGCTATCTAACCAGACCCTCTGTGCTGGAAAACATTCTGAAAAAACACAAAACGGAACAGACTTCTGGCGCCAGGATCCACGGGGGTCTCCCCCCAGAGACCACCACCTGCCAGACGGCGACAACACCGACTCAGAGGGTTCCGGTCCAGAAACAAGCCAGCGGGATCTCCCTGCGAGAGATGAGAGAGTCGCCTCCCCTCCCTGCCATGAGGTCTGTCTCTTTGTATGCTGATCGAATATGTTTCTTCTCAGTTGTGTGTACACGCGTGAAAGAAATATTAACCCCTTTATGTGGCTATTTCTGTAGAGAGCCATATTCATGTATATACGGTACACATGAACCACTAAAATACTGTTTACTGCTAACCTACTCCATGTGTTCACCTTTGCAAGCATGTAGTTCACTGCAAAAGTGCATACACACACAAGTGGGCCCTAATTTTCCCCACACTCCAATCTACGTACACATGCCAAGCAGTGCAATCCGGAACTCTCCTTGCAGTTGCAGGCTAAGAGTGAGGGACCTTTTTACGGTCATGCTCGGTGCACATGCAGCAAAACGGGGGTATAACACTCACTGTCAGCTAACCTTACACAAAGTCTTTCAAGTTGTTTGTAACGGCCTGTTCTGGCAAGGCAATGGGCCAAAATGAAATTAACCCAATTCCAACTACAGAAACACGGCCGTCATTGCACCCATTGTCTTGATATTCAATTTTCCTTAAGCTGCTCAACGAACCGTGGGACAAAGGTCAGTACAAAGGTTGATTGGGGTACCCCTCCTTCTTATGAGGCAATAAGTGCATAATGCACCTTCTTGTATTACCTGGCCTGATCAGAAAATATGACACTTTCTCTCACTCCAATAAAAATACTGCACTTATCACTCCTTGACTGTGAATAGCTGAAAAGGATCATTCCACGGTCAATTAACTCCGTAATCATCAGATGGATATGGTGACCCACCATCCAACTCACAGTATGTATGTATGTATGTACATATCTATATGTTCCGCTAATTTTGCCTGCCAGGAATGGGGCATTTGAAACATTCTCGCCACCTGCTCTTTGGATTTCCTACACGGTCCGTATGAGGTCCGCGTTTTGGTGTGTGGTTACGGAGCTATGGGGTTGCTAGCCATTATGTGGTGTCTGGTCTTAATTTGTGGTCATGTCCTCGTTAGCGTAAGGCATTATTCCGTAGGGAAGTGTGTGAGTCTCGTATGTACGTAGTCGATCTCTCCTCGCTTCTTCCGCGGACTGTTTATCGACACCAGTGTTCACTCCTGCCGACGTTGCATACGCATGTTGTCGGCACATGTTGAGAGTGTGCTAACGTGGAAAACTCCATTATGAAAATGTCAACATACCACTATGTGGGTACGGTGGTATGCAACAGGAAATGGGGCAATATCCCAAATAACTATATTATACTATGCTCTGGTATTTTTCTCACACTTAGTATCCGTAGCATGCATAGCCACGTTGCAGGCCAGAGCCATACACACCTGCAAGTCAGAAAGAGCAAGTCAACGTTTCACTATCGAACTTCAAAGTACACGCTACTCCTTTCCCCCCTAGCGCTTCGACTCCAAAAAAAACGTCACCGTGGCTTCTGTTTGCCTGCAGGGATCGTCACGGGAACGAGAAATGTGCAGACGTTAGCACCGACTTTCCCTCCAATTCCGGTGGCGTTGCGGAAGGCTCTGATCTGCACGCCGCCAGTCGCCGGTGTTGGCTGGCTTCTGTGTTCCGGGGGTATGTGAAAACTATCAGGACCAATCAGGCGACTGTCAACACTGCACTGTGACAAAGTGTTTCAAGTGCCTTTGTGAGAGGTGCCCTGCAAACCTGGAGCCCAATCTGTCGGCATTCTGTTCCTGTCGTGTCTGCCAAAACACGACAAGTGGCCGGCTGTGTTGTGGCAAGCGAGAAATAATTGCAATGAATGAGTGTGTGCCCGTGGGAGCCCGGGAGAGAGGGGGGCTAATTCGAGAACACTCTCTCTCCGATTGGGAGTGATCCACAGGGCTTTGATATCGCCCGCCCAACTCCTTAGCAGCGTGGCATGAGCTCAATCACATGGCAAGGGATGAGCGCTTTCTATTGCAAAATCACCATCCCTCCATTGTAGCACGTACACTCCTTGGGCGTTTGAGCATACCCACACGTCGGTCACAATTGGAGTGGTCTGCTGGTCAGACTCGCTATGCCAATCCCATTTATTGTCAGCTTTCATCCATTCCAGAGAAAATTAAGCGTAATTTCATTGTCCCATGTTTGATGTAGTGTGAACCGTCGATTCACTCACACTCCCATGTCACGCCTCTCTCGGGGACAACAGCTGATTAATATTCTGCCGCTGTGTCTCCACACCTGATGTGCGCACTTGTCCACTTTTAGTTCCTTTTAGTAAACCAACATGCACTCCGGATCGCGGCGATGTCTACTTAGAGCGAAGGGGTATCCCTGTTTGTCTGTAGCCTCACTGTTAGTCAGTGCTCCCTCGTATGCTGTGAAAGCAGGAATCCTTCCCCACAATACCCTGTGTAGTGTGGTTTTGAAATGCCCCGTGTGGTGGAGATCCAGAGACATGCCCTCGAATTTTTAGGTGTTCACTCTGCTTTTTATCAGAATTTATTCCCCAAAATACGCCTACTCCGAAAGTTTATCAACTTCCGGACAGAAGTGGATCCCTAGACATGCCGGTCTGAGAGATTCTCTTGATCTCTGACTCTTTTGGTTTTATACATAGCAGAGGGGCCATGAGCAGTATTTGGTCTGTGTACCTGTACCTACCGTGGCTAAGGCTTACAGGGTGTGGTATTATCTACGAGGATGAACTATGACACCATGGTGTGGAGAAGGCACGAGGACTACTGGCTGAGGTTATGCAACGTGAGGTCTCCTGCTTGCTGAAGACCCAGGTATAGGCCAGGAAGTTACAGCTGTGGAATAATTCACCAGTGGCACCTATTGCCTGGCATGCACCACAGTGTGGGAATTACACGCGCACACACACTTGTGAAAAGGGTGCAACTTTTTTGTTTAGGCTGCCAAAAAGCAATGAACTTTTGTTTGTGTGTACCGTCCTATGTGTGTGTGGAAATGCGGCAATTCATTGCGTGCATCACACTTATTCACGCACTGTCAATAGTTTTACCTGGAGCTCTATTGTGAGACGACAGAGTTGCTTGCCTTTTGTTTTCGTTTCCGTCGGCCCAGCTTCAACCTCTCCCCCAACAGTATATGTATACACCTCAGGGCTACTGGTGCTCCGTTTGGTTTTCTCGCGCGTGGATCGAGACCGCCGTCTCAGAACTCTTTCCAGTGCTGTGTGATGTTTGCGGAGGCGTTGCCATTGTGTCTGGTGCTGACTCGCTTTGAAGTGGACAAATGCATTAGATGTTAATTTGCTGTTTGCAGCCGGAGGGAACAAGTATGCTGTGACTGGAGCAGAGAGTGCGGTGTCACTCCTACACTGTGTGTGTGTACTTGTGGTCCCTTTTCCAGTCATCACTTTCGTCCAAAAAGGAGACCATAATCTTTTGTTGGCGGTATGACAATAGCTAAAAGAGGATTAATTTCCATCTCCGTTCCCTCCTCCTCTCCCTTGAATGATCAAACTACAAACGAAACTGCATACCTCTTCGTGTTAAAGTCACTCACTACCTGACAAAAAGGAATGTGTACTACACGACTCCGTGTTTTGGCCGGTCATGCATTAACACAGAACTTAAACCTTTGGCTTCGCCGCTTTCATCCCTGTGTTTCTTAATCTGTGTGCACGTCCTACTTATGATGTTACCGAACACTGCTACACTGCCACAAATTGATCGGGATTGCATAAAGAGATTGTCCTTCTCAGAAGAGCGATTGTACTTTGATGACGGACCTTCTGATCCATATTATATGCACCTACCCACCCCCAGAAAAGCACTTTTATATACTTTGATGATTCTATTCCTACGTACGTACATACGTACCTGATTGCTGATTTGCTGGTCTTTACACCTGTTGTGTCGTAATAGTTTACCGACTAATGCTATAGTATGTAAACCACTGAGTGAGTATGCGGAGAACAGTGGGTTAATTCATGCGGTGAGCTCCAGATGACGGGAACTGTATGGTATTGATGGAGGGTTTCGTCCTTTGTGACCCAGGGCCCACTGTCAGGGGCAAACACACACACACACAGGAGAGAGAGAGACAGGAGAGAGAGGAGAGGATAAATCAGGGATGTGGGTTCCTGGGAAAAGTTTATGACAATGTTTTCCTTGCTGACTTCATTTCCTTGGTGGTGAACCTTTAACCTCTTTCGAGAGAATTACATTTTTGGGATCAGGGCTGGGCGCATGATTTGAGGTACGTAGCAACCTGCAATAACAAATCTTATGCAAGCTAGTGATGTACGTGTGTGCGCGTGTCAGGATTCCCTAGAATGAGGTCATTCCCACCCGGAGGATGTCATTGTCCTTATTCTGAGTTTCCTGGCTGCAGGAAAAGTCATCAATTGTGTGTGTCAAATATCTCTTCCGGCTATGAGAACTGAGCTTGGTTTTATGGGAACTGGCTAGGGGTGAGACAGAGTCTAGGTGGCTTGGGAATATAGTCTTCCACTGCGGGGACCTCCCATGCTCCACTGACATGACAACTATATTCACAGTCCAATAAATGCCATAATCATCAAAATAATGTGTAAATGTTTCCGTTTTTCTCACGCATGGTAGCCTGATGAGTCCGGTGGTCGGAGGTGGGAGGTTGCTGTTGTCTTGTGTAGTAAGTGTTGGGTGTTACACCCACACACAGGCGTGACAAAATGCCCCGTTAGATCATTATTGCAACACACACTGACAGTGTGTGGTTGCAACTCTAAGTATTATACAGGAAGAGGAGAGGATGATGGGGAAGAGGAAATAGTTCAAAGTGTTAGTTACAGATTGCATAGGATACCTCTTTTTTCCCTGCCAACATTACCTTATTAGCACTCTCAGAGTTTATGAGTAAAAGTCTGTGATCAACTTGAGGTGTGGTTTGGTCTGTTAGTTTAGCAGCTTCTTTATCATAAAATTGCAGGTGGAATGGACAGTGGAAAAAACCTATCAGATTTTCACAACTGAGGGTGTCCCACTCTTACTATATCTGCAGATTTATCCCAGACAAAAAATTAGCTGTGTGTATACAGGGCTCAAAAGGAAGGTGGCACAAGGATTTTCCTCCTATCACTATGCATCTTCCTTCTTCCACGTGATGGAGCGTATGGCTTAGGCCTACTCTTCCAAACTGTGACAATAACTATGTGCTTAGTTGTGCCAACACCAGAGCATGTTTTCGCACTCTCTGTGTACATCCGAGCATAATGAACGCAGTCAACTCTGCATTTATTCAGAGTATCATTCGTCACCTGGTAGTCTGTCTAGCAATGGGCGCCGGTGTTTTGCCAGCTGCACCATTGTGCTCGCCTCTTCCACTACTGCATATGGATCAGTTGTTGTATGAATGTTTTCCATGAATTCATGCCACTATTACCGGCAACTGCGAACCCAAGCATACACACTCTCAATTCGACATCTGATTCACACAACTGTGAAACACCCACAACACAATGTGTTTCTGTGTATATATATTAGACATAGCTACATACCTGCCCCTGTCAACTTATTTACTTGCAGCTTTTAAAGAGTGTTGGACAAAGGTTGATAAATATCGCAACATACCATGCCGTGTAGGACAATGCAGCTCAAACAACGGGTTGCCTCAGCAAAACTGTGCAACAATGAAGGTATTTTGCCTGCGAGGGCGTAAGCAGCAGATTTCCGGCGATTTTGTAATCCGACGCGGAAGCGATCCGTTCAAGTGCGTTGGTGGCGCGTCACAAAGGTCAAGTGGTATTTCCTGAATTGATTGACGCTCGCGCCTTTCTTGAGCGAGTCTGGCTTTTTAGGAATGTAATCTCTTTTCAAGTCTGCGCCGAGCGCGTGGTATATAAACGCTAAAACGACCAATACAGCGCAAAAAACTTTAGTTCGCAACTAAGCGAAGAAGTAAGTAGTATTGCTGCCTTTGCTGCACATTATGCAAGCAATGTCAAAATCGATGGCGACAACGCCCAGTGCTCCCTCAATGAGGGAGAAGTGTTTCTTGTGTGAAGTGCCCAGAGGACCGTGGGCCATGCTGCACGACTTCACCCACCCTGTTTGCCGGGCTTGCTGCAACTACGAAGGGATTGATCGCATTGCAGAGGTGATAGACAAGGCCAAGCATATGCGGATGGTGTTCGACACGATAATCCCGACCTCCGAGACACTCTCGATGGCTAAGAGCCACGCTGATATCGCTGTGAACCTAATGCCCGCAGTGACAGTGGCCACGGCTGGTGGCCGCCCCATCATGCGACCCAACGGACCCACGTACGCTGTCATCCCGCACCCTGGAGGGAAAGTGCAAGTTAGCATGGCCGGAGCTAAACCTTTTCTGGGCCTTCAGCCATCGTTCGCAAGAATGCAGCAAGTGAGCGTGGACCGCGCGGCTACCATCCCGTTTGCAGCCATGCAACCTCGTCCAATGCACGTCACCGAGCCAGCGCAGATCCAGACCCACGACTCCACCACCCAGCGGTTCGCGCAGATACAGGAGACGCTAAACACTCTCGCGAAATCTCCGCCGTTCCGCGTCCGCTTCAGCAAAGATCATTCCCTCATCGGCCGAGTCATCGCCTTCGACGCAGTGTGCAGAGGATCGGACTACGAGCTGAAGGTGTTTATCGAGTACCCCATCGGCTCCCAGACAGTGTTCCAGAGCGCCTCCGGTGCTGGCCGACAGATGTATGGGGAGTTCCGCGAGCGACTCGGTATCGGCGGAGGATTCCGCGGAGCCTCGTCCAACGGATACAAAGATCTAGAATTCGAGAAGCTGTTTGGGGAGGACGAATGGCGCGTGCTCGGCGAGCTGCTCACCGAGGAAGTGAGGTTTTTTAGGGGACCCGTCAAGAAGGAACTTTTACCCACTCCTTACGTTGACCCCACTCATCCCACTATTCCTCCAGCCACCCTCAACGCCACGCGAGGTTTTCTGCGAAACAACCTCTTCAACAGAAAACGTCGCTCGTCTAACGAGGACGCCGAGAAGGAGGCCGAGGCGAGGAAAGAGAGACGCGTGCAGGAGAACGGCGTGGAAAACGTTAGCAACGGCCACCACTCTCCGAAAGCTCAGTCCCCGCGTTCTCCACCGCACGCGCATGCGACGGCGCCCGGCTCCGGATCCCCGCCGCGTGCCAACGGCGTCGGGAGCAACCCGACGAGCCCGCACAGCCCGCACAGCCCGCACAGCCCCGCCAAGACCGGAGGGAGCCCCACCCGCCTCTCTCCCTCCGAGCCCGCCATGGTGTGTCTCCTCTGCCACAGAACGCTGGAAGACACCAGATTCGTGCAGTGCCCCTCTCAGACGCAGCACAAGTTCTGCTTCTCCTGCTCTCGGGAGAGCATAGTGCAGCAACAGGGGAAATCGTCAGACGTCTACTGTCCTAGCGGGATGCGCTGCCTAGTCTCTGGCAGCACCACTCCCTGGGCTTTCATGGAGCAGGAGATCACCACAATCCTCGCTACAAGTAGCTCATAAGAAAGTACACAGTCATATGTACACTTCTTTCTCCCTCTCTGTCTGTCTCTCTCAATGTGCTTATTAATAAATGATAGCTACTAAACTGACGTTGTGTTTCAGTTCCGTATTTTTTCTCTCAAAATTTCTCTGCCTCCATTTTATCATTGTGTTCCTCACCAGTATATGAGATTGTGTTCATGTGTTATATTATTATTGTTGTACAAATTGAGATTAGTGTTATATGGGAACCACCAGTTTCGGTTCTTTTTTTATCACTCTACTTCACTGGCTCATCCATTCATGCATACAATGTCGGTGGCAAAAGATAACTGAGACAAGTGTTTTTAGTGAAAGTGTGTCAAAAATGTCACGGTAGAAGAACGAGGAAGCTGAAAGCGATGCAGTGGGCAGCATGCCAAGAGTAGCTGATAGCAGACACTACCTCCTAAGCTTCCTCTGAATTCTTGCATTACTTTTTCAGAAGCTCTAGTAATTGAGTCCAGACTTTCTGTCGTCCTGAGAGGGTGCCTTCCTTCCACAGCTTCCCCTCTCATGGGGACACCTAGCAGCTAATCTTCCTGGAAAGCTACCCTAGTATATTTGACATTTGCCATGGAGTCGTCTTCTCAATTAGCAAGCCAAATTGCTTCCGACAGCTGACACCAAACATTGTTCGTTCTTCAATATGTTTTTGTTTCATATGGCTAGCTTTGCAAGCAAACAGGTCTTTTCAAGGCTGGTCCTAGATCATAGGGCAGGGCTACCTGTTCATAAGTACAATGAATGCTGCTGCGACCAGCCATCACTGTTGTCAGACAATGTGATCCGACACAATGGAGGCTCATATGCAGTGAGATCGCAGATCTGCAACACTGCTCCCGCATTGTATTTCACTCGCGACACTACCGGTTACGGTATCCATCCCTCTCTATCCTCTCATATAACTTGCATGTGTTCGTCATGTGTGGCTACATAAGTAGTAATTTCACAATTACTACTATTTTTCCAGGTTCAGAGGCTGAAGGTGAGATTCTCTCTCCCCCCACCTTCATTACAATACTTCGTACTTCTCCAGCAACCCAGAGTATAGTGTAACATATTTCCCTGCTTGAAATAAACTTGCACCCTCCGTCTAGACAACTCTCCTCACTTTCACCGGGGGTAGAATAACCACCACATGAATATTAGTTTTTCCCATCCGGTGTCTGTGTACTGTGCTGTGTGTGTGTGTGTGTGAGGCGGTAGGGTGCGTCTGGCCGTGTGAACCACCGTCATTTCCACGTGGGTGATTTGCTAATGGGCCGATGAGTCTAACATTTCATTGGAGTGGAAGGCATGTCATGCACGTCGCAGTGCGACTCAACAAGGTAAGAGGTAAACCAGTGAACTCAATTGCGTAATACACACTCACCATTCTTTTGTGGCAGTGATTCACAGTATAGAGAGGAAGTGCAACGGCAGATTAATGTAAGGAATTGCTGCTGACAGGAACACACAAAATCATGCATCCCCAAGTGCCACACCTCGCTTAACCATAAAAGTCAAGGTGTTACTAACTATAGTAACACTGAACGGGGCTCCACCCTGATTTTGATGTATAATGCAGCATAAATCGGTGTGATGTAATAGCTGTTGGTGATTGCACCGGTGTATATGATCTAATCAGAGGTGAATGAGGTGGTGGTATACTCTAGGGTGTTCAAGAATGAGATCAGGGCACACTCAGTTGTTTTTAGCGCCCATTATTGGTGCGCTCAATGCACACAACATTGTGAATATTGGTAAGGTCATTCTGTTTTATGGAGGCTGGTACGCGTATGTTTATCTAACACTGCTATTTTTTTTGAGGCGGAGTTCAGTCATCCGTCGTCTCTTTACCGTGTGTGTTTGCGGTAGAAATGTTGTTCGGCAACTGTCCAATTCGGCTGGGAGGAGCAGCGGGGGAATGGCATTTATGGTATAATTACGACACACAAACGGGTCTTTGTAGGCCGTGTTTAGTGTCACCTAATCCTGTAGTTCTCCTCAGTAGTTCCATGTAAGTACCTGTCCGCGTCACTTTACCCGACGCTTTGTGTGTAAATACGGCGTTGTACCCCTCCTTCTTGTGTGCTCCCCACCCTGCAGACCGAGAAGCCAAGGCGGTGCGGTTTGACCCAACAGAAGGAGCGGGACCTTCTCAGAGTTGAAAGGATGTTTTTGGGCATCCAGCAGGCTCGGCGCGACTTGGAGGCTCGCGGAGCCCTCGCCGAGATCCAGAACAGTTGGAACGACCCGGCACCCCCTATCCCCTCCAACGAAGAAGACCCCGCACACTTGTGAGTGAAGGGGAAAGGTGGCCTGGACCAACAGCATGTGTCAGCAGGGCCTGGGAACACATGGGTGGTATTAGAGCTAGCTGGGATTGTGGTGAGGCCAACATGGGGCCGTGTGTTGTTAATGCTGGGAATGTAGTGACAGGACACACGGGTGTTGACAAGAGAGGGGGAGAACGGAGTGGGCCTTGGAAGCAGTGGAATTTTCAGTGGAGGCTGCAGAACTTCCCAATTGAAAATTCCCAAGAGCTGCTGTGTGTGCCAATTGTAGGAGACAACTGGTGCCAGCACCCACCCTGTCTGCCCACTCTTTCCCCACTGCCATGTCTCCAGACAGTCTGCATCCAGCCAAAGCCTGAAACAAAAGCCTCCATAGTCAGTACAGTACAGTGCGTCACTTGGTGCCCGTCGCTGAGCTTGTACGTAGTTAGTAGCTCCTTGTAACTGAATGCAAGCTTGTTTCTCAATGCGTAAAAGAGGTGCGTGAATGACCTGTGAAGCTTGTTAGGGTAATATGAATACAAATCACCTTTTTCACCGCCAAGGAGATCTCCTGGTCTTTCTGTGCGAAACAATAGTTACACAGGGACGACTTGTCACCTTTGCAGGCGTCAATGCTGACACAGGACTTGGGCAGACTCAATAACGCACATGGCAGCATTGGGGGTAGTAGACTTAGGCCTGATAGGAGAGGGAGGGAGGGAGAGGCTTTTGTTGCTTGCCTTTTTCAAGGGTGGGTCCCCTGTATTGCCCCAGTTGGTAGTGGGCGTGTGGGAGGGTCGGTGTTCAGTCTGTCGTGGCATTTGTTTGTGAGTGTGTGTGCGTGCCTTCTGCTAATTGGCAGGGGTGTCCCCCAGTACAGAGTGGCAACGTTCCTGAATCAGTTGAAGAACAGCTCCACCTCCAGTCACAACGATCGTGAGGAAAAACTACCGCCACCTGTAGAGGTCAGTATGTACCTGGCACTTGACATTATAGAAAAGTGGTATTCAGAGTCCTTTAAAGTAATACGTAGATGGTGTGTCTTTATAATTCTGCCCCTGAATTAGATACTTAATACTACCCTGTGGCATCCCTCTTTCCTCTTTCACTGTCGGCAGCACACCACATGAAAAGCACCGATACATGAACACATCATTCCTATTTCAACATAGACAAGGAGAAGGAAATAAATTGAATCTGGGGTGCTGTTTTTTTTAATTTTGTGTCTACCTTTGTACTTGTGGTTTCAAATTTCCCAGAGGGGTATGTCCCTCTACAACATGCTAATGATTGAGGCATCCAGTGCATTTTTACTGCAATTGTTTTTCCCATGTTTTATCTGTGTGTGGTACCACAATGAGCCATATGGAGATCGGTGGGCAAACAGAACAGACATAAGGCACCGCTGCAAACCAAGTTACTTTTCAACATATACATTAGTGGTTTTTGGTCCAACGGAACTGTTCTTTTCCAAGAACCGATGGCGGGCGGTGTGGTAAACTGGTGCTAGGCAGAGTCGTGTGTGTATTTGCCAAGTAACGGCTCCTGTCGCCTGCTCCTCCTGCCCAGGAATTATCGTCACACGGACCTTCAAAAATATTATTGGCAGTCGTTGTTGCGCAAGACGTGTGTGATAGACGTTTGTGGGGGGACACCAAAACAATTGACGTAATGAAGTGGAGGAAAGAAGCATCGCTGTCCATATAGGTGGCAGTGTACTACGATGCTAGTTCCTCATCGAGTTAAGTATTTGCACCAAGACAAACAACATTGCCTCCTAATACGTTCGGGTCTCGGGTCTTCAAACTCACTATGTAATCGCCTGCGATTCCTTTATCGGAACAGTACCCAGCAGTTGTGAATAAGGATTCAGCACTATGTGCAATCCCATGTGCATACGCGTACTTTTCCTCTCGCTTTTCATGGGTCTTTGATGTGGTGATGTCATTCTTTCATGCATAGGGATTGTTTGATTGTGGCACCTTACGAAATGCTGCCGCTATTGAAACCAAGGCGAGTATGAATTCTTTGTTAATTGAGCAAATTATTGCTTTCCTTTTTGTCGCTGCTTGTATGCATTTACTGCAGAGATAGCTATTTGGTTCTGACACCTTTTGTCACGTGTTTGTTTAAGGTTTTCTCTCTCCCATGCATTCCTCCACCTCCCACACAGTCAAACAATAACTTAGCATCGCCATGTGCTCATTGGGTGGCAGGTAATTCCAACACTAGGTCCCCGTTGCCAATTTGACTAAAATAGTATCACCGTCACATGATCTGCCTATAAGTTGATACAGAAAATGGTATCGAATGAAATGGCGTAAATGCATTCCACTGCCTTTTAAGAAGTGGGACCGTGGTTCTAGGGTAGGTCATTGTGCAGGAATCTCTGGCAGGCCTTTCTCTTTGTCTGCTTCACAACGTACTGGAACCATAGGTCTGTGTGTATGTGGAGTCACCCATGCATCCCATGCATCCCACCAAAGATTAAGTCTCCGTCGTGGCTCCTTGGGTGACAAACTTTTTCCTCCAGTCAGTTTTAATGAGTCTCGTGTCTAGTGCCGCTCTCAGGCGGTGCTCTGTGTAACGGTGCATAATGTGTACTCAACAGTTTGGGAGTTGTCCAGTGTTTGACCATATGCAGAGCCTTTGTTAGCTGGGCTGTTTATTGGGGGAAACACTCCCAGCCCACTGCTGCCACTGCTAGGTTGATTAACAGAGGAAGAAGGAAGTCCAGTCACCACCATGTTTGGAAGAGACCGACTCTCACTTACAGTGTAAGTATCTGTCTCCCTCTATGGTGTGTTGGACAATAGAGTGTTTAGAGCAGCCAGTGGAGGGCATTCTCCCGTGACGTTCCTATATTTGAGGCAATAGATGTGCTTGAGAGTGTAACAAATCCCATCCAAAGAAACCAGAAACCTCACCCTGCTTCTTTGTCAGCCTATGAATAGAGAATAATAAAATTAAAAAAAGAGTGCAGGTAGTATATACACAAAGAAAGTAGTAAGAAAGTAGTAAGTACGTAACTTTCATCCTTTTGCGTTCTCGTCAGTGCTGGTGTAGCGCCGGGGTGTGTGGGACCGTAAGAGTGCAAACCTACTCCAGTCACCTTTTGGCCTGTCTTTTGATGTGCATCTAAAAAGGCCAGGGTTGGGACTGGCTCCTTGGTCCCCCTGCCAGGTTTAGGGTTTCCCTGTTTTTTTCCCCGGTGTCTGCATGTGTGGAGCTTTAGCCGGTGGCCTTGAGGAATGTGGGAAGAATGGGGGAGTAGGGCCGTGGAATATTCTGCCTGCCAATCTAGTTATAGTGAGCTAAATTGGTTGATGGTTGTTTTATGTAGCACTGCATTTCTCTAATTGATGCTGGGAGACTAACGGCTCCAGTAAATAATACCGCCCTAGCCTTGGGAAGTCAATGTGTGGAGGACCTTACATGTTTTGACAAGTAGGGTGTTTTTTCTGGCGATTAGGACCCATCTCTATCACAAGACTGGAACTCTTCCACGCGAATGATCCATGAATATACTGACAGATATTTTACGTATGGAAACCATGTGATTTTGTCTGGTGTCCGGTGCAACCGGTGGAAATACGACCTCCACGATGCTGAATAAAATTAACCGGGAGATGAATATCGTTCTGTCCAGGGGAAATAGCCGCACACCACAATGTGAGACGGCTCTCATGTGACAGGTACAAAAGTTGCAGCTTTGAATTACCACTAGAGAGATTTTTTCCATTTTTGGTCTCCCGAAGAGTTTTGCTGAGCAATGGTGTTGATTTATTGTGGGAGATGACCTAGTCCACAAGAATTCTGCCAAGTGGTGAATCTTTTAAGTTTGTGTTGCATCACAACATTGCCATGTCTATGGGATCACAGTATGGGTCTGTATAGGTCCACTGTATGGTAACTCAAAGGTGTGGGTGCAGTGTTACATTCAGAAGTATCTGGAGTGTTTCTACCGTCTTTATTGTGAGTCAGGGAAGAAGCCATTGAAAGTGGTTTCAGATTGATGAGTTGGTGGAAGTTGAGCTTCCAACGAATGTATGATATTGTTGGTCAGGGGGGAAGGGGAGCCTTCCTGGGGGCTTTGTAAGGAAAGCAGCAGGAAATTCCAAGAAAACTATGTAAAAGGTGGTACCTTTGAGGCAGCCAAGCTGAAAGGAAGCATTGCCAATAAGCTGACCTGCAAGTGTTAATAATTCACAATCCATTTCCTTGTGGTTTCCTTTGTGTGGCAATATTCTCTCAATCAGTTTTACTTCTTGTTTCCTACGAATTTACTAGAAGAGTAAGTAGGTGCCACTGTTCTCTACTAGCACACTATACTCACTTACATCTCTTATTTCGGTATCCTCTTTCTACTTTCAGAGAAAAATGTCCTAGTTTACCTTTCCCTCTTTCAAGTTGGGTCTACTATTTAGCACACCCTCAGTTTCCACTACTTGCACAGTTTTACCCTCTTTGAAGGATTTGTCATCTTCAGATGAGAACCTGAATACCTCCGAAGGAATGTCCCGCTGCTAATCAACTAGCATTCCAAACAATCTGTCATTTTCCTCCACACTGCTATATACCATGGAGCCACATAGGGTCTCAGTCAACCAGAGAATGGGGAAGAATTTGCACCTTTGTGCTCCCCCAACCACTCACATTTTTAACACTCTTTTCAGAGCCAGGTCTCCAGCAGAGGGGGCAACTAAATATTTGACTGGTTACTCAGTGGGAAAAAATTACCTTTCACCGATTCCTCGGGTCATTCAACTTGCACTAAAGCTGCGGTTCTCACTCAAGGAGAAAATTGATTTGCCAACTCTAGCCTTTGTGCGAGTGCACAGTTGTGTGCGTGTGTGTGTGTGTGTGTGTGTGTGTGGCTGCTATGAATACGCCCACAGTTCATCTCGGCAATTCAAAGTCTATTCCCCAAATGTCATAATCTAATGGCAGTAGCAAATTAGTGCACCCGAGTGTGCTCTGGTTCGTTTTTCAAAGAGAATCGGGCACTCCCTAAAACTGAACCCTCTGTTGCCTCTGTTGACCTCACTGCTGTTCCATTCATTCCATCTGTTGAAAAATTTGCTCTCCTCAAGGCAAGCCTAACAGCTTCTCCATGATGCCTCCTTCTGAAGTTTTCAAAACCCTATACGGGGCAAAAAATAAATCTGTTCGGCCAATTACCCTGGATAGTTTGTCGGAGAAACGAGACCAGAGAGGTCTCCTTTGGACCGGTAATGGTGGGGCTCTGTGACCGTTTGATGGGTGTGTGTGTGTGTGTGGGTTATGTCTCCTTGAAAAGGTGAACTGAATGGTGTGAACTTCCACGGCCTATTGCCACCTTTGAACCACAACCGTCTGTGGTTACTGATTAAACAAACATCCCTTTTGGGGTCCACCGCCTTGTGTGGTGCAAAATATTTCTTTGTGGTCAAACATTGTTTATCTTTGTGGATTTTTGTTTTTCCCATCTGCTCGTTTTGACTCGACCGAGTTGGTTTTGTAAATAGCTCACGGATTGTACACGCGGCAGATCACACGGTGTGTTTTTATTTGACTGCCAGGAAACGGTGTGTGTATGTATGCATACACTGTATATTACAGCATCAATACATGCGTTTGTTGTGGTCTTACGTTTTTCATCCGTATGCATGGGAACCAGATCTGTATGTGGATCAATATTTGATCTGAAAATGAATCTTTTTTGTAAAACAGTTACCTTTTATGTAGTCAGGTTTAATGTACTTGCATACGTCTATACATCGACCTTCACACGTTTTCTGTCTTATCACACGCACACATACCCCCACTCTATAACATCATTCTTGCCCCTTGAATGGATCAATGCAGCCACAGCACGAGATTTCTTTTTTCATTCCAACTCCTTTTCTGGTGACCTATTTGTAGAGGCTGGTGCCCAGAATAATGATCCAAGGAGACGGTAACAAAAGAAGAACATTTGGATATTTTCTCCATGCATGTGGGGCATGTTTGCACATGCTTCCATAGAGCCTTTTCATGTACGTATTATATACCGTACATGCTTTTCCAGACTGAGCTGAAAGTAGGGGAAACAATGCCTTCTGGTAGCAATTCGAGTGGCAGGTCCAAGTACGTACGTTTGTGTGTGTTTGTGACTTGACGGAAAAATACAGGTTGGCACTCTGTAAGTGTCCATATGGTGAGACCCGGGACTGACTGTGTGTCGTTGGCTTTTTGACGTGGAACTTATTACATCACCGGGGTCATGTGTAATCCTAGCTGTGTAAACTACCCGTTTTGACTCAGTCGGTAATCCTAGCTGAGTCCGGGGCCTGATGTCCCAATTGAAAATGAACAAGTACAAAACACATGCGGCGACTTGTGAGAAATGAAGGGAGGAGGGATAACCTGTACTTTTGGGAAATCATCTCTATCCGTGGCTCAAAGTAGAGGGACTAGATCAAGGAATTTGAACCTTTGACTTTTTGTTGACTTGAGAAGGTCTCCCTATGTACCTACATATCCTGTTGAGAGTGTGTGGGGCCACAGGTGCATAAGGAAGTCAGTCTGGGCGTTGCAAGAATGGGGACCATGAAAACTGAGTTCAATGAAGACCCAGCCAATTTGTCTCTGCCGGCTCCCTAGTAAGCTATTGTTGGCAGGGAAGGCCCCAGGGAAATCTATAGTGGCAGCGTCAGGATTTTGTGTGTGTGGGTGTAAGCAAATAGTGTGGTTTGTTTATACTGAAAACCGTTATGAAGTTTTAATCACCTGATCCGGCCAGCTTACGATAAAGGTATGTACTATATGCCCACATTCAGAGGCCGTGCGTGACCACGTTATATAATAGAGCTCCTCCAGCAATGGCTTGAAACACCAGTCACGCGTCTTTCACTTTTATTCCGGATTGTGGAGTAGTTTATTGTCCTCGACTGGTCTACCTTTGAAACATGACTTGGGAAGGAGAATGTTTGGAGCAGTTTCTGAGCATTGGGTACTTCACTCTCACACTCTCACCCACTCTCCAGTCTTCTCAGTAAAGAACCAAATACCTATCTCCATATTTATGTGCAGTACGTATAAATAATTATATATAATATATATAATTATGTATCTTCAAATCTTCCCATGCACCGCAAATGAACAGCCCAGCACACAGACAGTATATAATGCTAGACTGGCATCCCCCCAAATGCTGATTCGCAGGTGTTGGCCGTGTGAAGGTTTAGATCCAGTCCCAACTGGATTTTTTTACATCTGAGCTGCCAGACTCCACGCTGTGCGAGTATGCTACCATGCACACCTGCCATTCTTTCACATACACTGCGAAGTTAAATGCATTACAGAGTGTATTGTAACGTGCATATTACGCTACAGTTGAAGCACTGGTATTTCAGGGATGGGAGGAAGTGGTGGGATGCAGCTGAGATTTGATCTGTTGGATGCTGTAGCTATGTACACAATGGCTGTTGTGGTGGGTGGTGGGATAAGACTGACATGGGTGGCTGTTGTGGTGGGTGGTGGGATAAGACTGACATAGGTATATACGTACTGCATCGTGCACCGCCACTGCGCTTAGAGAGGCTCGAGTTTGTTTTTAGTGGCCGTGTGCATATGCGGACATACTTCGTTGACTCGGTTTTAGGTTAAGTATTGCTCCATAGATGGGAACGCATTAGGTGTGGCTCGGGCACACTGTGAGGGGGGGACAGTGGGCCGTGGAGTTTTTTGGAGTACAGTTTACATATTAAGTGGTGTGTTGCAAATCCGTAGTCTACGGTTTGGATGGGAATGAGGAATTGCCGAAATTAGTGGCTTTATGTACATTCGAAAGGCACACCCGCCATTGAAAGAATGTGTCCGTGACTTGGGCTTTTTCTAGTTTGGTTGTGATCAGTATGCACGCACAACCGATGGTGTGTGTCTGTATGACCCTGAATGGGGCTTTTGTTGTCACTAGAGCTCAAAATAGCATTCCCTCCTGAGAACCCAGAGTATGGCAGGAAGAACGCACAGCCTCTGAGACTGGGAATGCGTGAGATCATCACCCAGTTTTTTTTCCCTATATCCTCTCTACTCACCCACACTCGGCATACTTTACATAGCTAGTGCTAATATATACATTATTATTCACGTGCGTGCATGTGTTGTATGTTCGTAGTGGAAGGGATGGAGAAAAGTTATTGTTGTGGTTGTTTGATCACTGATATTGCAGGAACAGTCTGTGGAAGCTAGCCGGAAGAGGGCCAGTGGCAAAAAGACTGGGAAAAACAAAAAGTCCTCGTTGAGAGAGGGCAGGCTTCACCCAGAGAGAGGGAAGATTGAAAAGGTTGATGATGGTGGTGGCGCTACAGCTTGCCAACACACAGAGACTACCACTGACAGAGAGCCTAGAAATGAGAATCACGGTCCGATACCACCTCCAACAGTTCCACTGCGTGTACTGCCAATGGGTCCGCCGGGCGGAGTCCCTCTCGCTGGATACACACTCAGACCACACCCGGGAGGGACAGGGGTAGTAATGTGCGACCCTTCCACGGGTGTACCCCTAATGAGATCATCTGGGGGTGTGCCCCTGGTGGGGTGGTCGGCGGGTGTGCCCTCAGGACTGCAGATGGTACCGCCTAGTATCCCTCCGGTCATCCATATGCCGACTGCCATTCCTCTGGGACACACCCCAGCCTCTCCCACCGTCCCTCCTCCACCACCACCACCAGCCCCTGTGTCTGCTGCCCAGTCAGAGGACCAGCAGGAGAGAGCTGCCTCCACTGGTGGACCCTCAGTCGCTGATGTCGCCCTACAGACCAGCTTCACTGCTGAAAAGACTCCTCACCTTGTTCAAGAGGTCAGTATTATAATATGTGTAATAGGTATGTATGTATCTGAGCTCAGAGAGTGTCTTACTGAATGTCAAGCACCAAGACCACCCAACCTGCACCTCCTCCGTATATATCCAAACACACCCTCCAAGATCATCCCGCTAATTTTCAAAAATTGTGTCGTTCTAATGACGTGGAATGTCATCGACTGTCTAGACCAAGTAGGCCTAAGTACTGTACCTCGATTCACATGTGACACCTGGATGCCACTCTATCGCGTGGAGACGTGTGACCTTTGAAGAATGAGAACCCTGCTTGTGTTGGGAGCAAGAAAAGGACAAACATCATTGTGATTGTAGTGCTGGGTCGGTTAGTTAGTAGTGTCTGCTGATACACACACACACACACACAATAAGATGCCTCTTATTAATAAAATTTGCTGTAGTGAGTGGTAGCCCATGTGACAGGATGTTTTTCGGAACTCTGTTTATCAATAGGCCTACATCATAGTTTTAATACCCACTCACCTTAATAAGTTGGTATTAATCGTGCACTGGCATCCTTGTTGTTTGCACTTGGTCTGTTTGCAGTCTTTTAATAATACCACAGTTTGCCTGTTATCTTTGTGTTCAAGGAAGCTGCTTATCGAAACAAGGAAAAGCTTAACTGCTTTGTGGGTGTCATCCTCGTAATTATGGCACCCATATTCACTGCTGTTACTACAGTTGCTGGTATTTGTATATACATCCTATGTGAAAATATTTTCCTTGCTGTAGTGAGGCTGTCTGTCTGGGTTTTCCCAGACAAGCTACTGTCTCCACTACCATCCTACACAGTCTATTGATAGGGGGAGGGTAACTATGGTAGGTAGTAAGGTTAACTTGAGTGAAACTGAAGTTAACCTGTGTAAGGCTGTGACATTGTTTCTCAGCCAGACAATTGGGCTCTGTGCATGTCTCTCACTGAAGGATTCACTCACTAAACAGAGTCTGTGACTTCCCCTTGGCTGTGCGTATACAATCACTATAGGTGTATAGCTATACCACAATTGTTCCTCAATATGAAATCATCACTCTAGACTGCTTGAACCCTGTGGCTGGCTGGTTCAGTCACCTTTGCAAGGTGTAGAGAGAGGGTATTGTCCAGGTCTTGACCAAATGTGAGTAACCTCTTTTCCTCAGATTTTGCCTCCACTGGACATCTCTACTTCTCAATCATCTGAATCTACTGCCGAGGTATGCATACTTGCAATAGTATTACATTTGTGTGTTGTGTACGTGTGAACTCTCCTTTGATTGTCAGCATAATCTTTGACCACTAACTTGCCTATTCATGACGCCCCAGATACATACGATGTAATGGTTACTCATACGCAAAAGCCTCAGTGTATTCTGGTTCTGTAACTGGCATGTTTCTCAAGGGTATCACAAACAACACCACTGTCTTCGGGATGTAAATACCCTTTGAGTTGCGAGAAACGCACATTGGCGCTCGTTTGCTCGCGAACGAGTTTCCGTGTCGGGGAACACTCCGTTGTTGTAGGACCGACCGATGTTGTGCCTGCTTCGGATGATATAGTGGCTCCCAGTGAATGGGATGCGTACACTGTGTTGCTAGTGTTCGTCCCATGTTTCTAGGGCACAGTGTGCACCGATGATTTTATCTGCCACCTCGGGATCTCCATTCAAGCAGTGTCTGGCCCTCGATAGAGCACACTTTGTATTCACACTCTCCTAGTATAATATTATACCAGTCTCGTCGTGATTATGCATCAGGTATCATCATCATTACATCAGGTGTTTTTGCTGCTCTGTTTCTTACCCTCCCGCCCCTGTTTCTAATGGAGCTCTCTCCTCGGTAGGTTAAGCTTGTGTACACACTGGAGGATCGCGTGGCGTCGCCCCATAATCTGGTCTGGTGGCCAGCCAGCCACACACAGAGCTAAAATACATCTGTGTAACTGAACCCTGCTGATATTGCTTTTTTTCCCGACGCACATGCATGCGTCTGTGTGTGTGTGTGATGATGACAGTATGGCGTACCGGGCTCTGTTATTCTGGACTGCCTCATTAGCTACCTGACTTCCTGGGAGTGGGCCAGAGTCTGTGAAAGAGTTCGGTTTTGTTGCATTCAGCCCCAGAGACCAGGATATCCTCCCCTCTCCCGCCTTACACCGCCAAAGTCACGCTATTTTGGGGGCATCATCATTGGGTAATAAATTTTAGCTTCGTGCTCTTCCTGTACCCACCCACAGAGCGTCTTGCTAGTCGACTCCAAGCATGAGTTCATGGGTCACAAATTGCCAACAGTCACAGCTTAACTTTCGGGGATGGTTTCGGGTACGAAATCGGACTCTACTTTCTTTGAATGTGTGTGTGTGCACTAGGTGGCGGTGGGACACGTAGTTTTTCTCAGGTTCTTCTTACGTTTTCCTTCGCCACCCCGCTGCTGGCCTGCAACGTGACCACAACAGCGGGGGACCGCGAAATGCAATACATCTGTCTTGTTGGGTTACTGCAATGTCTGCAAGATAGGCATCGCCGATCGTGCAACATATCGGTAGGCGGTTTGTTGGTGCCATTGTCAAGGGTGTGTGTGTGTGTGTTTGTGTGTGCGTACATATGTTTGTACTATGCGCAATGCACTCCTTTATCCCCCGTAGTATTCATCTCACCTTGAAGTAGTGGTATATGGACGGGAGTGGAGGTCCAATATCTTTGTAGTACAACTGAAATGCAAGACTGTTGTTCCATGACAAGCACTACCAGCACCATAAGATTAGGAGTAATGATCTCTCATTTAAAACTAATTGCTTTTGATCTAGTATTTTATGTTTCCAAGGTAGTATATTATTTACAAATCCCATCTGGGCTAATTTTGTTCACTTACAGGTGTTTGACCTCTATATCTGATTTTCGTCCTTTGTCCCTATAGTAGCTTTAGGGAAACTTGTTTGTGTGAACTTCAGACACTCAAAAACATTTTTGATTTGCTAACCTGCATGCTAATGGCTAGGATTATGAACTTTAAACACTCAAATGTGATACCTGTACATGCTCAAAGTAAATGAATTCATTTTATGTAACTTAGAACATTATAAGCAGCTGCAGACCTTTCTGTGGTGGCGACTAGCTGGTGGCCTCACTCTCCATAGGATGATAAACAACCTCAATCTCACCAGAAACAGGAACCAAGCCCCTGTGTTCCACTCCAATTTCTCGCTAACCCGTGCCTTTCTCATGTAAACAATTGAGAGGGCTGACATAGTGAGCCCTCAACCCTGTGTAGCTATCATAACTCCATTGGTGGAAGGGTGCCTGTAAATTAGATTGGATTGACAGCACTCAGTTTTTTCAATATCAATATTAGGTCTGGATCACACGCTGTTTAGAAAAATGCAAAAAAACGTGGTTGGTTGGGAACTTGCTGGTTTTTTTTGGTAAACTTACATTCAGTCACCACCTCTTCCTTATATGGATCAATGTACTGTATATGTACTTCGGTCCTTTTTATGTATAGTTAACAAGCCCTCCTTTGTTATGTACGTATTCTGCTCTGAAGTTTAAAAACTTTAAACGAATATCTCCGTGTCAAAGGCACACAGGTATCCACTGTTTAGCTGAATGATTTCAAACAGCAAAAATTTTTCCGAACAAGATCACTTGCATGTGTCCGATTGAATTCACCGCTGTTGTTAAGCAAGCTGTCCTGGGCTTTGTCTGGCCCGTGCCTCCTTAGTTGGGTGCATGTTGCAGGGACGGCTATTCAGAAAACACGGTCCAAGGGGATAAGCAAACATGCAGTGGAGGAAAGATTACGGCTGAGTATGCCAATATTTGGATGATCTTTGGCTCTGTGGCTTCCTCTTCATTCTGTGGTCCCACTGCCAGCAGTCAGTCTGGCTACCGGTGGTTTTCTGCCATTTTCACTCTGTCTCTCTCTCCCAGTGACCCCACAAAGCCAGGTGTTATGTCATTCCTGGCCATGTGGGCACATCCACCCACCAATGTTTGTTTATAGGGCTGAAGAGAGAATTGTGGCTCAACCCCACCCCCCCCCTCTGGCTCCTATGGTCTCATTGGGAATGCAGCTTCCCTCCCATTCCCCCCAGGGCCACCACATCAAGGTCCCTTATCACTCAAACCTGCTGATACTCTAGAGCAAGGTTAGCAACCACAGGTGTCCAGTTTTCATTGGGGATTGTGCCCAGGTGGAAAAACCACTTGGAATTGTAGCTTTGCTGGGATACTGACTGTGCAAACCTCACCCACATCTTTCTAGAAAGGAGTCTTTGAATTTGGAACGAGGTCAAATTAATCTGAGAGTGATCTGTCCATTTACTTATGGTCAGGGTATTCAGGTTGGTTGGGTTCTATAGAGCTTTCTTCCTTCCGCTCGGAATATCTATGAGGTGACAACGGTAAGTGATGGTGTGAACTTACGTAATTCTAAAAGCCATATTCAACTCGTGGTGGAATATATAGTTTTATGTCAGAGTCTTGTGACCGACAACAAAAAGATCATCAATTATACAGCATAACTCTAAAACTTCGCACACATGGAAAGACGACCATAAGTTCCACGGGCATGATCTGCAGAAACATGCTCCCTATAGTGTGGTGACCTCAGACCAGTGCTCTCTTTCCCACATCATATATAGAGTTACAACCACAGATGGTATTCATGGCCTTGGTTTCCCTCAAAAAGGTGGTGTAGGGCGCCCCAAGAAGGAATCCTCAAGTGCTGTTAAGAGGATTGTAATCCAATTAGTCACACTATTTTGACAGACCACCAACTCCCATACTTTAGGTATTGCTCCATGCAGTATAGAGTGTGATTGTCACACACATGTGCACCATTAGAGGATTCAGTGTGGATATTGGGTCTTTGATCTTGACTCTTGAATAGCTCGGGATAAGACTTCCCTGGGACCTGTTGGCAATACATTGAACACTCCAACGCACATTCACACATACATAATATACCCAACCGGGGTTTCATCGCCACCTCCAGTATCCTGAAAATTAACCGTGGAAATATACCGAGTTTCGCCCACAAGATTTACTGAGTTTTCCTGAGAGATTACTAGCAAGGATTGCTAGTTTAACCTGTGAATGAGAGAGGAAGAGAGAGGTCAAAGGAGAGAGTAAACTTTTCTGGAAAGTCACCCATGCCCTGTATAAACAGTGCATGCCACAGGGAGGATGTTCTGGGAAAAGTCAAGTGCCAAGGAAAGCAGTAAGCATTTTTCCTGTGAATTTTTACTGTGGGAATTGTTTTCACTATCTAACTGAGACAAGAGGTTATATACACAGAGGGGACATAAAGAGGTCAATGACCTATTGTATTGAGGGGTTGAGACATAATGACCCCCTATCACAGTGTATGCTGGCTGAGCCCTGCATAACTGAATTCCACCGAAGCAGGAACTGCTATATATAGGTCTTTTGTTTCAGTGATCTTAGCCTGGGACTAAAATGACTGCCTATTGGTGCAAAATTGGTACCATATGACGTGTATGCAGCTCATGACGCGGCATATATACGTATAGCAGACCTATGTTTTTCTCCTTACATCACTCCACCGAGAAGGCAACAACAACAGCCCTGATATCTAACAATTTTATAGTACATAGCTACGTAGGCCTATTTGTACCCACATTTTAGCATGCATGCAGATGCCTGTATTGGCTATGATCTCGGTAATGTGCTAATTTCCCGTAAGTACATGGGTGTATGTTACACTAATTGCTCCTGGAATTGTTGTAATAGAAAGTTATTGCTCTAACAGAGAGATTTGCCACAATAATTATTTTTCCTTGTTGCGACATCCGTACTAGGTCATTTTTAGTGATGATGGAGCATATGATACAAGCTGCACTCCACCTGACAATTCCCAACCAACACCCCCTAAAACAAACTCTGTCCTGCAGGCTTCAATTTTTCCTTGTTTTTACTTGCTGTTTGATTTCTATTTCCCTCTTTCTGTGTATATACAGAATCCAACACCACACGGTGACGATGATGACATCGAGCCGTTCGGGATCTCGTTACCAGGAAATCACGCAGGGTTATCCCCATCAGAAGACGAAAGACCAGCACCTCCTCGTCCTCCGGCCTGTCGTCATCTCGAGGAGGAGATCGACAGAGATTTGTCGGCGGAGAAAGTCGGCCACAAGATAACGGAATATCTGGAGAACGAAGGAAAGGAATGGTGGGTCCTAGACTTTATAGTTGTGCGTGAGATTCAGATGTGAAAAAGACAGGCACATATTGAGGACTCTTGCCCCTCAATGTCTCCTGTTATTTCGTGGAATAACAATCAGCATTCCAGCTCTCGGCTGCTTATGGCCAGAGGGTAAACAGATTGGTGGTGTGGGAACTACTGAGACACCCCACGTTGTATGGGGAAGAAGCCCAATAGACTCTCTGCTATTAGCATAAGTATGCATACATCATGATGCATATCCTGTACCTTGTCCCCTTCCTCCCACAGAAGGCCATGTGTACAGAGCTCGGAACGCATAATCTTCACCTGAGTAGTCACATAGTGTCTTAGCATACCTACACACAGTGCCAAAAGATGCCCCCCTCTCTCTGTACAGTTTAGTTATGTAACGGGGCATTGGTGGGTGTCCTAGGGTGTGCAGTGCTATATTATAGCTACACAAAGGCTCGCCATACGGGCAAGGAGTGACTCAAACATAACACTATTACAACATTGCAACTTCTGTGTGTCACATGGCAAACTGGAACTAATACTGCCCCAGTTTAGTATGATGCATGAATACACTCAGTCGCTATTGTATATATATACTATCTACAGTCATCTTTTTGGTTTCTCGAGTGTTTTGTAATTCCAGTCGGACATAGAAGAAATATTAATGCCCAATTAAGGCAGTGTGCTATTGTTATTACACCGGCTGCACATTTAATAATGGAATATTAAGGACCTTGTTACTCATTATTGCATTTTTCCTTCTTCGAATATTTATATCCTTTGCCACTGCAGGGCAACTCGAGAGTTGCTGACACGGGTGCTGGCCGCTGCAAGAGATCGGTCACATGAGACGTCATGTGACCAGAATCCCGGACACCGATTGGTCAATTCTCCAAACTCGTGTTCGACGTGTACCCTCTCCCCACCCTCCCACCCCCAGCGACCCTACACATCAGTACCACCGCACACCGACATTGCAACCGCAGGTTTGTTGCATTTCACACGGATTTTTCGCCAATTAATCGTCAGATAGTCTAAATTCCACACATTAAGTTCCATTTTGTGTAATAACACTTCTAGTTTAAATTCCATACGGTTACGTTCCATTTCATGGCACTGTTCTGCCCTTACCAATCAATTACTACAATACGTTATTATAGTATTATACATGTATGTGCTTTTTGAACGTAACATGATAACCCCCTGTAGTAAACACCTACACATGATGTACGTACATGTGTGTGTGCGTATATTCTGCCAGTGAGAGTATGCATATTATGCTGTCACTGACTGGACTCTGTTTTATTTGAAGCCTGCTCACAGAGTACATGCACTTTTTCTCTAATTCATCACATGTAATACGATCCGTCCATCCGGGGTTGCAACAGACGAATTTGCGATCATGTGATGCACTGTGGGGCTGTGGTGGCAATAGATAACCTTGTAGTGTGGAAGGTTTTCAGCTACTTGCTCCTCATAACTACTCACCCGTATCACGCCTCAAACAACAGTGCGCACGACGAACGGTGTGTGACCAATTCACTAGGGGGGGAAGATAAATGATTTTTAGGGCGGTTTTCCGAGAGATGCAAACTGCCAGTGTGGGAGTGATGGTTTTCCTGTACTTATAATAGCAGAGGACGCAGTCCCTTAGCCAAAGCAGGAAAGAGGGTAGCTCCCCCCTCCTTTGACTCCCTCTCTTTCAGACGAAATATGCTTTGATGTTGTGGATGCTAATCACGGTGAATTTGGGCCCTCTCGTCCTCCCTCGGGTTTTACAACTCAGAAAGCTTTTTCTCCGTAATTTGTTATGGAGTGTGTGTCCGTGGTGGGAGGGTCCGTGGGCTCTTGAAACTAATACTGTCGCTGTCGTCGATGTTATTTTGACTGGGCAGGGCAGATCATTGTCTGGTTGAGTGATTCGAGGTAGTAACATTGCCCTACTGAAGCGCTGTATTTTGCAAACAAATGGTCGTGACACAGTAGTACACATACCAAGTAAGTATTGTCTAATGGCACGCAACAGTAAGACATCCATTAATACACTCCTCGGGCTCCTTATTCTGTGCACAGCTGGAGTAATATCGAAACTCCCCAGGCCACAACAAAGGAATATCTGTGCACACAGAATACCCACAGTTTCCTATCATCACAATAGCAGAAGAGATTCTCACTTACCCACTGGCACTCCTACACATCCCTCGCTTCTCGCACCCAACACTCTAGGCTGCATGCATGGTCCACCTGATCCGAGCACCAATGTACAGGAACCTTTTCCACATAGAGTTGTTACTGATGAGAGAATGGTCGTTTTAGAGATGTACCCTCATTTGAAGAGTGAGTTCAACTGTGAGATAGAGTGCCCCCATCCTAAACCTACTGATGCACATACCCATCATTGGCTGCCCAGATAGCCTCTATAGGTAAAATTGCCAACATATAATATAGAGGAGTTCTTGCCCCAGCTTGATCCATAGATATTCAATGGGTGGAGGAGTATGGAAAGCCGGGTGCTGACTGTAACTAACAGTCTCTTCCTCATATAAGGCTTTGGCAGAGGAAATAGTCTAGACAACAGGCAACTCTTTCCTATGTGAGCTGGATTGTAGGAAGCAGGATGGACCTTCAAACAAAAGAGAGCTAAATGAGCCACATGGAGCTTCCCAGACCCCCCTTTCCTCTTACCTCAGGGAATGAGCTCACCTCTGGCAATGTTGTTGGTCCACACCTCCTCTGGAAAGCCGGGAAGTGAGGAATCTCATATTGCAGCCCTCATTTCTGTCATTTCCTGTCACCCGCTAATCTTCAAGGAAAGATGGGAGTGAAGCCTGGTGCAGAATTTAGCCTGCTGAAATTCAGGGTCTTGACCCTCAACCTCCCACCTCATACACCCACTGGCAATCCTTTGATCCTTGTCATTCTGGCATTTTGAAACCGAGTCCCAAGACCTTCTCTGGCATACGAGGAAGCTTTTTATCCTTCTCCTATCTCCCTGTGTTTTCAGGCAGATTATCCATTTCTCCAGACCAACTCTGGACTTCCGTAATATTATGATGTAACCTAATTCCTCACTTAATGTGGCAATTGAGGACCCGTTTTTAAGACCATACACACTGCACAACCTTTGGTCTGTGTTTCAGCTACGTACGTACGTAATAAAGAGACGCCTGAGTTGGCCTGAGTTGGCCTGAGTTGGTCGTGACTGTGTGTGGTGGTTGTGTTCAGTAACAAACAAGGAGCAGGGTTTCAGAGGATGGTGGGTGTGGGACTCCGCTTGAAAAATGACCACAGAAGGTGAGGTTTCCTTCCTCTCTTTTGTTGGGATCCTCACAGAGGAGCTGAATCTGGTGTATACTACGTTTGCTGCATTCCCTCAAAGTGAAGTCGGCGGTCAATCCCCTAACTCCCTCCCGCTGTTTACTTAGCGGAGTTCTTGTTGGGCTCACGGTTCAATCGAGGTGTGGGCGTGTGGGCCAACAGGCCAGCATCTGAAGTCTCATGTTGTGGCAGTTTTGTTTGCAGGCTCGACCCGGCCTTGATTAGCGCCAGGCAAAAGGTGTTGTGATCTGCTTTTATGGTCCCCGGTTGAAGGGTGCACTTGTGTATCGATTGAGGTGTGTTTCGGTTTGCGCGGTGTATATACTGCACATATGGAACAGTCTTTGATGCTGAGCAATCATCCTCTGTTGTCTAGTCAGTTCATCTCTCGTTACGTAACGATCTCGTGTGGGAACTGGTAGTGTGTGCGTACGTATGTACATTCAACAACTATTATGACTGTGGCCACCTAATACGTCTGTGATTGGCTTTAATGTAGACGCATGTTGGGGCATTATATCCAGCGACAGACATCCGGTGATAGAAGAATATTATTCCGTGTTCCTTTAGCTGGTGGAATAGGAGATGTGCGGGAGAGTGTGTGGGGAAGAGGAGGAGGAGGAGGAGGGGGGTGTGAGGGTGCCAGGGGTGGGGGTGTGGTGGAGGCAGTAGTGAGGGAGGTGCTGAGGGAGAAGGTGACTGAAGCACTGAGAGAGTTTCAGTCGTGCCACGACCACGAGGAGGAGGAGGAGAGAGAAGATGGAGGGTGAGTTGCTGTTTTTAGCTCAACTCTAAGATTACCTGGTGTCCGTATTCCACAGAGAGACGATGGTGGCTGTTGGTTCTGAAAACAAAGAAAGTGTGTGCAGTTATGGTTCCTCTCAGAGCACACCTCGAGTCCCAACTCCTTCCCTCTCCCCTCTCCCCACTTCCCCCTCCCTTCCTCCCCTTCCCCCCTCCCCACCTCCACCGGATGAAGACTCTTCACTCCATTCTCCTCTACCACAGTTAGCCACACCCACTGCCACGCCCCCTATCTCACGGAAAAGTGACTCGACCGAAACGTCACCTCGTACCATTTTATCTACACCACAAGTAAGGCAGTAAACCTGCAGTATTCATGACATGTAAGTCCTATTAACCTCAGTAGCTTTTTACATGATTCTGTGCCTTACAATATGCTATTCTAACTGACCTAGCTCACTGGCTGGGAATTTAGTGAGGTTCGTGGAGGTTAAGGGGTTAACCGGTTAATTATAACACCCAAAAGGAGTAAGGATTATCGGGTGCATTGGAGGGTCACCGAAGGTTGAGATGTAAAGATGAGGTTAAATGGGGCTGGCTGCATGTATGCATGCATGAATTCCCAATGGTGATAGAACGTGTGCCAAGGTCACATCGTACTCAACATTGAGCACGAAAGGAAATCTTACAAGTCGCCCTGTGAGGGAGTATATGTGACTTTTCTGTGTACATCTCTCAGAGGCTCCATACCTATATATATACACACATCACATTGAGTTTCCAAAGCCCATGATGGCACCATGCACAGTCTTCCCACCATTTCCGTGCCTCATTCCCACCCCTGCACAGGAAACGGAGGAAGACATGTCAGCAACTACTTCAGAAGGATGGGGGAATACTCCGACCTCTTACCTCAAAGGAGACTCCAAGGAACTTTCTCCTCTCGCCACCCCCACCCCCTCCCCTCCTAACCAGACTCCGCCCACTCCCACACCTCCCTCTCCGACGACAGAGCCCGACGAACCCACCCCCATGCCCTCTCAACCTCCCCCAAAACAGTACGTGACCATGCATCATATCATAATGTGATACAGTGATCCCTGCTCCATTAATTGCCTTAGAGGATAGAATTCAAAGTGAAAAGTGATTAATGACATCTGATTTCAGGGTTCACTAGTCACTCGCCCGCTAACCTTCCGGAATAAAGAGGTGGTGATGATTCTAGCAGCTCTGATTTCAATAGTCTGAGGGGTCAAACCACAGGAAGTGGGTGCATGTGCGGGGGTAATACATCACGCATTTTTCTCACTCTCCAGGTTGAAATACGTTACCACATCCCCAATTGATTAGCATTTCAAGGGCGATGGATATCGGTGTCTGGGTGACTCCGGTTGGCTGCACACGTCGTGTTGACAACGACACGGAATTCCCATGATGTCACTCTGAAACTCTAACTCGATTAGCGAGCAGCTAACACCCGATATCCCTGTGCTGTTTACAGTGCGTAGTTTGCGTAGGATGACTCGCAATGTGAAACTCCTCAGATTCATGCACCCCTTACACGTACTGATATAGACTTTTCCCGGCAATCTGATAGGGCGTGGGTGCATACCTGCAGCCTTTGCCTCTAGATTCCTATATACCTATTTCACAACCTTCACCCCGAAGGAAACAACTTGTGGTAGACGACATAATTTAATTATCTGGGGCCCCTGTTTGTTTGCGAAAACACACATTACGTAGTTACTACAATAGTAAACACTAGTATAATACATGCATGTAAGTCTGGTATTACGGTATCCAGAAGGCAATTGGTACAGGCAAAGTATCTATGAATATGCTCCTCTGACATTCCTCCACACGCTGACCTGCCAATTCTCTGAATTGACAAAGTGTTTTGGCATGCTGAATGGCTGTGTGTGTGTGTAGTGTAGTGTAGAATTACTGAGTTAATGATAATTAGTTTTTGCATGAAATGGAAGCTAGTGGCAATTCTCACGGAAAAGCCTTCTTTGTACCTACCTGGTTGCAGCTCTCTGGGAACCACACACAACCTCAGTCCTGTCGGCTTCCCCTTTGGTCACTAAGTACGGTAGTACTTCGTTAAGATGTGCATGATCTCAATGCAAATATGTTTCCGTTTTCCTGGTATGCTGGTATGCTTCCCTACTTGGCAGGTCTCAGCAGCTTTTGGGCAAATAATTAGATATACTGCTGCATTTGAACATGTTGCTAATCTTCTGAATTGCTGTTTTGCATAATAATGGAATGTCCAAGATGTACTGGTTTGGCATGGTCCTCAATCCTTAAAAAGTCTTTATCATAAGCCTCACTTTGGCTGTATACCTACGCATATATGTGAAAAGCAGCAGAGGTATAAAATTATTTTTCTTTACCAATGTTTTGCCGTAGGTTAAGCTTGTCTGAGAGCTCCTCTTCCTCCACCTCCCCTACCACCACTTGCACCGAGACACACCCTCCCCACCCTCACAGCCTCACCACAGTCACCAATCTCACCACCGACCAAGAGATATCGACAGGAGAGTGCCTGCTCCAGCGGTGAGCCACACACCCAAGGTCAACTTGGGGTGCAAACTATTGGCAAATTTATGTTTTTTCGAAATAATATTCCAGTAGCTTGTGTTGTGATGCTGGAAGGTATACTTATCCACTTCATTTTTCCAACAGACTACCTCAGTCTGGTGCAGGTGCTAACTCTCTGAGTGAGGGAGAAGCTGCCTTGTCACCTGGGGATGCTCGCTGGTACTCTACCTATGCCACCAAGATGGGGCCATTACAAAATCAGACAAACAACAAGAGAAAAAGTGCGACAGACTGGCTGTGTGTGTGTGTATTGAAATGATAGGGCATCTTGTGTGTCTGTTTGCAGAGATGTTGCCTGCAGGGACTGCTTTCCTGGAACTGAAGAGCTCACCAGATTCACTTACCGACACTTCGAGACATTCCAGCAGCTTCCAGTCCGACACTAATGTACGGTCATCTACACTCTCTGTCTGTATATAGTTTGATAAGGTTTCATTCCTACGCAGGTCCTCAGTGAGGGAGAAGTGAGAGGTAGAGGAAGACGTGGGGTGGGCGACCCTTTAGATCGCTTCCTAGCCAATCTACGATCCTCCCCGGGACACGATTCCCCCTCCTCTTCTTCCTCCTCCTCCACTCCCTTCACCTTGTCTTCCTCTCGAGATAACACTCCCTCGGATGTACTCTCTGTCATCAGCAGAGATAGTCAAGACGGTCGCCACAGCCGTCTGTCCGGAGGAGAAGTGAGAGGGAGAGAGGAGAGAAACTCAACACCACTGAGACCTCCTGGAAGAGGGGAGAAGGGTATCCGGAGGACTCCATTCACAGTCGGCTTAGCTGGGGAGGTCATGGGGTCACGGGGGTTGCCGTACCACCGAAAGTTTCCCCTCGAGCAGATCAAATCTGCATCTCCAGGAGAGGCAAGGGCCAATGAGTCAGGGAAGGGAAAGAAATCTGATTTGTCGGTGAGCTTTGTTCATTCTGAGGGAGAGCTCAACCCAGTTCTCTGTGAGCACCCAGTGGACAACAGAGAAAAGAAGGCAACCCAACAACCACTACAAGAAACCGTGGCAGCGTCTTCTCCTGGGGAGATCAGGGTGAGGCTCACCACTCGAAACAAGACCAGAGACGGCATCGACGTCATTCGATTATCTAACCAGAGCTCTTCATCCAGTCACAGTCCGAGAGAAGTTGACAAGCCACCGTCACAGGACACCACGTCAGCTTCTGTCGGTCCCCACTCGTTCCCGTCATCCCTGCGTGATTCACCTGCCCTTGCTCAGCATGGACGAGTGGCTCCTGTCAGAAGAAGGCTACGAGTTAGCAGTGAACTGGGACCAGCGCGGGTTATAACTGTCTCGCCTGCCCCACTTGCTCTGAGCAGTGATGACAAGGAGGCTGCTGATGATGCTAGATCTAAAGAGTTTACTGCTCAAGACTCAAACGACTATGCTCCCATTGGAGAAGGGGCAACAAGGAGTGATAAAATTACGGAGCTAAACTTGGGTGAGGGCGAGGCATCCACTGAAGAAGATATGTCTCCTGATGCAACCAGACCTCCACCGCTGGAGTCTTTTATCTCTCCTTCACCATCTCCTCCTCTCCCTTCATCTTCTCTCCAAACCACCCCTCCACCTCCTCCCCAAACCACACCCCCTTCTCTTCCCCAAACTACACCTCTACATGTCAAGCCTGGAGCATTACCTAGTGATGCTACTGATATTGGACTAACGCCGCGATTATTCTGGGACACAGGCCCACCTCAACCCGCCAATGTTCCTCCTGCAGCGAGAGGAAAGGCTCAGGTCGGTGGGTCCTCTGTGTCCCCAGGCGGTAGGACTCAACTACAGATCTCCGTGCCAACTGGGATGACATCATCCGTGGGGGAGGAGTCTCCACCACTTAGCCCTGCCTACTCTAGTGACTTTGAGTTCTCCTCTATATCCCAACCCACCTTTGACTAAAAAGCTTGTATTCACCGTGCATACATTCTACTCTCATTCAAGTTTCCCGCGTATGCGCGCGCCGCCAAATGACATTTTTGCTGACTCAGCACACAAATTCAGCTGACTCAGCACAATAGAACGGGGGAAAACGTGGTGTGCAACTGGGACCATTACTACTGCCATGAAGGAGAGGTTCACTACTATAGACGTGTTCTCGGTCCTCCAGGACCTCCGCGAGAGGTATATATACTTACATAACCCAATTCACACTGGAATTATGGTACTGAAACTGTCGCTCAGTCAAGACTTCCGTCTTGTTTCCATGGTTCTGTATGGTATAGCCATAATTATAGCTACCAGTGGGATTTGTACGTTATTTGACGTCACCACATTACTTCCTGCATGGGAAAACTGTCTGAGCATTCAATCAGCCCAAACGGAACTGAAATGTTTTATGGACATAATAGGAAAAGGTATTGCATTGGTAATGACGTCTGCCGTTATGTAATTCAGCTGTATATAATATTACTAGAAAGTACTCACATGTTGATAGGTGTGATTACACAAGCTTATTGGATGTTGCGTGTCAGTAATAGGAAAATTGACAAAATATCTGCAGCACAAAATATTACGATGAATATTGGGATGTTTGATAGCTGCAGTAATCCTTAACTTCACACATTTTATGTCTTGCGTTGGTATCTGGTAAATTAGACTCCTGTTCCAACAATAGTCCCTCCATGGAAAATAGTCCTCACGGGCCAAACTTGGAATGTTCTATTCTCAGGGTCTGACAACATATATATATAGTTTCCCCTCTGTTTCAGTTTGATAGGAATGAGGGTGGCCAATGTGTATGATGTCGACCACAAGACCTACCTCATCAAACTGGCCAAGTAAGGGACCCCCTCTCTCTTTACCTAACTAACACGGTCCAACTTTGTTACACGTGAGACAAAGTCGTAATGCAACTTTAATAATATAATAGTCGGTACAACATGGCGTTGTTTGCAATAGGCATAACTGTTTATTTTCCGACTTGCTTTATGGACTCATTTTCATTTCACGCAAAGTTGCACCTGATGTAATAGTGACCTTAATTAAAACACTGTATATACCAGCTAGCAGGAACCCCAGTGATTCAATGACACACACACACACACCGACACACACACACACACCAACACACAGACCGGACGTGAAGAAAGTGCTCCTGTTTGAGTCGGGGTGCCGGATACACACCACAGAGTTCGAGTGGCCCAAGAGCATGCAGCCGTCAGGGTTCAGCATGAAGGTCATTCTCCTCCATTTGGCATGTTGGGAATTCTGGGACTCTCCTCTATGGCACATAGTCCTGGGCTTCTGGAAATTTCCCGCTCTTTCTCTAAAGAAAGTTCTGGAAGCCCCAAACCTTAAAGCCCCATTAGTCAGTATTGCACTGTGTATATACATATACTTCTTCCATTGGTGGGGTGTTTCCTAGTCAGCATTATACCATGTATGTTCTGTGTATCTTCCAGTGGTGGGGTGTGTAGGGAGGACATTTTGTGGTTTCCCCATTCAGTTGAGGAAGCACCTGCGGACCAGGCGACTGGTGGCCATATCACAGCTGGGAGTAGACAGAGTCCTGGATCTCCAGTTTGGCTCCGAGCAGGCCGCCTACCACCTCATTATCGAGCTCTATGACAGGGTCAGTCCTCATAGGTTGGCTAACTTTATCCCGTTCTCCCATTCCTTCCCCGTACTTCTTTTCCCTTCACTCCTTCCTTTCTCCCTCCTCTCCTTCATATTCGCTAACTCTGCTAACTCCCACATCTCGCCCCTCTCCCCCCCCACACACACATGCACACCTTGTCCAGGGCAATGTAATCCTGACGGACTGTGACTATCTAATCCTCAGTCTCCTCAGAACCAGAACCGATGCTGATGCCGACGTTAGGTTTGCAGTCAGAGAGACATTCTCCCAGGACACCGTCAAGAGAGAGCAGCCCTTGCCCTCCAGACAGCAGTGAGTTTTTTTGGATGGAGAGACCGAGAGAGAATGGAGAGAAAAGTAATTGTGTTTCTCGTTTATCATCCGAGGTTGGAGCAGGCTCTCTCTGCAGCCAAGAAAGGGGAACAGCTGAAACATGTGCTCAATCCTCACTTTGGTAAGTGTGCCTTGATGATTATTACTGTATGCTCCATGTAGTTCAGCCTAGTGTGTCCTGAGTCCCCTTATTGAGGTACATATGTTACAGTATTGAAGTATGTACATGTATGTACAGTATGCCTGTGTATGTTGCAGTGTATGGAGCTGCTCTGTTGTCTCACTGTCTTCTCGGAGCTGGCATCAAAGACACTGCCAAGATTGGCTCTGGCTTCTATCTCGAAACAGGTTATTATACATCCTGGAAACATGTACCTTTTCAAGTATCTAAATAGGTTTTGTTTGCCTCATCGCTTACCCGTGCTCCCCAAAAAACAACCATGTAAAGGTTTTGTGACGTTAGGAATAATTTCCCAATGGAACCTGGTATTGGTAGTGTTTTGTACTGGTCTGTAATTACAGACATAGAGAAAGTGATGGCAGCCGTGGAAGAGGCTGACCAGCTCTTCAGAAATCTGAGAGACTGCCAGAGCAAGGTCTGTCTGTACTGTGTGTGTGTCTTGTTGCTTTTCAGCATCCTCTCATCTTCCTCATCTCCTCCTCCTCCTCCTCCTCCTCCTCCTCCCCCTTGTTGTCCAGGGGATTGTGATACAGAGAAGAGAAGACCGGCCGCAGGTTGCCGGACAACAACCTGGAGGAGCAGAGGAGGAGGGGGAGCCCCTAATGACGTAGGGCAATAATTTACCTCCGCCCCCTTACTTCCTTCCCACTTGCTCTTTATTCCAATAGAAATGTTGAGTTTCATCCTATGCTGTTTCGGCAGCATGCAACATGCCCATACAAAGAATTCCCAACACTCAGCAAGGTATATATGACGTACGCAGCAGCATGTACAGATATTCTGTGATCAGTAATTTCTAAGGAACCAAAGGAACGTGTTTGTGTATCCGTGATTCTACGGCATACTGAAAGTAGGTGTCCATTGTTGTGCGAAAACACCAGAAAATGTATCGAAACTGGGAATGCTTTGTTACATGTTTCAAATGATCAAAATTCATATTTTGTCATTGTCAACTGTCACACCTGTTGTTTTTCACCCATGCTTTCTCGGTAACTGACCGTTATTTCTGTACAGAGGGGGGGGGGGGACAGTAAACAACATTCTTCCCACTTTTCCTTTTGCTGTGTCAAAATTTTCAGGCTGTTGATGAGTTTTTCTCAGCACGGACCAGCCAGAAGCAGGACATCAAAGCTTTGAACGTGGTCTGTTGTTGTTGTTGGTGTTGTTTTTATTTCAAGTATGCATGTGTGTGTGCTCTATTGTGGCTTATGTTTGCTGTGTGTGTGTGTGTGTGTGTGTGTGCAGCAAAAGACAGCAGTCAAAAAGCTGGAGAATGTCAAGAGAGACCACATGAAGAGAATTGACGAACTTCAGAAGAAGCAGGTACAATTAATGTGACCAGCAGTTTATAAATGGAACTTGCGGGGCTAAAAATTTCATGATCGATTGACATTGGGTTTTAATGGTCCCATCCCCATTCATGAAATTGACATATTCTACTAGAATTTCTTGTTGTCCCCTCTTCTCTCTTCTCTTTCTCTCTCTCTCTCTCACACACACACCCCTCTCTCTCTCCCCCAAGGAACAAGACAGGTACAAAGCTCAACTGATAGAGTACAACATTGACCTGGTCGAGAGAGCCAGCACCGTCATCCGTAGCGCCGTCGCCAACGCCATGGACTGGGGCGACGTCGAACTCCTCGTTAGAGATGCTCAGGCCAGGGGCGACCCCGTTGCCTTGGCGATTCACAGCCTGAAACTAGCCTCTAACGAAGTTACTCTGTTATTGAGGTATTCATAGTTTGCGCATTTTCAACACTCCACCTCGTTTCTCTTGTTTCTCGTTTATGAAAAGCTAATTGAAAGTATGTTTAGTTTCCTCATTTTTTTCTCAGAAAATATCTCAATTTTTCCACAGCCGTACAGCTGTTTACAGACGTTACTATAGATAGATTTCACACGAGCATGCGTTGCTATTTTTAGTCATTACATCACTGTTCTACAGGGAACCAACAGGGGAGGTGGAGGAGGAGGAGGGCGAGGTGGAGGTTGGGGAAGTGAAGAGTAAAAAGGTATATACAGCTCACTTCCCTGAAGAAGTATCCTATCATCTTTGCTTCAACGATAATTGAATGGGAGTATTATGGCCTGACTGTCTGTGTACACAGAAGAAGCAGTTGAAGGGGACGAAAATTGATATTGACCTAGGAATGTCTGCCTTCTCCAATGCCAGAAGGTCAGCCTCTCGTCGCTTAGCTCCCCCGGTGTTGCCAGGTAGAGTAGCTTGCTCCCAGTGCAGTGCATTTTTGCTGCCTGCCTGGCCAAGCCCGTCAGATCGTCGCCATCTTTATCCCCCATTCCATTCTGGACTCCCTGCCCCCATGCATAGCTTAGTCTGTGTTGGAGCATATTTCACATCATGTCTAACACACTGTACTCTATACATACATACATACATACATACGTCAAACCGTGGTTCTTATCAGCATAATTATTATACACCTGTTTATTACCGTGGGTTGCGTTTTTGTGGAGTAAACTCCGGCAATATTTTGATCCGCGAGCTCTCCTTGTGGTTTTCTAGTAGACGTCAACAGGTGCGTATTATGTCATAGGTCTTGTTCTAAAGTGATCTGTCTTATAGGGGTATGTTTGTGTGGCTGTCAACTTGACATTCTAGCTAGTTTTTCCTCAGAGGTGGAAGGAATGTTATGGACGCCCCCTGTGATTACTGCTCATTGCATAACCTAACCCCTCCTTGCGTGTGCATCTGTGTGTTTGTTGTCTGATCGAGTGTATGCATTATGGATGCAGGTACTATGAGCATAAGAAAAGTGCATTCAAGAAAGAGCAGAAGACTATTGCAGCCTCGGAAAAGGTATTTTTCCTTCAACCTACACACTCAATGTACAGTATCATGTCCAGAGCCTGATGTAAGCTATTCGCCATGTGCCCCAATTGTGTGACTGACTGTGAGATGTGATGCGTCTGTGCAGGCCCTCAAGTCAGCTGAGAAGAAGACAAAACAGACACTGAAAGATGCCTCCACCATTGCCAAGATCAAGAAAGCCAGGAAGATCCACTGGTTGGTTAATTTCCTCTCTCATCTCCCTCTCTCTCATCGGCCTGCCTCTCTCATCTCCCTCTCTCTCTCATCTGCCTGCCTCTCTCATCTCCCTCTCTCTCATCTCCCCTCTCTCTCATCCCCCTCTCTCTCATCTGCCTGCCTCTCTCATCTGATCTGAAGGTTTGAGAAGTTCTACTGGTTCATCAGCTCTGAGAATTTCCTGGTGATTGGTGGGCGGGACCAGCAGCAGAACGAACAGGTGGTCAAACGCTACCTCACCGAAGGTCAGACACAGTATACACCCTCACTTGCTAGTGTATGTGTGTGTGTGTGTGTGTGTGGTGATCTCTCTGTATTATAGGAGATCTGTATGTTCATGCTGATCTGCGCGGAGCTCCAAGTGTCATCATAAAGAACACTGGAGGTATTGAAATATTTTGTGCTTCCATGGTAGACCCCCTACTCTGGGTCAATAGTATCCTGACTGCAGTACGTACATGTGTTGTGTTGTGTTGTAGGTGGGCCGGTGCCTCCGCGGACTCTGACAGAGGCTGGTAGTATGGCGGTGTGCTACAGCTCTGCCTGGGAGGCTCGTATCGTGACCTCCGCTTGGTGGGTGCACAGTCACCAGGTATGCGTATATACCTACAATACACTCTCCATCACACCAGTGTAATAATTATAGTCCTGTTGTGTACCATTTGAGGAAGGAAAATATTGAGATTCAGAGAACTTGTGCGATACAGTCGCTAACTAAAATTTCGCATAATTATGACTAACAGTTGTCTATGTGGATGTTCATGTAATGATTACCTCACTTCCAAAGGTCTCGAAAACTGCTCCTTCAGGAGAATACCTGACTACTGGTAGCTTCATGATCAGAGGTATGACAATAATATGAGCCATGTATATTAGTTCACATGCAACCAATAGTCGGTCAACATTCTCAACTGTTCTCATAGCCAATAGTTCTAACAAGCATCTCAACTATGTAAGTGCTGTTGCCAAGAGGAAGTGTAAGGGGTAACCCCCTCGTCTAGCTCCTTGAGTGGACTAGAAATGTTATTGCCAGTTGAAAGATCAAAGACAGCGGATCCCTCTCTCTCTCTCTGTGTGTGTGTGTTGCAGGACGGAAGAACTTTCTCCCTCCCTGTGACCTGACCATGGGGTTTGGGTTCCTGTTCAAAGTGGACGAGATGTGCATTCATCTTCACCTGCACGAGAGGCAGATTGCCACAGACGACCAGCCTTCTCTGGTGAGCCATGGGTGGGAGGAGGGGAGGGGGATAGAACTCCTCTGATCCAGATACCAATGGGAGAGGGTAAAGTGTCCATAATTATTATACGTGAGGTGTCCTTCAGGGGTTAATTAGATGGAAAAAGAAAAGCAGAAAGATATCCACCCGTCCAGGAAAGTGAGTCGGTGAGTGGGCTGAGTCAGCAGGTCTCAGAAGAGGAGGAGGTGCTGGAGGTAGAGGAGGACACCGCTGATCAAGGTGAGTCCTCACTACCCACTCTTGTCAATGGGTCTAGTGTGTCCTCTGTGAACAGAGGAGGAAGAGGAGGAGGAAGTGGATTCAGTTCTACCAGACACTACCATCACCCTGTCCCACATCGGAGGAGACACGTATGTTAGACACTCTGGCTACCCACTAGTCTTGTTCCCAGACAGATCTCCGCGTACATCAGACACTCTGGCTCCCTGTGTCTCCTTCTCTTCCGATGCAAACACAGCCTTCATTGCAGTCTACAGAGTACTTGCATAGCATCTCTCTCTTCCTGTGAAGGTTTGAACTGAAGCGATGGGTGAGTGAGACGTCAACTGTCAGTCTGGAGTCAGAGAGGGAGAGGGTCCAGAGGGAGCTGGAGGAGACAGCAGCGGAGGAAGGGAGGAGGCACCAGCACATCTCGGCCAAGCAGAGAAGGTGAGAGACAAGAAATCTCCTCTATGATACTATGCATTGTGAGCTGCTGTTAGGGATATGAAAAGACAGGATTCGCAACCAACTGACAGAGGGGAGGCCCCTGCCCCCCATCCTAATCCTCCTCCAACTCAGTCCAAGAAGAAGGTAGTCTCATTAATCCACTGACACAATACCAAATTATAGTGATCAGAGTGGTCCTTAGTCGCAACAAAGTGATGCCCACCCACGAATTACATAATTTCGAAATTTTGTTGCGTTGGAGAATGTGTTTGGCCTTTTTTTGTTGCAGAAACAGCAAATGCAGACACAACAGCCACCAGTTCAGGTCAAGAGAGGCCAAAAGGTATGCTATACTCGATGTACTTCATAGGAGAGACTGCTTGTGTGTGTGATGATGATGGATGTCTGCAGGCAAAGCAGAAGAAGATGAGGGACAAGTATGGCGACCAGGACGAGGAGGAGAGAGAGCTGAGGATGAAAATTCTCGCGGTAAGTTCCCTCTATACTCTGGATAGTTGACTAACAAATCAGTTCTTAGACCAAAAATTATATTTGAATTCGTATAATTATTATAGTCTGGTCAACCGTCCAAACAACAGCCGCAACAGCAATCTCAGCAAAAGGGTGGAAGGAAAGGCCAGAAGAACCGAAACGCACCGACCAACCCCAAACACAAGTACCACCAGAAGTCCCGAGGAAAAGATCAGCTCTCGGCGATATCAGATGTTCCCCGTCGCAAGCAACTGGACCCGCAGTTTGTGTCCACTACATCTGTTCCCGCTGAGGGAACGGATGTGGTGGGGGAGGGGGGAGAAAATTTAGGCCCCCTGGTAGTTGTAGGGGAACCAGATATTGTGGTGGAGGATGTGGAGACTGTTGATGGTGCGGCTGCTGGTGTAGAGGAAGAGGAGGAGGAGGAGGAAGAGGAGGGGGAAGACGGACAAGAGGAAAGTGAAGATGGAAAAGAGGGTGGTGCGGAAGTTGGAGGAAAAGAGGAAAAGGAAGAAAGTGCGAGTGAAGGGACAGAGAAATCAAAGGGCAAAGAAGAGGAGAAAATTGTCCCGGTTGATTTGTCCTCTGCTGATGTAGCTACTGCTGCTACTAATGGAGCCACTGCTACCACTGATGACTCACTGGAGAGGGAGTACGAGGGCAATGGAGAGGTGAGACTGGCTGTGTGTTTCTTTGACCATCCTCACAATGTGTCCAGGATTCAGACGAGGAAGAGAAGAAAGCGATACTGGCAGATGAAAATATCCATCAACTCGATGACACGGAGAAGGTAAGATGAGCGACATACAAATGAAGTGGTTTGTTCAGGGTTATGGAGTTTTCATACAGGACCAGTTGTCAATACTGGATTCCTTCACGGGATCTCCCGTACCAGAGGACATTATGATCTACGCCATTCCAGTTTGTGCACCATACACTGCAGTCACCAGCTACAAGTATGCAGGTCCCTCGCTCCATCTCGTTGTCTACGCGTAATGTTTTTTTACACATAAAGCTCACAAAGTGTATGTATTGTGCACAGGTACAGAGTCAAGTTAGTCCCAGGGACAAACAAGAGAGGGAAAGGTGAGTTGGCAAGGAATATAAAAAATATATATATAGGGTCTGACAGGTAAAGCAAGTAACAGATGATTTACAGTGTGGTGTTGTCTCTCTCTCACCCTACAGCTGCCAGAGCAGCTCTTCACAGATTCATTCAGTCCAGAGATTCGTCCCAGAGAGAAAAAGATCTACTGAAGAGTGTCAAAGTATGGTAACAAGACTCTCAGTGCGTAGGAGGTTCATGTTTCTCCCTATTCAGGACAACGATCTGTCTCGATATATCCCGGGGAAGGTTAAGATATCCATACCACAGTCACAAGGACAGAGACGTACACACAAATAGTATAGCATCGCCCCCATTTGTTTCTCTTATTACGATTCCTTCTCACGTGGTTCTCTTATGGTACCCTCTCGTGCGGTAGACTGGTGCACATCGCTTAGTTGCTCAACTGCCTTCTGTGCGATTCTGGTTTGTGAGACTACATGCACTTAGATCTATACCATGAAAAATGTTGTAATGCATGCATGTAGGAGTTTCAACACAACAGGAGGTGACCATTCTCACTGTCCCCAGTACAAACATGATAGAATACTGCCAATAGTCTTTCCCATACTCCTGCATACATAGAAATAAACCAGTTCATGGGTAATAGAACTAGCTAGATGTAAACCAGTTCACAGCTAGCTAGAGATGTAAGAGCTCACCTGCTCTGGCCTGCTTTCAAGCAGGAGACAAGGGCCTCTCTCTCAGTGCTGGTTCCACATTTCTCATATGCATCCCTCAGTCTGCATGTGATAGAGACTTAGGCTACACTCCACAGCAGATTACGATAATCAGAGAGAAAACCTGTGAATTGGTGGTATATAATAACGTTCTCTGGAGAACACTTGTAGTGGATCATTTGTCGTACTGGAGAGCTATCCCCTCCAAAATAGCTTCAACTGAGAACGTTCAGACTGCACAATTCACAAGTTTTCTCCATGTCCCGTGTAGTAGTGGAGTTGACTCACGCAGAAATGGTGGGGAAATGGTCCAAAATGGCCGCTGCTCTCTCAGCTGAGACACACGGGACTTGAATGAGATGCCGACCCAGCATTTCATACGCCGTCAGCGTCTAAAACAAAACAATTCATTCGAAACTCGAAAAAAAAACCGGCACACTCTCTTGCACCTTGTTCTTGACGGAGGCATCGTTGAAGGAAGCAAACTCGACCCCACGAACTGTGTCACCCACGGTGAGGTGGTGGCTGCCGTGTCTTCCTGCCTTGTCACCATCTGGTGGAGGATGCTTGTTCACGTCAGCCATGACACTCCAAGGATATGCCTCAACCGTCTTTTCCTATTTGATAGCGGCGAAATGTACACGAGTGTACAGTGTACACTTATGGTTGGAAGGAAAATAATGTTTCGAGCAACTAGAGCCCTAAGGCAGTTTTCTTGCCTGACTATATAGTATATGCAATGGTAGTAGAGTATGTATATACTCACGGCATAGTGGGTGGAGAGTTGTCTGGTAAGGAGAGTGAGGAACACCACGGAGTCTCTTATGTCTGTGGTTCTCTGCACCCTGAAACCATCTATCACCTGTACATATGGACACAATACATCAGTCTAATAGCAGAAGACGGCACGAAACACCACAGGGTGGGGACGATTGTCACACACACAACGCATGTGATACCAGTGTGTTGGAGATGGCCTGTTCCAGGGAGCGGACTGGCAGCTTCAGGTGCATCTTGTCTCCAAACTCCTCCACCAGATATACGGGAAACTTTACTCCGCAGTTCTTCAGACGAAACTGAGGAGACAGAGAGCGATAAACATGCGATGAATACAAGTACATCTTCACATTAATGGACACTCTAGACAAAGTATGTAGTCTGTCAATTTGAAGTTCTCACTTTGATACACATACATAAAGGAAGTAAAGGGCAGGAATAGAGGACCTTTTGCTCATTAAATCGTCCGTCGGTTATGCTACCAGCGAGGTCATCCATACGTTTTCTCTCCACTATGTAATCCAGTGCTACTTCTCTTGAGCTGGGCAGAGTCACTTGACCTGCAGGAAATACAGCGCACTATACCCACTGTAATGTAGAGGAGGCCCTATTGTACCATACTGTAACATAGAGCTATTGTTGTATGTACCACGCAGGGGGGATGATTTCTCCTTGGCTATCCAAAGAAAGTCTCCAACGTTCAACTTGCGGACATCAAATCTGACACCTACGTACACTGATGTGACTATAGTGTCCAATGTATAGCAGGGGTATATACCGTTCTTGGCCAGCTCTTGCAAGAGAATCCCTCTGAACTGGGAACTGGACCTGAAGACACAGAGACAGGTGTCTCCAACCAACCTAAAATTTACGCCAATTCCTCACTTTCTGCAGGCAGTGGACTCGGCATTATCCACACACAGAAGTACTTCAAACTCTCCTATTAACAAACACATAGACACTCAACTGCAGATGACAATATCATGGACACCATAGCCTTGTGTGTTTCGGCAGCTCTACTACTTAATGGAGCATTACAAACCTGGTTTCAGTCTAAAGAGAGGCGGTCCCGTTGTGAGGGTTTGGGATGTGGTGTTTGTAGTAGCTGTCGTGTTGGAGCCAGCGTTCTGCGTTCTTGAGGTGGTAACATCACGGAGAACAGGTTTACTGAGTGTGGATTTGGGGATGGAGGGAGAAGGGGAGAGGCGGGAGGAAGGGGAGCGGTGAAACGGGGGAGATTGGGGAGGTGGAGAAGTGAGGGTGGGACGGTGAGTCTGTGGAGGCTTTGCTTTAGTCAGTAGAGGAAAGTCAGGCAAATCGTCATCATCGTCGATACTTTCCCGACGTCTCTTGCCAACGGGGAAATCCTCCATCTCTAGAGTGAGGTCTACTCTACAGGAGGGGAGCGTTCCCTTGCTTCTCTCTCCTCTGCTCTCCTCTCCCTTCCAGCTGCTCTCTCCTTTCCTTCCACCACCACTGCTGTTCCCCTCTCCTCTGTCCCTACCAATACCACCGGCCACACCTCCACTCTGAAGCCTACTGAGTGCCGCATGCCCGGCCATCTGTGCGGGGGTCAGAGGCCCTCTCCCTCCAGAGCCTGTTGGGAACCTCTCTCCAGACGCACAGGCTACGGAATGTTCCGGAGTTTCCTCCACACACCACCTGCTGGGACCCTGCGTGTGTGGTGGCGACGGAGAAAGACTAAGAGATGTGGTAGTAGTGGGTCTGGTCTTGGCCTGGATCCTGACTGACAGAGGTGGAGGAAGGATTTCGATATCGCTGCTACTACCGTTATCTTCAGTGTCAGAGACCAGTGAGATGGTGGGTGGGTGAGAGAGGTCAGGGGGAGTGGGTGTGTTTGGGGACTTGAGGGAGGGGTAAGGAGGGGAGAAGGTGGGCGGTGACATCGGACGGGAAACTATATTCTGTGTTGGAGAAACCCTCGGTCCATTTCCAGCTCTGTTGCTGTTGGAAGCAGTGAGAGAGGAAGAGGAGGAGGGAGAATGGTCTGCCGAGGGAGAGACGGAAGAGGGAGAGGTTAGTACCGATGTGGCTCTCTCCAACTTCTCTGCCATTTCCTCTCCGGCCTCTGTGAGTCTGAACCTGCACCGCAGTGACATCATAGTGATGTAACATTGAGAAGGAGTCAATGACATCATAATGATGTCATGGAGTTGTGTGCCATGGAACATACTTGGCGGGACAGCTTCTCTTGTCGACAAGTCCCTTCCTGATGAGAGTGGCCACGGAGCTCCAAGCCGTGTAGTACTTACCATCATCTGGCTGTCGGTGGACACAAGATGCCATCCATGTTGTCGTATATAGAAGACAGAGGGAGAGCTTACTATGGTGAAAGACTTGTCAGAGAACGGCTGAGCTTGGGACATTAGCTGGTTCTTGGTCAGGTGACCTGTCCAATTAGGTCTCTGGTTCAGGAGAAGAGTGTGAGACAGGGGCGCAAAATATTCACATTTATTACCTGTTTAGCTCTGTAGAGGGCAATTATGATGGCGTATGGTCCAGACCTAAACTCTGGTACATATTCAGTCTGCCTTCTCTTCTTCTGTATATATACATACACACATCACATTCATATAAAGTATGATACTTGCCTTTCCTTTGGCCGACTGTACATCTCCCTGAGCCCCACTAGTCTCTCCTGCCAGACTACGAGCAGCCACCTTCGACCTCTTGACAGACCCACTGTTTTCTATAGACAGAGACACTCTACACAGCTGGCACACAAGAAGTGCAGGTCTTTCACCTTCTTCCTCGGCACGGTACTGAGCCAATCTCTTGTCAAGCTTCTTGGCCAGTTTCTCACCTGTACACACGCACAACAAGACGGAGGGTCGGATCAATCCATTCGCTATCAATGCATACGCCTGTACCTATGTGGTCGAGTATCTTTGCCTCTTCGCCGCTGGTGAGGGGCAGTGGGTACTTCTTCAGCGAGTTCAAGGCCTGCAATCAGGATCACGGCAGAGTAGATATACAGCAGCTAAGAGGACAGGGCCTGCACCTTTGTGTATGCGTATTGCACTTTGGATCCCTCCTCCCTCGCCTGATCTCGCCATTCCTCCACCCATTTAACGAAGAGAGGGTTTGAATAGCCCCCTACTGGCCTTCTCTTTCTCTTCAACCGCTTCGTCTCCATTTTGAGGTTCCCGCCAAACACGCGGCCAATCAAAACGCGCGGATTACGCGGGAAATTATAATTCCCGGCCAAACCCGACCCACGTGTGGTTCGTTGTCCTGCTTCAACTATCCCTCGAATGTGCATGAAGGCACGGGGATCACCAGTCCAGTCTTTCTACGATGCCCAGCTTGCCGCAGTGGGCCCCTGGCTCGCTCACGTGCGCCAGGCTCCGCTGAGAAACAACCTGAAGCAGAGATTCGTGGAGGAAGCCGCGTCATCGTGGTGTGTGCGGGAGACTCTCTCGCCGTTCACGAGGCGCGTGACGGCCCTCGAGTGGCACCCCGTGTGCCACAACGTCGTGGCCTTTGCCTCTCACGGCGGCGACATACAGCTGTGGAACTACGATGATCCCTCACGGAACGTTTCGTCCGGGGACTGGGCTACGGATACGGGTGCGTCACGTCCATGAAGTTCAACCCCGAGAACCCGCGCTACGTCTACACGACCTCTGTGGACGGTCGCTTCTTGTCACAAGACCTAGAGGGTCGGCAGTCGAACGTGTTTCTCGACACGCAGGACATTTCCTACTGGTGGTGTAGCCTGGATATCTCCAGACAGTACAACGTCATGTTTGTGGGAGGGAACACTGGCCAGGCTGTGCTACTAGACTCCCAAGGAGAAGTGATATGCAAGTACAAGAAGTTTCACCGGGGGAAAGTGAAATATGCCGAGTTCTGTCCGTCTGGACATTGGTTACTAGCCACTGCATCGGTAGACCACACAGCCGCTCTGTGGGACATTCGGATGCTCAGATCGCAATCTGGAGACTCTACCGACAGACCAGAGCCACTGTATACTCTAGGGCACACTGCACCGGTGAACTCGGCAACATTCGACCCACATACGGGGAGCAGACTGCTCACCACGGCTCAGAACAGTGTCCTCCAAGTCCACGACGCCAGCTCCAATTGGGAGACTGCGACAGTCGTGGTTTCTCATCCTCACAGGCACTTCCAGCACATGACAGACATTGTCGCAACCTGGCACCCTCTCCACCAGGACCTCTGCGTCGTGGGGCGCTATCCGGAGAAAACAGACGAGGATCAGACGAGAACTGTCGATCTTATCGATCTTGAAACGGGCAGTGGAGGTCGGGTAGTGGCCCAGCTGAGCAGCACACCGCTAAAGGGGATTGTGATTCTGAACAAGTTCAGTAGGTGTGGGCGTCGGCTCGCCTCGGGGATGGGCTATCACTGCCTCCTCTGGGGACCCGAGGTGAAGGAAACGAAGTGGTTGAAAGGTCACGGAGGTCGTCGCCCTGGAGATGTTCTTGGAGGCGGGAGGCAAAAGAGGGGAGGGAGAAAGAGAAAGAAAGATGAAGATGATAGCAGGGTAGCTAAGAAATTGAAGAAAATGACAGTTGATGCAGGAAAAAAGAAGCGAGTCACGTAAAACTTCACTTGCTGTTTGCAAAAACGAGCCCCACCCATCAGATTGCGCATGCGCATTTTGTGTCCGCGCAGTCGTCGGCAGGATATTTCTTGCGAAGATCAAAGAACGTACTCTTCATCCATCTTGGTAAGGATTAGGGCTCCAGATCGCCGTTAACTATATAAAGGATATAGCCGAGGGAACCACGGGCAACTCTGCGCCTTGTCATGCAGGAATTTCTAATTATTGCCCACCTCGCTCAGACGTACTGCGGGAATTCATAATGACGTCATCTCAACCGGACCTCTCCACACATGTCATTCCCCTGGGGACCCCACTGAGTGCACTGCAGGCCCAAGAGGCCTTTGCCGGGCTTTCTGCAAGGGAGAAACGTTACTGCCACTACTTGGCCCGGGCGGCCTGGGAAGGAGCTCCCATTTGTCTCCTCCAGACATCCCCCGAGAGTGTCCCCGTGTTCCTCCTCCTGAGAGAGGTGTTCTCCCGCCAGACCCCCGCCTCGCTCCGGGCAGCCGTCCAGGAATCGGTCACCGAGGACGAGTTCCGCTCCCTCTTGCTGTACACGGCAGGTGTCTTCACCAACATGGGCAACTACAAGGGGTTCGGGGACACAAAGATCATTCCCGGCATCCCAAAGGTACCTGCAATTTTTAACCAATTTTCAGCCCCCACCATAAAAGGAGGGAAAGTGGGCTGCAATAAATCTACTACAATGTAATCTGTGTTTTCTGTGGCCAATCGTTGCCGCCTAATTGGTTTCCTATGTGCAATATCTGATTAGGGGGTGGCCTAACCTCCCCTTTGTTTTGTCCATATCTCTATCTCTACTGATCTTCAGTGTTGCACTGTCTCCTATTCAATGCATACGACTTTCAGGACAAGATGGAGGTTGTCCTACAGGCCAGCGTTCTGTTTCGAGAGGACTCTGACCTGTTGTCCCGACTGTGGGGGGCCTGTTCTTCACCGATGTACTCCCTACTCCCGAGAGAAAGACAACTGGGGCTGGGAGATGAGGTGAGGCCACACTCACCACACCTCAGATAAAAGATGTCAGATTCTTTTTCACCGTGGTCTTCGTCGTGTGTGTTTTTCTGCAGGGTATTACCACTTACTATTCTGGCAACTGCATGAGAGCCGATGCTGAATTGGTGCAATCCTTTCTGAAAGAAAAGGTGACCTCTCTCACACACTTGCTCTCTCTCTCTCTCTCTCTATAATGTGTTTGACAAGTACTGTCCATAACATAATGTTCTATACACTCGGCGCTGAAATGAACGAAATTATAAATTTGAGACTCTGTAATAGGAGACTTTGAGGACGTAATTCTAGCTATTTGGTTTTCCAGTAGTAATTCCCTGTCCGCAATTATAACGCCCTGTCGGCTAATTAAACGTTCGTAGATTTAATAACTAGAGAATTTTGTCCCAGGACACTCCTAATGTTCAAACCAACAGGTGGCAGTGGCATGTACAGTGGAACTGTAAGTACGCCCCTGAAATGATGACACCTCTCTAATAACAACGCCTTTTGTCTTGCATGCAGTCTGCAGTTCAACCCCTGAAATATGGACACCTCACTAAATCGGTTTTCTGTCCCATTAGTGCCTGAATTAGAGGGGTTCCACTTACATGTGTAGGGCCTCGAGGCATACAACACCAGAGTTTTCAAGACTGTAGTTGAAGGAGGGAAGGCCGCCAAATACGAACTGAGATTTGCATCGGCAGCAACTGAGAGTGAGAATTTCTCAAGACAAATTGTCCGATGTTTTAGTTGCTGTTCAGGTGAGTCTCTGGGTCCAGAGGACGACGTGGCCCCGCTGCTCGGAGACCACACCCACAACTCCACCCACATTGTCGTGACTCGAGGTGACTATGCTCCGCTGATGGAAAAGATTGCCAGGAATTTGGAACAGGCCAAGGTGGGTGCAGTATGTATCTTCTGTATAATACCTGTCTCCTGGTATTTTGGTGTAACTCCCTCTTATCTGGGGGGCAGATTATTTTTACCACAAACCTACCTAGGCTTGTGGCCCATTATCCATTGTCAAGACCATCAGGACATGTGGTTTCCCCCAGGCCTTTACCATACTGAATCCACCACCACTCACGTGCAGACTCCTACATAGGTCACCTATTGTTTGACTTACCCACAGTACAATCTCCCTCTGCCACTGCTACTGAATATTGCCTGCTATAATAATTATGTGGAGCCGCTCTTCTCTGTGGTGCATGTGTGCAACATCCCATACTCTTCTAAACTTAGTAGAAAGGGAGACGGTCTTGTATGTTGTTCAAAATCCTCTTCTTCCTCCAACCTGGTAGAAAGTAGGGGTTCGTGAAAGTTATACTCCCATTCCCCAACACTCAACTGTAGCTGTATGTGGCAAACGAGGAGGAGGCCGCCATGCTGGAGTCCTACATACGCAGCTTCAGGAGTGGGTCTCTGGCACAGCACAAACAGGGGTCCCGTCACTGGATCCGCAACAAGGGACCCATCGTCGAGACGTTGGTTCCTCCCTCTCTCCTCCCTCTCTCTCACCACCTTCTCTCCCGAAATCTCCTCCCTATGCCTCATCCCTACACCTACTCTCCCTCTTTCCTTCAACCCCTGTGTGTATGTCTCTTCTTCAATGCTGTGTATATTGTGTGAAATGGTAAGTAAATGGTTAGTGATTTGCATCAACAGGTATATGGGGTTCATTGAGAGTTACAGAGACCCATTTGGAGTGAGGGGTGAATTTGAAGGTGAGTTGAACAAGGAGTGTGGATTTGGTCCTGAAGCCCTAAGTCCTAGCACCACCCCCAACACCCTCCTCAGACTTTGAGTCTCCACTAGACACCTCCTAGCAACCAGGTTTTGACCTTTGCCACCTTGTCTTCCCTCCCTCCTCCCTCCCCTTTCTCACTGCTCTTCTTGTGTCTCTCTCTCCCTCTTTCCTTGTCCCTCCTACCCCTCTCCCCCCCTCTTCCCCTCTCCCCCAACCTGTACTACAGGGTTTGTGGCAGTAGTCAACAAAGCCATGAGCTCCAAGTTCCAACAACTGGTTCAGTCTGCCGAGAATCTGCTGACTCAGCTCCCATGGCCGAGAGAATTCGAGAAAGATCAGTTCCTGAGACCAGACTTTACTTCTCTGGATATCGTGGCCTTTGCTGGCAGTGGTGTGCCTGCTGGGATCAACATACCTAACTGTAGGTTGTACTGCTGTAGTACTTTCCATACTTGGTCTTGTTCAATTATACTCTGTGCCCCTAGATGACGAGATTCGTCAGAACGAGGGCTTCAAGAACGTCTCCCTGGGAAACGTCCTGCAGGCTGCCTATCAGGACAAGCGAGTTTCCTTCCTCTCGCCCGAAGACCAGGTGACTAAATTCTGCCCCACTGTTAATGTGGTCACCCCTGCCTAATGAGTGTGTGTGTGCGTGTGTGTTTTCTTCAGGAGTTGTTTGTGACTCTGCGTGGACCGGCGTTTGAGGTACAAGTCGGTCTCCACGAACTCCTCGGTCATGGTTCTGGGAAGCTCTTCAGAATTGTAAGGCACTGTCTCTCCAGGAAATAAGCCGTGTAATGTAAAACTTTAACAAACCATCACAAATATTGCTGTTTGTTGAAAAGTTTCTCTGCAAAATGCTAGTTTGCTAAAAGTTTTCTGACTTGAAGTTTTTCTGTTGTAAAGTATCAAAGTTGGGACTGTGTTGTATGGGTAATGTCCAATACGCAGGATGAAACAGGCACCTTCAATTTCGATAGTACCTCCGTGAAAAACCCTGTCACCGGTGAAAAGGTATGCCTGTCTCTGTGGAGCACGACGGAAACTCGTGTGAGTATCTTTGTCCCCCAGATCACCTCTTGGTATCGACCTGGAGAGACGTATGACACGAGATTTAGCTCCCTGGCCTCCACCTACGAGGAGTGTAGGGCTGAGTGTGTGGGGCTGTACCTCTGCCTCAATAGAGATGTCCTGAAGTAAGATGTACTGGTCCCTCCTCTCCATTCTCCCTCCCTCTCCCTCCCTCTCCTCCCTCTCCTCCCTCTCCCTCTTTACTGCTACCATCCACTGAAGGGCGGTGTCCCTGACCCCTAAGGGTCTGCTTGTCCTGTGAGCTCACCTGTTAGTGAGTGGAGTGGCTTGTCTTCAGCCCCTCCCCAACTAGGTGCTGGCTTTTACAGCCTCCCACACCCTCAGTTTAAGCTTCCTCAATCCAAGTGTTACTGAGTTGTGATGCGTTTTGTGATGTATTGCATAGGTGCATAGTGTGGGTAAGTATATGTAGTCCAGTGATAATGTGTTTGTTCTGCATGCAGAGTATTTGGTCACTTGGGCCCTGGGGCGGAGGACATATTGTATGTCAACTGGCTCAACATGGTGCGGGCTGGGGTCCTGGGTCTGGAGTTCTACACTCCCCACACCAAGAAATGGGGCCAGGTGTGTAAGGAGTACTGTATGAGAAATGATATTCCATCTCTCTTTAGTTTCCCTGTACAGGTGTTCAGTCAAAATTCTTGCCGATCTTCGGATACTTGCCAATTAACCCCTTTACCAACCCCAATTGCTACTTAACCCCTCTCTCCCCTTGCTAATTAACCCCTCTATTCCCAGCACTTGCCAATTAACCCCATCTCTCCCCCACACTATCTAAAATTAACCTCTCTATTCCCGCCTCGTCTGCACACACTGACAGGCCCACATGCAGGCCCGTCACGTCATACTTCGTCTGCTACTGGAACGAGGGGGAGGCCTCGTTGGGGTGAAGAAGGTAACAGGGAGCGACGGTCGTCCAGACATTCTGGTGACGTTGGACCGGAGTCTCATTGATACCCGAGGGAAGGCCGTCATACAGGAATTCCTCCTGAAACTCCAGGTGACCTTCGCTCTACTCTGAGGAGCTTCGTGTTGTTGATAAAGCAAGGAATCCCTCTTTTGATGAGGAGGCCTGTGCATTTTAAAAATGCGCCAATTTTGGTGTGTGGCACACAGGTGTACAGGTCGACGGGAGATTTCGATGCCGCCAGCTCCCTCTATGAGAGGTACTCGGCAGTGAGTGAGGACGGAGGTTGGTTGGAACTGAGGGAAGTGGTGCTGGCTAGGAAACTCCCTCGACGGATGCTCATCCAGCCTCTGACTCGAGTTCAAGGCAGTCAGTTATAACCTCGTGTGACTGTATGCATTGAGATCACGTTATACTATGGCTCAGTGCCAGTTTAGAACAAAAATTGCTTTTTCTGAACCGTTTGTCATCTTTTCTGTGTGAAGTGAAGTCTATGGCTGTAGTGTTACGCCTGCTTAGATCCTTTCTGACTCACTCAGTGACTGCTGCGGGTGTTGATGTCGATTGTGCAGATGGTGGTGTGAGTCTGAAGCAATACGAGGTGTCCGTGGAGGGACTGGTGCAGCAATATGTGGAGTGTTATGACCACTATGACTCCCAGCTGGAAAATCTCTGGCTACAGAGCCAACATTTCTGGTGACTTGACTGATGCATTCCCTACACCTACAACCTTGCATTGCGCTCGCACTAAGTTGTTTTTGTTTTGCGCATGCGCAGTTCGGCGGTGGCGCGTACGCGCGCGTAGCTGTTGCACGTTGGAACGCTTCGTGTAACTTGCAGTTATAAGACGCTTTCGGCGCAGTTCAGCAGCTAAAGCGAAACTGGTGAGAAATGGGATCGTCGTTGGAGACTCGAAGGGAGAGGTGGGAGCTAGGGTGTGGTTGGTGGAGGCGATGCGGGGTCCTCTGTCTGCTGCTTCTTCTGCTGGACCGCTGCCGTTGCTCGGGACCCGCTTCCACCGCCTGCAGGCCGCCCTGCGAGAACGCCATATGTCCACCGACTGAGGGTCCCTGCAACTTCGGGACGTACGAACTGTGCAATGGTTGCTGTACAGCGTGCGCCGCGGGACCCAACGTCACCTGCCTCTCGTACGGTTCCATCTACCCTCGGTGCGGCGACGGGCTGAGGTGCGCCGGGGAGACCCGTTATTTCCCTGGAGTGTGCGAGTGGGTACCCGGTAAGTCGTGCTCCATCAAACGGCAACTGTCTACATCATACTTGTACTGCATTGCAGAATGCAGCTGTTGCTTTTTGCATGTTTCGAGCTAGCTTCCATCCAACCGGCAACTTTGCTGCAACAACGCGTGCTACGTACGCGCTGAATGCTGTATGCATGTGCGAGGGTGTCCACTGTCAATGATTGCGTGTTCTCGTTTTTTGCAGGCGGAACTCCGAGCCCCTCCCCCTCACCACCCCCCGCATCTCCATCTCCCGCCACCACACCTGACCCGGTCCCTCCAACTGCTGAACAGCCCACTGAAGACTGCTCGGGGAACGACACGAGTCCCGAGTGTCGACCAGCCTGCACCGTCGACTTCTGCTCCGAGACGGTGACGAGAAAGAAGAGAATCTGCTCGGCTGCTGGGTAAGTATGGCCCGGCACGGAGCAGTGTTTCTAGTTCCCAATGTGAAAACTTGCATTGCTAGCTTGGAGTCTTTACTACTTGATAGTGAAGAGAGAAATTGCTGAATATCGGTTGTGCATGCACCTGCATGGTTCAGCCATTGCCACCAAATAGAGCATTATCACCATGACAGAATAGCACCTGGATGCATTTTAGAGACTTGCTGCTAGTCTCTTTATTCCTCCTTTTAACTCTTGTCCCTCCTCCATCTCCCCTCCCCTCTCTCTCCCTCGTTCCATCTCCCCTCCCCTCCCCCCCCCAGCCTCTCTCCTGTCGTTCCAGGGAGAAACCAGTGCCAGGACACGTCGTGCGGAGCCTGTTTTCTCCTCCGGGAACCAGACTGCTCGGCGTTCATGTGCCCAGAGCCACCCACAAAGGACTGCCTGAGAGGGTTCTACGGGTGCATCAGGGATCACTACTTTGGGTCTTCCATAGCTTCAAACTTGATTGTAAGTGTGCAGCTTTCAAGATGTTATGTATGGTAGCTACTGAGCATGTACAGGGGCACAGTTTACTGGTGTGTACATACATTGAAAGGCTCCTTGGAACTTATTCAATTTGCTGGGACAAGGGTGGTTTCCTGAGGACTAATCTCATATATTAGTGGGACTGCTACCTGATACATAATTATAGGGAAGCTTGGTTTTACCTGAGGGTAATGGGGAGTAATCCATAATTTCTGAGGGGTATTAGCTAAAGTTTCCAATACCCCTTCTTCCCAGAGCTGTGGCTGGAGCTGGAACCACCACTTGAGTTTGGGAACTATACTAGAATTGGTTGAAACTAGTGACCAAAGCAGCTTTCAAGATGTTTTTATGGTAGCTAGCTACTGAGCATGCACAGGGGCACAGTTTACTGGTGTATACATTGAAAGGCTCCTTGGTACAATTAGACTTTATTCAATTTGCTGGGACAGGATGGTTTGCCTGAGGAGAGGACTACTCTCATATTATATTGGTGGGACTGCTACCTGATACATTTGGTCTCAAGTTTCCAATACCTTCTTCCCTGAGCTGTGGCTTCAGCTGGAATGTGAAAACTGGTGACCAAAGGTGTGTGGTTGTGGGCATGTTGTAGGTGGACCAAGTGTAACCCACACAATGTGCCACCTTCCCCAATGGCTAGGCAACTGAAGAGCTCCTTGAGGTGTATAGTGGTCAGGTTCACTGAAGCCTTTGCTTACATAAATGCCCCAAGCTGAGGAGACCCTTGTAATAATACAGACCCCCAATAACTGAGCTACAGTTCATGTGATTCCAGGCCTCAAATTACTCCAGAGTGTGAGGGGCAGCTGTTAGGACGGCATCACGCACAAACCTCAGGCAGGTGTTGTTGTAGCTCCCTTGCACACAAGCCACAAGGAAAACACACACAACCCGCCATACCTCCTATTGTTTCCTGCACACAGGACTGTGCAGAGGCAGAGTTATTTGTATCTATCTTGCACTGTGCATGCCATAATGCTAATATGCGTAAAACCACTGACATTTCACACTCACAGAGTGATGGTGGATTTGTTGTAGTTATAAACTTTGCAGCACTGGACAAACCGAGCATTGTGTAGAGCATTCGAATTGCCAGATATTGTGTTCAGGTGGTTCACCAGTACCCCCTTTGTCTGTGCAGCCATTGGAGGACCCTCTAGCAAGAACCACTCCTGGGCGAGTCGTGTGTCTGGTACCGTCTGTTGACCACCACACACCCCGCGGCTCCTCCTCTGAAGACGGCTCTACTTGACCCCTCCCTCCTCTCCCCTCCCCTCCCCTCCCCCCACCCCCCACCTTTCCTACCAAGATCAATCTACACATGGGAACAGAATCTCTCCCTACAATCTTCTTGTACCTCTCAGTTTGCCATTACGTAATTACCACTCTTCCTCCTCCCCCCCCTCCTTCATCCAGTCAGGCAACTATTCATTTTGATTCTCACCCTCTTATCGGCCGTCTCTTTTCTTCCCCTGCCTCGTCTGTGAGCTTTTCTTAGTTACATCAGGATATTTTCTATAGATCATGAATTGCTTCACCGCGTTATCCTTTGCTTTCTACCTACCATCACATGCACATGGACACTTTTTCGGATGTGGCATTTTCCCCTATAGCTACTGTCTTACTAACAGTGTGTATATATCTCGGCACGTAATACATTTTAACCATCAGTTTGATTACGTCATCTTGTATCGTGTCGCAGCTGAATCATGTATATTATTATTAATGTTTACTCTCCTTTTAATATTGCATAAAACGTGCATTAGAAGGGGATTTGATGAAAGAGGCAAATAAAAGAAAATTCAGATTATTGGCAAACTGTTCATTGTGTTTATTGCATTAGAAGGCAGATTGCAAGGAAAGAGTGAATGACTGGATGATGGCAAAACTGTTCAGTTTATTGCATTAGAAGGCAGATTGCAAGGAAAGAGTGAATGACTGGATGATGGCAAAACTGTTCATTGTGCATTAGAAGACAGATTGCAAATTAGATGATGGCAAAACTGTTCATTGTGCATTAGAAAAGAGATTGCAAAGAAATGACTGACGTCAATTTAGATGATGGCAAACTGTTCATACAGCAACTCTCTGACGTCAATTTAGATGATGGCAAACTGTTCATACAGAAGCTCTCTGACTTTGTAATACTCTTCACATACTGTCCCCTCCAGCTTGATTTTACCGCCCTCTCCCTGCGTGAACATACATAATATTTACAAGTTATAATTATGTGGAGGATTCTAGTGCTATCAACTGAAACACACCTTCCTGACAGCGACACACTTGTTGCACACCAAAACACCTCCGGAAAATTCTGCCTGTACAAGAAATAATAGGGCAGTTAAAAAGCACACCATAATGGAAAAAAGCCGATGGGGCATATAAAGTATAAGCAAAGTTAATGTACATACATACACACTGTATGTGTATAATATACCTGAAGTCCGGCCTTGTTCAAGACCTGTTTGAAGTCCGCAAGTCGTGGAGGGTTAATGAACACCGACGGATGACCTTTCACCTGCAGTTCAAAAAACATAATTCAACCACGCCCTTCAAATTGATAATAAAATCGTCGACAGTACGGTAATTACGGGGTTGCACCCCAACCTGGTTGTGAGGAAGAGCGTTCAAAAGCGGCGTTCTCTGCTGAACCCCGTCCCCGCTGCCCTCGCCTTGACCTTTGAACCCCGAGGGAGCTGCGGAGGTGAACTGAACGTTTCCGTCGACCCAGGCCAGCTCAGAGTCCCTGGCCTGACTGAACCCCACCGCACTCATCAGGGAGTCTGTCAGCTTTACCTGGTGGTGGGGAGAGGCAAAAGAAGTATATATTAACAAGGGAGAAAGGGCTTCATTCACAGTTATATATAAGGAGCTAACATTGCGAGGGGAATATTTCAGACTATTGTCACCGCCATTTGTCACCGCCAATGCTCTTGAGAATCACCATCTCAACTTGAGGTGTATGTACATAAGAATCGTGATTCTGTTAGCTAGAGATTAGTAGTCCTGCCAGAGCTCCTTCTAATGCTGTCAGTGGTATAAGAAGGTTTGTATACAGTGGTGTGTGTGTAAGTACCTGGTAGATGTGGCTCTCTGTGCTGGCATCGAGGCATTCCCCGACATGAGGAGTGAAGAGCTTGCCTTTGGCCAGCCCGAGAGACGAGAGAGAGAAATCTCTGAGGTGGTTGGTGGAGTCTGGAGAGCCGTGGACTAGTATCTGGGAGAGCGGGGAGAAGAGGGAGGGAGGTCTCTCCTGTAAGTAAGATCTTACTTTGTTCGGCAACCACAACAGTATAATGCAAAGTCAATTAATGTGAACGGCTCAATATGCATGGGGCTTAATACCTCCATTCTGGCCTGACTTAAGTATTTACACTTGCTCAAATAACATGTTCCAGTGATGGAACTCTACAAGTGGCTAAACGTAGCATTGAACTCTCTGCTCCTTCTCTCTCTGGTTCAGAGACTAACCAGCTGCCTCGGTTTGACAATGGAGAGAATCCTCTTCACAGAATCTCCGTCTGACAGACCCTCGAAATCAATGAACGACAGTGAACATCTGCAGAGACAAGGAAAGAAATCGCTCACAGGATAGTGTGGTCTCTATGAACACCCCTGAAATGAAGGACACCTCTCTAATATGGACACTTTCTTCTGTTCCATTGGTGTCCGGGATTAGAGGGGTTCCACTCAGTAGCTATATACTGTCTGAGGGAGTTGTGCCAATCAACTGACCTGACGTTTATAGATACCGTCTGAGACACACACTTGGTAGGAGGCACTGCGGTCTCTGTAGAGTTAATCAAAGTGGAGAACTTTTAGGGCTGCAACGTTTAGCAAGTTTCTCAGATTTTTTGCTTCGCACGAGAGCTGTTATATAGCTTCCTTGCGAAATACATTCCTCGAACTCCTGTTAATTTTAAGGTAAGTACCTTCAGACTTATCGTCTCCCTCAGCCTCAGTATCCATAGGTAAGGTCTGTGGGGGCACATCAATCTTATCTACCTCGTTATCCCATTGACTGCATACTTCCATTCCCACAAGAATATCAACAATACCCATATCAAACTCCTCTTAATTAAGCACAACTGGCCTTACATCAACAATAAGGGACAAAGACGTTAGGACAGATGGTCTCTTTGTGTTTCTTTGGTAGTGAGGAGCCTAATTGGTTCTGGATGTAGGGGTTGGCTTAATTATGTGCCTACCTCCTGTGGAGGAGGCAAGTCTTTTGGCTGGTAGTCCTCATGTCTGGGGATGGATAAAGAGAGAGAGAGAGAGACAGCAGAGAGAGAGAGAGAAAGGAATTGCCTCTGTTCTTGAAGTGACGAACAGTTAGCTTTTGAAAATAACGAGCACTGGAGAAGGGGACACACCTGATGGCTTCTCCATACTCGTCCCAGGAGGTCTTGTCCTCGCGGCAGAGGAACATGGGGTAGGACTTGGTCTGCTTGAAGAAGGAGCTGCGAGCCTTCGCCTGAACCACACACACCACACACATCACCACACTCTACCACTGCACATATTATAGTCTTTGAGAAAAGGTTTATTTGTAGAAATGAATGGAGTAGTTGATATTTGTAGGGTATAAAAGCAGGATTTTTATGGGCAAAGGTCAAGAAGTTAGCATCTGAAAATGGCTGAGATTTGCTCCATGTGACTTAGGATATTGGTACCAGAGAATGGGGGAGTGGGGAATGGACTATTCACCTCCTCCACCATCATGAGGTCGTGTTTGGGGACCCGGGGAGGGAGGGAGGGGGAGGTGGGTGTGGCCTGGTGGTCTCCCGTCTCCATCTCCTCGTCGCTGCTCTCGTACACCTCTGCCTCCCTATGACATCATCATTACATCATCATGACATCGTCATTACAGACAATCAACAATCAGGTCCTCAGCACACAAAAGTCACGTTGCCGATGAGCGGATTCATAACTAGTCTTTTACGTTTGCTGAAAATGATATTTAAGGACCTCAGGTACTTGTTAACATAATATTTGAGGGTTGCCAATCAAAAGTAGGATGGGGTTTGGTCTGATAAAGAGCCCATCAGGTCATGCTACCATCTGCTGATGCTACCATCTGCTGGTCTTCCAAGAACGGCAACTCATAAACCCCACTACAATTGGCTAACAATGTCTGGTATCCCGTCAAAAATACACACGTCAAGCCACATGTAATGTACGGTAGCCCGTCAAAAATACACACATCAAGCCAATGTAATGTACGGTAGCCCGTCAAAAATACACACATCAAGCCAATGTAATGTACGGTAGCCCGTCAAAAATACACACATCAAGCCAATGTAATGTACGGCAGCCCGTCAAAAATACACACATCAAGCCAATGTAATGTACGGTAGCCCGTCAAAAATACACACATCAAGCCAATGTAATGTACGGTAGCCCGTCAAAAATACACACAAAGCCAATGTAATGTACGGTAAAATACACACGGTACGGTAAAATACACACATCAAGCCAATGTAATGTACGGTAGCCCGTCAAAAATACACACATCAAGCCACTCTGAATTATGCACATGTATTCCATCACATAAGAACGGTAGCCGGTGGTAACAAAGGTCTTCATTTTTGTATAGTCATGCTGGATGTAAATGTATCTCAAGAGGACACACGATAAAAGACAGCTGCTAACTTCTCAGAGGCTTCGTTTGCCAGTTTCTCCTCCCTCTCCTTCGTCTTGAACGCCTCCAGCTCCTCTCCCTCCAGACACACCCTCTTCCTCACCTGCAGGAAGCAGTCTAGTACGTAAAACTTTAACATTCCTCGGCATGGCTAAACGAAACTGTCTGGAAATCGTTTCGAGAAACATTGTAATTATCGGTAATGGTGGGAGGGGGAGAGAGGAGGTGGAAGAGAGGGCTGCTATTTTTAGTAACAAGTTCTAAATTTAGCTCTTATGTGTAATTCTACTGCCACGTTGCCTTTAAGACTTCACCTCAAGGTCCACAGACGGTAGCTTGAGGTTGGAGACCAGCGTGTGTGTGAGACAGCCAGGAGCCGTGCGGGAAGTGAGGATGATGCTGTTCTTGGGATTGGAGGCCCACTGGACAAACAGGTCACGCGAGTAGCCGCACTCCAGGTCCGACATACTAGCCAGGACCGCCTGAACAACAACAGACGTAGAGACGATAGAGACGATAGAGATAGAGATAGACGTAGGACAGGTTGTAGATGAATTGAAGAGAAAATGTGAGTGTATGAAATTTCACCGGCTGATGCATTGCGAGTGAAATAGGACTGCTGCATTAGTAAATTGACAATTGAAACCACTATAGGTATATATATGTATATGTATACGCATTGGGTTTTGAACACCAACTACTGGATGGAGGAGAGCTTACTTTAGGTTCTCTGACTTGAGCTAGGTCGGCAAGACTGTGGCACAGAGTGACGTGTCTGGAGGGAGGAGGAGAGGGAGGAGGAGAGAGAGAGAGAGATAGCCTGGAGCAAGCGGAAGATAGTGTTTCTCTTACTTGAACTGAAAAGGGTTACTTCTGTTCTCTTCAAACATTCGACTCATCTTGTCGCTCATCCATTCCACCTTGAAACAAAAAGTCCAATTTCCACAACTCCATTATTAGTATTATTACACTGATAATCATTTCACCTGGGACTTGGCAAACTCGATGACGTTGTAGCTGACGTTACTGAGGAGAGCTATGGAATAGGCACACAGTCCGCTCTCTTGGTTCCTCCATACTTGGTCCTGTAGTTGACGATGAAACATGCAAGCAAATAGTCAAAAGAGAGGGAAAAACAGAGAGAACAAACTATACAGACTGCCACAGGAGAACAGGGAAAAGAGAGGGAAGGAATTGGTGTTCGGGGGATCCTAAAGGTGTGTGTGTCTGTGTGTCTGTGTGTGTGTCTCCAATTTATCTCGCCAGCCGTGGTGAGATGGCTGGCGTGGAAAGACGAGGAGACGAAGGGATAATCTCGCACTCTCGTCCAAACTGAGTGCCACTGAGAACAGGCAGCCCAGTATGACCAGTGAGGTGCTCACATGACTGTCACATGACTGGTAACACGTACCAGAAGTTGAGAGAGCTCCAAAACGCGGCCTGCAGTGTCCACCGCAATCAGGACATTGCCATCTCGACGCAGCGTGGTCAGGATGTTGTCTACGACGACAATACAAACAATGATCTGCCAGGTCACACAGTTAGGTTGTCATGGTGACCGACTTAGCAAGGCCTGGTCCCTCTCCTTCCGTCTCGCCTGAACACTCAGGGCATTGTAGGCTCCGGTAATGAGGAGGTGTGGTCTCGAAAGGCTCTCCAGCAGTGCTCCATCTAAATGCCTGAGAGAGACACACACACAATTGTGGTTAGGTTATAGTGTGTCCCAAATAGTAAGACACTTTTAATCAGTAGCGAACAAAATTGCTTTAGTAGGTGACTTTCAAACCCTCTGTAGGTGACTTTCAAACCCTAAACTGTATACTACGGCAGTAGATGTACATACATACCTACCTCTCCTTCTTGTGGTTGTAGTCGATGGCGTAGACAATGTCCTCCTCCTCGTCTTTACCAATCTTCCACATGGCTCCGCCCACCATGTGACCTGCAGCGTGCGCCGTGATTGTCAGACCGTGACCTTTACCTAGGGCCAGGTGTGTATGTGTGTGTGTGCGCGCGGGAGAGAGAGAAAAAGAATAGTCGTATTGACATGAAAACCATATGAGAAGGTCTATCTTCAAATAATATATCAGTAAATACATAATATGACAATCCCTCTTTTGGAGTGTGTGCGCACCGGGACATACGACGTCTATGAAAAACCTCTGAGAAATGGAATCAACCCTCCACACAACAATGGTTAAAGAGCAGATAGCGTGCGTACCTTTTAGCTGGACGGTCTGGGCATACTTCACTTGAATGATGTTGTCAAAGGCCTTGTCCACGTCGTCCAGAGTAAACAGATCAAATTCTTCAGAATTCTTACGCGACTGCACGAGAGAGTAAACCACACAAATATTATTTCACACTGTACGGTTCTTCTGAGGGGAAAGGGGGCACTTCACCCAGCTGATAATGAATGACTCGCCCCCCTGAACAATCAAGCTGCTCCTGATCTCCGCTCCCCCTAGCTACATACACACCTGATAGAGGTCATACATGAACATCTGGCCCATCTTGTACACGGGTACGGTGGCGTAGACTGGGCATTTCAGCTCCATTGGACCCATGAGGTACGGCAGGAGACCCAGGTGAGCCTGGTCCGGGAAACTCAGCAGCACCGCGTCGATCTGGTGCAGATGCCTGCATATTGATACACCACTCTGTGACTCTCAGGGAGGGATAGGGTGAATAGGTGACGCCATTGCTTATTACAACAGGCCACGCCTCCACTTGAAACTTTTCTAGTGCGTGGTACATTTTCTAGTACCCATGAGAGCGGCTGGCTCCGCGAGAGACCACGCGGCTTGCCTTTTGACGCTCTCTACGGTGGCCATGTTGAAGTGAGGGTCCCAGCCACAGTCCAGCAAGAAACAGAAGTCGTCCACCTGTAGAAGGTAGCACGGCGGAGCCTCGTCGTGGGCCCCCGACAGAGCCGTGAACTTGATTATGGACGTCATATCTCTGCTTCTGCGCCAGCGCCGAGATCAGAGAGCTACACCCCTAACCTCTTCTTCACGAGTGCGCTATTTAAAATTTCTCTGCTGCGCATGCGCACACTCGCATTCCGAATAAATAGAGCAAGCTTTAGGTGATGTCACATTGCGTCACAACACAAATTAAACAGACAGTCTTTCATTGTCAACCTTTATCACTGCTGCTGCTGCGAAACGAATGACATTGTGATGAGAATTTATGGTCATCAAAAATGCATACCGAAATGGTGATTGGGTGAGGAGAAGAGGTGTTGGTGGAAGTGGTGATGGGGAGAGCCTCCTATGTTGCTAATTCGTTGTGGTTTTCAGATGTGTGAATTCATTAACTGAAACCACAAGCAGTTGGTGACCGAGTGGCCTATAAAAGCAGGGAGGCTGCAGTGGGAGGTCAGCTTTGCGCAGTGGCAGTACCGTAGCCAGTGAGGTTTAACCGAGGCGCGGTTATTGCTGATTGAAAACTTATCCCAATATCCCGTGAGGGGGACGTGAAATACCGTCCGCCTTACAATTTTTGGAGGCCGCTACGGTGGTCGGCAGTAACAACAAAATTAAACTCACAAGTGCACCACACGGCAGTAATGAAAGTGTTTAGAGACAGCATTCTCTACTGCCTGCCTATATATTTCTACTGTATGGTGCACATGTCCGTTTAATTTTGTTGTATTGCATTCCGAATAAATAGAGCAAGCTTTAGGTGATGTCACATTGCGTCACAACACAAATTAAAACAGACAGTCTTTCAGTGTCAACCTTTATCACTGCTGCTGCTGCGAAACAATTAATGAATGACATTGTGATGAGAATTCATGTCATCAAAAATGCATACCGAAATGGTGATTGGGTGAGGAGAAGAGGTGCTGGTGGAAGTGGTGATGGGGAGAGGAGGTGAGGGACGGGGGAGGCTGGGCGGAGATTCTGCCCCACCCCCTGTTGTGAGAAGTCTCCGGGGAGTGGTTGCTATGGAGATGTGCCGACCACAGTATGTCTGCCGGGGAAAATAATAATATGCCCCTTAATTGCAAGAACTGTTCTTAATTTCAGGGTATATATATCGTGAGAGGGGTTCCACTGAAGGAACTCACAGTAACTGTGACTCCATCCTGGTCAATCTTGTGGTAATGATCACTGCATCGGGAAACAAGCAAGACCCCCTATAATTATAGCACCCACATTCTCCCACTCCAACACACTACTAATGGAAATGAAAAGCACTGAAGTGCAAACCCTCGGCGCATTGTGACGCGCACGCGTGAGTAAACGCATGCGCTGTATCACTAATTGATGGGCTGGGTTTAGTTCTGTCCATCTCGCGCAGAGTCTGACGCGGGCTAACTATACACTACTAGACAGCATGCGAGAGGCGATACACGCCCTGCGTTGCATCTTCTGGTGCCTCCGAGGTCGCAGAGCACGCGGATCGATCAGACCGCGGTAAGCCATCCCGTCCGTTGCGTATTTGCATATTGGCTTTTTCGTGCTCTAGCTTTGCAACGGAGCATTTTCAGAGAAAACCGCCTTTATTTTCTGACCTTCGTCGCCCGTTGGGTAGATGGTATCGTTTCTGGGACGAACAGACGTTCGAGGAGTGAGATAGAGAGTAACAGACAAACAGACAGACACACAGACAGACAGACCCAAGTACTGTAACCCTCGCTGCGCATGCGCGCCGAGGGTTAATGACTCACCCAATTGCCACACTGCTGCGTCGTGACGCATCAATAGCCTCGCGTTGCCGCCTCTTTGCTTCCTATACGGAGGGACATGCAGACATTGAGATGCCGGGGTTGAGAGTGGTCAGGTTACTTTCAGTGCTTTGTAGTTGGACGTTCGATTGACAAAGTCTGTGAAGTCAGCTTTGGCCTTTTCTTCCATGTAGTGCAACTGATGTATCTGCAGAAGAGAGCAACTGTTTCACCCTTTAGTCTTTAGATAAGAGCAGTGTATTGTACCTTTTCAAAGTACTGCTGTTCCTCCTCAAGGTCGTAGCGGTGCTGCTCCTCAATCAGCTCTGACTAATGAATAAAAATGGAACCAGACACCAAAATGTAACACATATTTTCGACAGTCATTATTTAATTTAGGAGTTTCCTGATTCGCTATTAAAAATCCACCCAAGTTTAGCTGCTTCACGCAATCAAATTGTACACATTGATGAAATTAGGTTTCGGCCTGTTTGTGACTAGTAGTTAATGACTGTCGAAATGTATATAGTACCGCGTCACACCTGGAGTCTGAGTGAGTTCTCAGCCTTCTCCTCGTGAGAGTGGAGTACCTCCTGCAGAGCCTCCTGGTCAGGGGTGACTGGCCTCAGTCCCTCCTGGGCCAGCTCTCCTGCCACCTCGTACCACACCTCTCCCGACTGGCAGAGTTGACAGTGGACAAAGAGAGAACACGTGGTTAAAGAGAGGATTGTAGTAACACAGTTCCTTGATTCCAGGGTGTGTATATATGTGCAAAGTCTCTTATGTTGCTAATCGTGTGGTTTTCAGATGTGTGAATTCCATCAGCTGAAACCACAAGCAGTTGGTGACCGAGTGGCCTATAAAAGCAGGGAGGCTGCACTGGGAGATCAGCTTTGCGCAGTGGCAGTACCGTAGCCAGTGAGGTTTAACCGAGGCGCGGTTATTGCTGATTGAAAACTTATCCCAATATCCCGTGAGGGGGACGTGAAATACCGTCCACCTTACAATTTTTGGAGGCCACTACGGTGGTCGGCATAACAACAAAATTAAACTCACAAATGCACTACATAGTAGAGATCTGCAGCAGAGAATCTATCTCTGTCTGGGTTAGTGTTCACCCCCCTCTGGGTTTTGCATGCAGCTGAAGATGGCAGGCAACTAATTCAGCTCCATTTAATTTTGGACCTTCTCTTCCTGGTGTATACAATACGGCTTTTCAGCAGCTCCTTGCATTGGCGCCATCTTTAGTTGCACACACAATTACATAAGAGTCAACCATCTCTACTGATAATTTCTACTGTGTGGTGCACTTGTGAGTTTAATTTTGTTGTTATGCCGACCACCGTAGTGGCCTCCAAAAATTGTAAGGCGGACGGTATTTCACGTCCCCCTCACGGGATATTGGGATAAGTTTTCAATCAGCAATAACCGCGCCTCGGTTAAACCTCACTGGCTACGGTACTGCCACTGCGCAAAGCTAATCTCCCACTGCAGCCTCCCTGCTTTTATAGGCCACTCGGTCACCAACTGCTTGTGGTTTCAGTTGATTGAATTCATACCCATATCTGAAAACCACAACTATTCAGCATCACAATAGATAGATGTATGCTGATAAGTGCAGTGCATACATCAATACAACAGCACCTTGAAATCGAGGTAGTTGCGAATGATGCAGAGTGTGATCTTATCCTCGGTGGTGAGGTCATCTGCCACATACTGGAACCCTGAGCCAGAGCTATCGATGCCTGGTTAAGATTTGAGGTTGGTTGCTAACCCATCTTGCAGCAGAGGATGTATATCTTGGCTCTCATGTTCTCCGTGATGTCAATGACGGCAGCCGAGGGTTGGTGGGAGGGGATCGGGGGCACGCCACACTTCTCCTGCTCCTGACCCACCAGTGGATTACTGGTCCCTGGTGTGTGGTGTGTGAGTGGGTGCATGGTGCATGTGTGTCAAGTACAAAGTGTTGTATTCAGTGGAGGGGTCTCTGTATGTTACCTGCCAAGGCTCCGGTATCAGTGCGAGGCACTCCCATCTCAGTCTCCTCTTGCCTCCAGAGAGAGGCCAACAGAGACCACGCACACATGTCTCTCTCTCTCCCTCGCCACGCAGCAAGATGTGGAATAGCCTGAGGAGGAGGAGGACACACACACAGAGTATGGGATCCACCATTGAGGAAGACCTAATGTTCACCTTTGGATTCTCACAGAGATCCACCAGAACTCCCAGAACAAGACTTTGATTGTTGAGAGGGCACACCTGTACACATTTCGTAGACCATACACAATACAGATCAATTGCAGGATTCAACTTTCTGCATTCTGATCGAACAATTGTCATTATTGGTCCAATCATGCAAATTGTAGTGGCCAGAATATATGTTTATTCACTGAAGAACAAGTATGATGTGTGTGTGTGTGTTAACCTGGAGCAGGTCGAGGAGGCAGAAGATGCCTCCCTCCTCCAGGAAGATGTCCTCCACCACAGGGCTACCCACCACAGTACACCACACACAGTCGGTGGCTGCGAGCAAGAGTCGATGTCGGCCTAGACCACTGGCCACACCGGATTGGTCTGCACCTCGCAAGTACCCAGTCAGCAACTTCACTCCATCGTAGCCACCAAATAACTCCTGAGATAAGAGGAATGGAGGGGGCAACCATATTGTCACACTTTACAAAACACTAGTCGTACCATTGCGTGTTTGAAACCAAAACTTGGACTATCATAGAAAACTGTATCAGCTTGTGAACGACCAAGTACTCATGCACATTGCATCCAAATGATGTAGACGTATCAAGTGTGTGTAAGGTTGCATTGATGGTCTCCTCTTTTTTTTTATCTCCGCACCTTTCTGTGTATGTCGGTCTCACAGAGACAGGAGATTGTGACGAGGATGTCTGACTGGAGCTCCAGCAGCAGACCCGAGTCTGGGCCAGTCCTCTGTGAGCCACCCTCTCCCACTGTCCCCGACAGACTCTTGAGGATACCTGCAGCACAGTCACCAGATATGAGAGGCGCTAAACCATTTAATGTGACACTTGCGCACTGACTGACCAATGAGGAGAGGGATGGCTCCCTGGTCGTGGAGGTCCTGCAGAGCCACCTCGTCTCGTGTCCGACACACACTCAGGAGAGCTCTCACACTCATCCTCAGCTGGGCCAGAGACCCACCCCACCCTCCTCTACCATGGAACGCATTTCCGTGACCCTTGAACTCACCTGCAGCAATGGAAACACAGGGTCGAGAGGAGAGAAAGAAATTTTTCGTGGGATAGGGGTAAATATAGTGGAAAGCAGAGTTGGGTAGTTTCACGATTTCACACTATCATAGCATTCCCAGGCTAATGTGTATCTTTGCACAGGCTATAGGATCTCTCCATAGAAGCAATTTTACTGCAATGCATATTCTTTGGATTCCGACTTTTTCCCCACCTTATAGCTTGTATGTGTATAATGCTGTGTGTGTGGAGCATATGGCTCACTGGGGGAGCTGTGGCACCACTCTAGGATGAGAAGGAGACGAGTGTTCCCCTGACACACCATGTACTGCTCCAGACACAGCGGTCCCAGGGTACACAGACATGACAATGCCTGCACAACACACACACACACACACACACACATTAAAACACTGCTGGGTCAGGGGTGGTGTTGCTCTTTACCAGTAGCTGGAGCTCCTCAAAGTGTGCTGAGCTATAATTAGAGGGGCTGTGATCGTTCCTCACAACAAATGACAGCAGACCTCGCATCACCTTCTGCTCACACAGTACCTAACACAGAGAATTCACTGACTAGTGTGTCCACAAATGAGGAATGCTATCGGCTCACCTTGATGGTGCCCTGATCACAGCTGAGGCTGGTCAGAGTGACCATTAGAGTCTTGACCAACTCAAAATCCTCCTCATCGACTTTTGCCGCCTTCCCCGCTCTCTCTCCTCCGGTACTTCCTCCACGACTGGGACCCAGCTCATGGCGAGAGGACACACTAGCAACTGCGTATATAATACAGCAAGAGTGGTTAATCAGCACTGCAAATTCACTGCAGACGTAATACCAATGCACAATATAATTTTGCAGCACATAATGAAATTTTGCTATCTGACAACCCCTGGCTATTATGGGTATGAGTGACAGTAACTACTTCAGGACCTTCTGTATATACTACCTTCAAAGGAGAGGAAATATGAGCAGAGAGTGTGTAGAAAACCAGTCTCCTGCGGTGCAAAAGAAGGGACGATGGGAGGTCAGAGGGCAAGGGTTGGGATTACAGCATATTATTATGGTAAGAGATTGGGAGTGGGGCTCACAATGAACGGGGCGTCAGGAGAGATCTTGGCAACGAGGGAGACGAGAGCGAGGAGGTCGTTTCTCAGTTGTTTGGAGTCGGTGTGAGAACTGGAGGCTACTTGTCTCCTCACTGCGTCGTGTAGAGGACTGCACAGAAAGTAAGGTAGCGTCATACACTAGTGTAGTAGTTGACCGTACCAAACGCTTCCCAATGAGGTCATCTGCTCAGCAACCTGAGCATTGCAAAACACAGGTTGAGAAATACTGTTTCCTTCACTTTTGTATAATTATACCTGTAGCTGAGGGCCATGTTCTAGAATGTTCCACAGAACCTCTAAACCCACCAGAGCTATCCTGCGAAGAATGACAATTGCGATGGGTGCATACGCCACAGGCAATGAGACTAACTCGGTGGAGGTGTCAGAGATGGTTGAGCAGATGGCACCGCAGGCCTTGGCTGCCAGTATGTGATTACAGTTGGTGCCTAGCAGTGTGCGTGCATACAATGCAGGTGTGAAAACAGGTGAAGAAATTGTTGGCAAGGAAGCAAGTGTGGCCAGTTGGTCTAGAGGCATGATTCTCGCTTAGGGTGCGAGAGGTCCCGGGTTCGATTCCCGGACTGGCCCATTTTTTTGCTTTTTTACTGAAATTTTTACAGAAATAAGTAAGACAGGTACATATCTACCTGACACAGAGAGAGTCTGTAGTGCTCTTAGAATTGTCAGTTTTGTGTATGGATCTTGAGTGAGCTTCAGTGCCTGTCGAAAATTCAAATAAAGAAATAGATGCGATATCTGGCAAGAAACATTTCCGTGCAAGCAATAATGTATTCAAGAATTCATGATATTGTATGTGTTTTTCACTCACTTCAGCAAGGTAATGCACAACACCACTCTGCTCGAGTAGAGCTGCATTGTAAGTCACCGCAGTAGCCTGAAGACCTGTGCATGTAGAAAGCAGAAAATCACCAGATGGCCAGTTGGTCTAGAGGCATGATTCTCGCTTAGGGTGCGAGAGGTCCCGGGTTCGATTCCCGACTGGCCCACTTTTTGATTTCTTTATTTTTCTTCATACCAACATCTTTTTAAGACCCGCAGTTTTCACACACTACTTGACTCAAGATGATCGAGCCAGGCTTATACTCATCACACGTGGGCTCCATGCAAATCCGAAGACACACATGAAAAGAATTCCCTAAGATGTTCTGACCATCATAAACGTATCAAAATATTATACCCTCAGCTTTGGCCTCATTAGATTCGGCAAGGTAAAAGTCGGCCACAGTCTGAGCAACGTGCTGACGAAGGGCCTCGCTCTCCAGTCCTATCATCAGGCTCCCCAGCAGTGAGAGAGTCTCAATGATACACGGAGCATAGGTGTTCTCGTCTGAAGACCTCTCTTTTAGAAATGGCAAACTAAAAGGTAGAAAATTGAGCAACAAGGAACAAGAAAGTAATGCAGCCACTTAACGAAATTTTCACTAACAAGCCCTTTTTGTTTATAGCTACTAACTAGCCTGGGATTATATCTAATGCTGGTATATCAGTACCTGCAGGTGGCCACAATCTTGCATATCGGCTCTTCGTACAGAATATGTGTCTTCATCTTTTCAGCAGCCACTCGCAGCAGTTGGCACAGCTGTGGCAGATCTTTCAGTGGCTGACAAGAGAGAGGAAGGTCAAGGAATATCCTTTTCCACAGGGATCATTGCTGGTGTCTGCAAGTGTGCGAAGTGTGTACTGTAGAAAGGATACAACTCCTCTCTTGAAGCTGCTGGCGATTCTGTTCAGAGCCCTCACGTGTCGCTCCACCATCTCCGACTGCACATGTATACAGAGAAGTCCAAGGATCAGCCGAACTTCCCGTTACCTCAATGAGCTGCACAAATAAGGCTCACCGAGTGTTTGCTGTTGATAAGCGAGAGAGCCTTTGGGATGGTCATGGCCTCCCTTATGCTGCTGGTCGCTGCACTCATTTCTTTCCGCACTGTAAACGCCCCTTCTTGCTACTCAGCAGCTCCCTTCTAGCTTTCTTCTCTACTACGCGCTTGTCTCGTAACGTTACCATGGATACTGCTGCGCTCTAATTGGAAACCCTACCACCCACGTGGAGGGGGTTGAGACATGTCTGCAAAGAAGAAAGCGTCGGCGTTCTGCGTGTACAAGCAGCAGAGACAGTTGCAACTTGAAGAAGTGAGAAATCCCTGCAATGGATGCATGCTTATCCTCTAACCAGGAACAGGGTGTATCTGGTATCTCTGATGTAAGTCTGGGTGTGGGTGGAAGTGGTGATGATTGTGAGAGTGAAGCGGTGAGGGAGAGAGTGGGGAACAGGGGGGAGGTGGGAGGGGACAGGAAGAGAAAGAGGAAGAACAAGCTGAAGGACCTGTCGAAGAAGAGAAGAAAGACAGCTAGTCAAATGGTCTGTAAACTGATTGGGTGGAGATGTACTATTATTGATAATTTGATGTGTTGTGTGTAGGATGTGGAGAGTGCGGGAGCAATGGAAGAGAGTAGACTGGCAGTAAAAACAAAGAAGGTGGCGAGAAAAAAGAGGGCAATCTTGGAAAAGATGGCAAAAAGAAGGAAGACCATTAAAAAAACAACAGTGGGGGATTCCCCGGTGCTATCTGGGAAGGTGGCAGGCAAGACTGCAGCAGCAGTAGAGGATGGGAGTAGTGATGAAGACTCGGTCGAGGCACCTCAGCTCTCTCCTCACCATCTTGATGTAGAGAGCGTGGACGGGGAAGACATGGGGGTCCAATTCTCCCACCAGTTTCAAAACATTGACCACCAAGACAGTCGGGAGGCTGGCAGAGAGCTGTTCAGACTTCTCATCAATCCTTTCCCGGTCGACAGATTTTTCAAGTAAGTGTCAAGAGTATGTTTCACTGCCTTATCTATCTCTCTCTCTCTCTCTCTCTCTCTCTCCAGGGAGATTTGGGAGCAACGTCCTTTGTTTCTCAGCAGACACAAGCCTCGCTACAACAGGGGATGGTTCAGTATGATTGAACTGGATGCTATTCTCAGACACGTAAGCTCAAAATACTTTTATTGCCCCACTTGATTTTGCCTAAATTTGTAAATTTGGAATTTCAGCAATATTTGGAGTACTCGGTGAACATAGACATTGCCAGCTATGAGAATGGAGAGAGGTTTACCCACAACCCAGAGGGGCAGGCAGTGCCGCAGGTCGTGTGGGACTATTTCCAGGTAATCTGTCGACACCGTGGGACATAGCACAATAAGCTGCTCTGTTATTCCACTTGGTGACCAGGAGGGGTGTTCGATTCGATTACTCAACCCTCAAACCTTTGACTATGGTATGTGGCAGCTCACATCCACACTGCAAGAGTATTTCCAGTCTTTTGTGGGTGCCAATGTGTGAGTTTCACTATATACCTTAAGTCCTCATGATTGAGTTTTGTCTAATTATATTATAGCTACCTGACTCCAGCTGGGGCACAGGGTTTTGCACCACATTCAGATGACATAGAGGCATTTGTGATGCAGTTGGAGGGGAAGAAGCGATGGAAACTCTACAGCCCAAGGCAAGCATTGTAAATCCAGTATCTTTTATTGAGTGGATGAGTACGTACAGGGAGAGCAGCGAGGTGTTGCCGAGATTTTCAAGCCGTAAGCTAATTTTTCAGAGGGTTTCTCTGCATGTGATGTGACGCTGGATATGTGTATCTCCTCCAGCCAACCTGAGTGAGGAGGAACTAGGAGAACCAATTCTGGACGTGGTTCTAGAGCCTGGGGACCTCCTCTACTTCCCCCGGGGAACCTTTCACCAGGTGACCCCTGTCTAATTAGCGTACGGTCAGCAAAGTGTGCACCATAAAGTCTGATATGTGGATGTTGGGCATTTTCACACAAGGGCAATCAATTGTTCTCCCAAGAAATTTTGCCCCTATGTGGTCCTCTTTTTGCAGGCAGAGTCACTGCCAGAAGTTCATTCACTCCACATTACACTTTCCACCTACCAGAAGTATACGTGGGGAGACATGATGGCTAAGGTGAGGAAAACTAGCCGTTCCGAACATGCAGCTAAAATTCATCCAAGTGATCATTGTGTGACAACGTGTGCAGCTGATGTCTGCTGCTGTGGACAAGGCACTGAGAGAGGATATTTCCTTTCGTCGAGGACTACCTTTGGAGTGTCTCAACTATACTGGGACCCAAACATTAGATAGAGTTAGCCGATTGTTATGAGGAGTGTCTCCCTGCGATTAGTAACCAATTGTCTTGCAGAATGATCCAAGGAGGCAGGAGTTTATGGCAAAGATTGAGCACTACCTTGAGAGACTGGTCCAGGACCACGCTGTCAGCTTGGTAGACAAGATCATGGACCAAGTGGCCATTGAAAATATTCACAGCTCTCTGCCTCCATGCCTTACTCCGGGTCAGTATATCGTACCCCTGGGCCTCCTGTGATATTACTTCTAATTAATGCCCTGTCTCAAGAGTAGCAGAGACAAAATGTTCAGTGGAGGAGAAAGGCACAAAGTGGGGAGATGAGTGTGGATATAAGGACGTCTTGAGACCTTCAGTGGAGCTCACAGCTGAGACCGAAGTGAAGATGACTCGCTACAATGCCATCAGGTCTATAGGCATCGTCTCTGCATCAGCTAGTAGTGGTGCAGTCTTCATGTCATTGTAGGTTGGTAACCGACAGTGATGGGCACATGCTCTACTACAACCAGCAGAACACCAGGGTCTACCAGGAGAAGGATCCACAGGCAATCCCTCTCACCATTAGTGTAAGCTGGCAAAATCAGTAGGGAAACTATAGCTTGCATGGCTCTGTTGCAGGATGTGGAGTTGGTGGACAGGTTGATAGCCAGCTATCCAGAGTATGTCAAGATTGAGGAACTTGTCGGCAGTGGAGCTGTCACTCAAGGAGTAATTTGTTTACACACACCTCAAGTGTCAGTATTCACACTGTTGTTTTTTTACAGGTTGAGCTCCTTTACACCCTCTTTGCTCATTCCGTCATCCTCATAAAGTAGGAGAGTAAAGGGCAGTTCTGCTCCCATGCAGCTAAAGAACTTTGCCATCATTGATTTGTTGTTTGCAGGAAAAATCATTTCATACACAGACAATGCAAAAAAAAAAAGAGGTAGTAAAGAGATGTATCATTTGTAGTTGTGGTGGCTCTGAGAAGAGCCGTTTGAGAGAAAAATAAAAGAAAAAGGTGGAGAGTTCAGCCGCCGAATCCGTAGAGGGTGCGTCCCTGCCTCTTGAGGGCGTAGACGACGTCCATGGCAGTGACGGTCTTTCTCTTGGCGTGCTCGGTGTAGGTGACTGCGTCACGGATCACGTTCTCCAGGAAGGACTTGAGGACGCCGCGGGTCTCCTCGTAGATGAGGCCAGAGATACGCTTGACTCCGCCTCGGCGGGCGAGACGGCGGATGGCTGGCTTGGTGATGCCCTGGATGTTGTCTCGCAGAATCTTCCTGTGACGCTTGGCGCCTCCCTTTCCGAGTCCTTTGCCTCCTTTGCCGCGACCAGACATGGCGAATTCTTCTTCCTTCGAAAGTCGGTGGAAAAAGTGAATGGCCGCAGATGCGGAGCGCGGGAATTATAAAGCGCTAAACCCCGTCTTCACTGTCTGTACGTCAGCTCGAGCTGTCGAGATATTCTTGCAGGCTCTTCTCACTAGAGGAGCCGATTATGCCGCCACCAGAAACGCCAAAACACTCACTGTTGGACACCTGTGAGTCACAGAAATTGGGACACAAACGTGTGGATTCTATGTTATGTAAACTCCCTCCCTCCCTTTGTGCTCATGGCAGTAAACACTGTATAGAGCAGGAGAAGCAGTGGGACTTTCTGCGAGAGCTTACGGCCAAGATTTCCGACGTGACGGCTCAGGAAGACAGCGAGGAGGCCACTGGCCCCAAGAGGGGAAGGTAACTTGAACCTGTGGCGCTCACAGCGAGGTGGTATACTAGAACCTCTCTCAAAGGACACCGCTGAAATTGTCTGGAATTTCTATATATGTACTGTTTGTTTCAGAAAGCGAAAGGGGAGTCCCCTGCCCGGCTCATCGTCAGCATCGGGAGCTGGCAGAGGGAGGAGGAAGCAGAAGGCGACGACAGCGAAGGCAGCAGTGACCGATGCAGACGAAGCCTCTGGCAGCAGTGAGGAGGGCACGTCCGCTGCACACGTGGCCAGTCGCGGAATGTTCAGTGATTACTTCAACAAGGCCTCTTCCTCCTCTCGGAGCAGCTCCGTTGCCAGGTATCAACAACAGCTATTGTGTTTTAGGAGGCTATGTAACCCCTACTTAAATTAAGACTACCTGCTCCACTGAGACTGCCTGTTTTAACTCTCCTGAGACCGTGTTCAATGCTGTATGTATATATTCCAGTTTGAAGTCCACTTTATCGTAACGCAGCCATTCATAAGATTTCATGTGTACACAGTGCATCGCCATCGGTGGGTCAAAACAGCAGACAGCAAGCTCAAGCCTCCACCTCTTCGACACCCCACCCTCCGACTGCAGCACCACCGTCCCTCCTCTCTCTCCCCTCCTCCTCCCACCTTCCCTCCCTCACACCCTCCTCGGACTCTGCGACCCCTGCCAACGTTGACCTCCCGGCCATGACTGCAGGTCTTCATCGACATTTACCCGGGGCCAGGCCAGCCAACGAAGAGGAAGAGGAGGAAGACTATGACGATGAATAGCAGTCCACTCTCCCCTTGTTATATAGGAGTCATTTCTGGTGTCACGTTTTGTCATTTTTGTCGTATTTTTGCCTCTGTGAAAACATGAGCACCACTATTGTGTACACACTGTTTTGGCAATATTGAGAAATGAAGTGTTTTGAGTCGATTTTTGAGTCAATAATGTGCATGTGTGTTAGCGCTTACAAATAATTATAGAAACGGTGATATTGTGCGGATTTGAACATTTCACACATGGCGTGATAGAAACCATGAGGGGGAGCGAGGGGAGTTCACGTCAACTGTCCACCACTCTTCTCCTCACAGCATCCCCTGTGCCTCCTCCATCTCCAGTCCTCTCTCCCTCCTCAAGGTCAGATTCCAGACTCCTGCAATCATCAGAATAGCACGCACCACATCAAGCACAACACAGTGTGTAGTGCACTACAAACCCCCGGGACGGGACAAACTTTTATACAACGGCGTCCTATCTTTTTCACAGAATTGAGGGAGAGAAAAACGACACACCTTGAAATATGGGACTGAACAACTGGTTATCGCTGCAGCTGCTAGTCTACGCATTACCTGAGAGTGTCACCTCTGCCAC